AACGGGGGTCGCCGGTGCCCATGTCCAGCAATCACTGTGCGAGGGGCGGGGGACACCCTGGACGGGTCGCAAGTCCATCACAGGGACACATAGAGACAAACGAGACAAACAACCATTCACTTTCTCACTCACACCTAGGGACAATTTAGAGTTACCAATCAGCCTACCATGCATGTTTTTGGTCTGTGGGAGGAAACCGGAGCACCCGGAGAAAACCCATGTGTGTACGGAGAGAACATGCAAACTCCACCCAGAAAGTCTCCCGGACCGGGATTTGAACCGGGGACCTGCTCACTGAGAGGCAGCAGCTCTACCAGTTGCGCCCAGGACGAAACATATAAGTATAAATAAATAAAACTCAGAATTTCAGAGAAAACCTAAGCAAGTACAAAAGAAAACGTAAAAAAAAAACAAGATTGTGACTGTAAGCAAAGTCAGATTTCTTTTACTTGAACGAATTTTGGCACTAAAGTATGATCCTCCATAAATATTTGAGCACAACAAGAGTGTTCAATTATACCTCAGTGTGTGTGACTTTTAACAAGGACTTAATGAGAAATGTTATACAACTTAATTCAAACATACTGATCCAGTTAATGGTTTTCAGCTGGAGTTCCTCGCAACAAGCCTCAGCTTTAATAAAAAACAGTCTGTTTACCCCACCAGCAAAACATGCTTACACAACCACGAGTAAATAATCAGCTGCAGACCCTATCACCTGAATATAGTCGTATAGGAAGTTATCACAGATAAGGTTGAGAAGTTTTCCGGAAAATGTGCATCAAATAATAATAATCTCAAACTTCTGCTTTGGACTAAAGATGTGGCCTCTTGTTCAGAACCATCTGTCCCCTCCACCTGCAGGAGAGTACTACTGGTTGGAGCCGGCCAACGCCTTCGAGCCCTTCCAGGACTACGATGTGGGTTTGATAGCGCTGGCTTTCCTACAAGGCTCTTTCGCCTACGGAGGCTGGAATTTCCTCAACTATGTGACAGAGGAGCTTGTGGATCCCTACGTGTAAGACGAGTTACTTTGTCATTACCAATACGTATCTGATTTTAATGAGTTAGAGGACCGCCCTCATTTGGTGCTAATTGTTACGGGGAAAGAGGCGATCTAAAGTCTGCTTATTCTTTTAGTGATTTGTGGTCACATTCCAGCAAGGCTTGCACATTTGTTCCTTGATTATTTTGTTTTGAACATTTTATTTTAGTGAACTTGGGATGAACTTAGTCTTTCCCAAACATCATCACAACCTTTGTTTTCTCAGTTCTGCCTCGTTTCTCTTTAGCTTTTCCCGTTTTCTTTCAAGCATATGAGTGAATTGTATTTCTTGCTTAGGAACCTTCCACGTGCCATCTTCATCTCCATCCCCCTCGTGACCTTTGTTTACGTCTTTGCCAACATAGCCTACGTCACCGCCATGAGCCCCCAGGAGCTGCTTGCCTCAAACGCTGTTGCCGTGGTGAGTATTCAACTGCACGTCTTGGGATTTTAGGTGAATGTCACCCTCTAATGATCCCTGTTGGTCAATGAACATATTGGTGATAATGTTGTTCTGTACCTCTGATTGCACCTTCATCTTCTTATCTGTCTGTTCCAGACGTTTGGTGAGAAGCTGCTGGGAGTCATGGCGTGGATCATGCCCATCTCTGTGGCTCTCTCCACTTTCGGGGGCGTCAATGGTTCCCTTTTCACCTCGTCACGGTTAGTCGGGCTTGACGTCATGATAGAAAGTTGTTCCTTCCCAGGACCAGATTTCCAGAACTTATGCTCCTAGTACAAAAAACACTTTTTCTGTAAAATATATAACAGAGCAACTTACACAGAATAGATCTATAAAGTCCAAAACAGGTGTTCTCAAACTTTTTGGGTTTAGGGACCCTCATGTTTATTAAATAATTTTATTAAATTAGTCTCTTTAATGCAATGGAAATATTTGTGTAACATAATAAATACTTAAGACCTGTTCTTTAATAGTGTTAATGCAATTTTTATACTTTTAAACATGTTTTTTTTTTATTGAAGAAACAATAAACAGCATTTTTAATTTCAACTTCCAAAAATTATATAGTTTTGAGAAAATTATCAGTATCAAAAAAACACTTTAAAATTTTACCTGTTCATATACTGAACGTGTTGCCAGTTCTTCAAATTATCACATACAACTCTTTACGTAAAGCTGAACAGAATCATAACAGCAGTAGTCATACCGAGTAACAGGACTTCATCTTCATCATTCATTTTTTGTGGACCCCCAGTTTGAGAACCACTGGTCTAAACATTAACAGGCCAAGAAATTCCTCCAAAGGTCAAGACAACTAAATTGAAAATGTGCGCCAAAGAAGGCTCAGCAAATCAGACAGTGTGGTAAAATATTTATATCGGGGGGAAAAACGCCAGTTTGCCTCAGCGTCAGGTACCAGATGCAACAGCATGCTAAAATATTAACGTTGCCATAAATATATGTTATTGATTTATTATCTAATTTGTTTGTTTGTGCATTCAAATCTTGATCTAAATGCGTTTATTTTGATGACGTCTCTGGTTTCTCAGTGCTCTGAATGAAGCGTATGCTTCCATAGTTATGTGTGGATTGTACCACAGACTTACATCATCGCCTTGTTTTATTTGGATGTTGCGTTTGCTGACAGGTTGTTCTTCGCTGGAGCCAGAGAGGGACACCTCCCGAGTCTGCTGGCCATGATTCACGTAAAACGCTGCACCCCCATCCCTGCTCTGCTCTTCACTGTGAGTACTGCTCTCTTTAATTTAGGTGTATATTAACAGTTTGCACAGTCTGTTAGCAAAATATCTCATGACCTAGCAGACCTATTTTAATTAAATGATCAAAAAGTACTTACTGAATGTACATCTACAACTGTATACATTTTGGAACCAGTAAATGTCAAAATGATTGTCACAACTAATTACTCTTAGCAAACACAGAAATGGCCACAACTCAGTCAATTTTTTTTTTTAGATAAAAAGATAAAATATGGTGTGGTAGTAGCTGAGCATATACCTCAACATGTACTTTAAGGGCTGCACTTTGCGCAAGATAGTTGCTGAAAACTTTGCCGTTAACTGTTGGGGTCAGCCTCATTTGTTTGTTAGCAAAATATCTCACGAACAAGTGAATGTATTTTGATGAGACTCTCAAAAGGTAATCATTAGACAGATGTCTATAACTTATTAACTTTTGGAGTCAACCTAATTCAAGATGGCCGTCACAGATAGTCAACCTTAGCAAACAGAGAAATGGCTATAAGTCCGTTAGTTTTACATATATTAAGCTGAAATTTGGCATGTTAGTAGCTGAAACTGATCCCCAACATACAGTTAAGGACTAACAGTTTAGACAAGATGTTTTCTTTTTTTACTATTATTATTATTGCCATGAAAGGTGGCGAGTGATATGCAATCCTTAAAGAATTCTAGTTTTTTCTTCCATAGAATCAAATCCCAAAGTTAGTGCTGCAGAAAACAACTCGTCTCTCTCGTTCTCCCTCAGTGCCTGTCTACTCTGCTCATGCTGTGCACCAGTGACATGTACACCCTGATCAACTACGTAGGCTTCATCAATTACCTCTTCTATGGAGTCACTGTCGCCGGGCAGATCGTCCTACGGATTAAAGAGCCCAACATGTACCGACCAATCAGGGTGGGTTCATGAAGTACTTTGCTTTAGTTTAGCTTATGGACAACCCTCAAAGAGAATAAATACCAGATATTTTAAATACGTGTTAAAAAAGTTTGTGTTTTTTATTCTGCGCTCCAGATCAGTCTCATATGGCCGGTCATTTACCTCGTCTTCTGGGCCTTCCTGCTCATCTTCTCTCTTTACTCTGAGCCTGTGGTGTGCGGCATCGGCCTCGCCATCATGCTCACTGGTGTCCCCGTCTACTTCCTGGGAATCTACTGGGACAACAAGCCCCAGTGCTTCGATGCTTTTGTTGGTAAGCGAGCATATTGCAGGCAAGCTTGCTCTGAGTTTTAGCCCTCTCCCCTTGTTTTAAACCACTTTGGCTATGACTGCCTCAGGAGTCGACAGAAGAAAGGGTAGGCCCTAAAAACCACCTTATCACCATCTAAATGGTTGGTCCACTGTGTGATGCTTGTGGGACTCAGTTTGTTTGTGGCTCCTCGGACTGATGAAGTCCTTTGGATGAGGGACGAAACGTCTCAACATAAAAGAAAAAGAAACCATCCAGATGACCTGACTGAACTTTGCTGAATAAAAAGTTATAACTTCCAGTGCAGCATGGGGCGCTTCTTGTTGGAATATCACAGCATTTTTTTTGCTGGAATACCAAGTTTAATGTGCACCCTTTAGCAAGTTTTGAATATAAATTGGTATTTTTTTGGAACTTTGTGTAAAAACTTTACAAAAACATCTGAAGCTGTTGACTTTGACCTCTCTCAGGGATTCAGTGCAAAAATAAATACATGTTCCTGTTTTTAGTATTTTTACCTTATTTCATAATGTAGCTTGATTAGATCTTGTTTTAGAACACTACTTTTATTTACTTTTCATTTTATATGCATTTTATGGCTGTTTATTGTTGTGCGTACCTCATCTGTGGTTTTGTTAAAAACAGGCCTCTCTTGAAAATGAGTCCTCGTGACTCCATGAGACTAACCTGTAGAAATACAGGTTGAATGAACTTGGAGATTAGCTCTATTTGATTTTTAATTAAAAGTTTAAATTAAATTTAGTAACAACAAGTTATGTTCACTTGATTATTTTGCCTCTAAATGACTAAGACATACAAAAGAGCAGCAGCTGCAATACTCTTCACTATGAACTCCTATTTTGTAGCAACATTCAGGCCATTTGTCCACACTGCCCTCTGCAGGCCAAACAAATACTTTAGTTTCTGAATAAATGAACCAAAGAGAAATTTCCTCATGAGTGCGACATCAGCACAAATATTATTTCCCGTGCCTACGCTCCGATGCTAATTCTTTCTCTTCTCCTAGATAAAATGACGTACTTGGGCCAGAAGATGTGTGTGGTGGTTTATCCAGCGGAGGAGAAGGGCACCAGTGAAGAAGAACAAGAGGAAATGAAGGAGGTGATGTCTCCTCTGGCACAGGAGGACAATCACAAATCATAAGACTGATGAAGTTCACCTTTTCGTTTCGTTAAACTCCCACCTGTCTCGTCAGAAACCATCTGCAGCCCGATACGTGCTCATGTGGACACGCACTACACACGCAAACACAATCCAACTTATGTTTACTGATCAACGTTGTATCTGAAGATTGTTTTTGTTGAGGTGACTTGTCAATCAGTCGTATTCTGTGCCAAATACGTCAACAGTAACCTCAACCTTTTTAAGTCTGGGGTCTGTTGAAAGTGCAATAAAAAAAATGAGCACCTTTCAGCTCCTCATTTCATTCAACAGCGAAACCATGAGCCTTTTATTTCATCCTCATCTTCATCATCGTCAGCAGCAGCAGCCTCATCACTCTGCTTCACGCTCGTTCCACATCCGCATCCTTCCACTCAGCAAACATTAGAACTATTTTTTTTAATAGTTTTACCAAAAAGACTAACTGAACTGTGATGGACAAATGCTTTTATTTTTATAATTTTGTTAATTTCTGCCATTTTCTCCCATTCAGTGCACCAAAAATGCATTTTTGATTGTCAACACAGAAAATGTAGCTCGAATAGTTTCACCATTTTTTTTTATCTATTATTTGTGTATTGTTTGTTTTTTTTTTTCAAATGTAATGCCTCCTTTTTTGTAATTGTTTTTACTGCGTAATTATCTTATTTTTCTATCATGTTTAACTTTAGTTTTGTTTACTTTTTTCTAACATACTATCCATCTATGGTTTACGTTTTATTTGTTAAACTGTGCCCGAGGGTTGAAGCAACATCCTGAAATTGTTTTGGTTAAAAAGCCAAGGCAACACTTAATTATTATTTTTGCCTTAATTAAAACTACGGTTTTCTGTGATTTCGTCATATTGTAGCTGTGTTTCGACAGATGATCAGAGATGGTCGGAAGAACTTTGAAGATTTCTCACTTTTCTTTAAACTAGAACATGAAAGCGACACAACACAAATAATCAAATCATTAAAAATCATTGGGGAAGTCATAACTTGCTGCACATTTGAATTCCTAATGTGCCATACTGACATGTGAATGAGTATTTTTGTACACCAATCCAAAAAAGTTGGGACTTTGTGTAAAATGTCAATAAAACGAGAATGTTTGCAAAGCTCACACCCCCATATTTTATTCTCAATGGAACACGGTAAACATATCAATGCTGAAAACAGTGGTTACCAACACTGGTCCTTGTGGAACACCATCCTGCATGTTTTAGTTGTTTCCCTGCTCCAACACTCTTGATTCAGTGATTTAATTGCTTTGTCATGTTCTGCAGAAGCTTGTTAATCACCCATTAAAAAATCAGACGTACCAGAGCAGAGAAACAACTAAAACATTTAGGATGGTGTTCCTCAAGGATCAGTGTTGGGAACCCCTGAATTACATGTAATATATTGTGCAATGTTTTGGTTAATTTAAACAAAAGGGTTCTTTTAATGGCAGCAACACATCTCCAAAAAGTTGGGACAGGGCCATGTTTATCATGGAAGAATCCCTTCTTCTTTTTAACAACAGTCTGCAAACGATGAAGAACTGAGACCACCAGCTGCTGCAGTTTTTGGAGGAACATTGTCCCATTCTTGTCTGATGTGGGATTTTAGCTGTTCAACAGTCCTGGGTCACCTTTAATGGATGAGAGCATATATTGTTGTGAAACTTTTATATACTTAGCTGCACCTATGGTGCATTTCTTGATGTGCCAGCTACCCATGTTGTAGGCACTAATGCACCCCCATACCATCAGAGAGGCAGGCTTTGCTCAATAATAGACTGATGGTCATCTCCTCTTTAGTACAGAGGATGAGATGTCTGTCATTTTTAAAAAAAAGTTTCCATTGGTCTGACTACAGAACAGTCGAGTCTTGGTTTAGAGAAGATGACAGTTTCAGGATGGTGTTCATTCTCTTTTACAATTCAAAGTCTTAACAATTTTCTGTTAAGGAACATTATTCTGAAACGGTTTCCCTATTTTTAGACTGTTTTTTGCAGACTAGTGAACCTCTAACCATCTTTACTTCTGAGAGATTCATCCTCTCTAAAATGCTATTTTTATATAAATTCCTCTTCCTGGCTTGTTAGCAATTAACCTAATTTGTTGCCAAACGCTCCATCCACTGTTTCATTTATGCACCACTCATGTTTACAGCCTTTTGTTGCACTTGTCCCAACTTTTTGGGAGAAGTTACTGCCATAAAATTCAAAATGGCCTTATTTTTTCCCTCAATTACTACAATTCTTAGTTTCAACATTTATTAAGTTCTTTTGTGGGAACCTATGAATTCATGGAGCTTTTGCAAATCTTTGCATTCTGTTTATTTTTTTAGTTTACACAATGTCCCAACATGTTCAGAGTTTGGGTTATATAGTTTGCATCAAGCTGTGCTTAATTTTCCCTCTTTTTTAGCTCGTTTAGTATTTAAATTAAAGCTTCACATGATCATAAACAATTTTAATGGCAACAAATAGCATAGTGCAATATGACCACATGCAGCAGCAAGACGTGCAGCCCATTAATGAACGCCTGTGGGTTTTTAAAGTGTGCTGCAAAGTGACGACACATCCTGTTCTCTTGAGTTCTTCTACAAAGTCTTTGTGTCTCAGGGCATCATCGCGGCCTTCTCCTCTACACTGCCATAAAACTCAAGTCTAAAGGAAATCAAGTATGATTACATGAAATGTTTGTACTTTGACTAAGTGGTTCCTCGGGAATCTGTCTCTACAAGAGGATGGCGAGTGTCAAATGATGAGATATTGAAGTTTTGGCCAGTATTATGTGTCGTTTGTTAAGCTGTAAGGGGAACATGGTGTTGTGGATACAAACCCAATGATGGGGTTTGAACTTTAGGGTTTGTTTTGTTTAATTTGCAGTTTATAAAGATGTCACAGTCTGTATGTTGTCTCTTAGTTAATAAAAAAAAAAAAACACTGACTTAACATTTGAATTTGGCCTCATATCTTACCTGTTACAGCCTTTTTAACAACTTCCACTCATCCATCGTCTTCTGCTTGTTCTGAAGTCGGGTCACGGGGGCAGCAGCTTGAGCAGGGAGGTCCAGACATCTCTTTCCACAGCCTCCTCTTCCAGGAGGATTCCAAGGCGTTCCCAGGCCAACCGAGAGACATAGTCTCTCCAGTGTCCTGGGTCTTCCCCGGATCTCCTCCAAGTCAAACATGCCCAAAGCACCTCCCTAGGGAGGCACCCAGGGAGCATCCTTACCAGATGCCTGAACTACCTCCACTGGATCCTCTAGATGTGAAGGAGCAGCGGTTCTACTCCAAGTCTCTCCCGGATAACTGAACTTCTCTCCCTATCTCTAAGGGAGAGGAAACTCATTTCAACCACCTGTATCCGAGACCTCATTCTTTTGGTCACTACCCAGCGCTCGTGACCATAGGTCAGGGTGAGGGTAAGTGTTAGGATAATTTAATATTATCCCTTGCACCGATTAAATAAATATGCCACACAGGAACGAGTAGATATTTTTCTTATCCCAGTTTAATCTTGCAAGATGGAGCAGAGTTGAAATACAAGTAGGCAAGATGTTTAGATGGCGCTTCATCTCCAAGTCTACTCAAAGAAAGCATAAAAAAAGTGTATTTTTATAATGTTACCAGAGGCGCTGCCGACCAGCTTAGGCCTTGAGTTCATGAGTTCTTGAGTTCATAACACCACACATGGTTCATTTAAATTTGACATTAAGAAGTGAAAAACATCTGTGACCTTTCACATCTTCCATCAGTAGGAACGTAGACCGACCGGTAAACAGAGAGCTTTGCCTTACAGCTCAGCTCCCTCTTCACCACAATGGACCAGTACAGAGTCCTCAATACTGCAGACACTGCACCAATCTGTCAATCTCACGCTCCATTCTTCCTTCACTCGTGAACAAAACCCTGAGATACTTTAACTCCTCCACTTGAGGCAGAACCTCACCCTCAACCTGAAGAGAGCAATCCACCTTTTTCCAGTTCAGGACCATGGCCTCAGATTTTGAGGTGCCGATTCTCATCTCAGCTGCTTCACACTCTGCTGCGAACCGCTCCAGTGAGAGCTGAAGATCACGGCACGATGATGCCAACAAGACCGCATCATCTGCAAAGAGCAGAGATGGAATCCCTCCGCCCACTGGTTGCACTGAGAAATTCAGTCCATAAAAGTTATGAACAGAATCGGTGACAATGGGCAGCCCTGGAGGAGTCCAACTCCCACCCTGAAGGGGTCCGACTTACTATTGGCAATGTGAATCAGACTTTCACACCGTATAGAGACTGAACAGGCCATAGCAACGGGCCTCTAATCCCATACTCACGGAGCACCCCCCACAGTGTATCCCTAGGAACTCGGTTGAATGCCTTCTCCAAGTCCACAAAACACATGTAGACTGGATGGGCAAACTCCCATGACCCCTCGAGGACCCTAGTGAGGGTAAAGAGCTGAACAACTTTGTTTTGGGAAACAGTTTAATTTTGACAGTCTGTACCTCATCTGTGTTCTTTTTTTTAAATCAGGTCTCTCTTGAAAACGAGTCCTCATGACTCAATGAGACTAACCTGTGTAAAAAAAAAAAGGTTGAATTAAAAAATCATGCTAGGGGCTAGTCTCAGCTAGCCCAAAACCAAGATTGTCGTCTTAAAACTGCTTCAGCCTTGAAAATTTCACAGTGGTTTATGTCAAAGCAATTTTAGACACCTTCATAATATTGAATTTCCCATGGCACAAGCAGGAATATTAAAATATTGCTGTTGTTAGAGCTCGAGGAAGTTAGCTGCTGCCACCGCTAGCTGCGCTTGATGGCAGTATAGGTTTATTTAAAAAATAAAAATAAAAATGCATGAACTGCTATGAAATCTTTTGAGACTGGTGTTTAAAACAACAGCAGTCCACTTTGATGTTTAACTCGCTCTCAGACTAGCCATTAGCTCATCAGTTCAGTCAGAATGTAACTATTTTTCCAAAATGACGTCGTTCAATGAGTTATCTACAACAGGTAAGATAGCTTACAACTTTTCCAACACCTATATGGCTGAACCGTTCCCTTCTTTCTTACAGTGAGAACTTGAATGACATTTAATTTTTTTTAATTGAAAAACACTAAATCTACTGAATATAAACAGATCTGTGTATAAAGACATTTTTGATATGAAGACATTTGCTTCAAATGCTGCAATTTTACTTGCCCTCGAAAAACTAACCGGTGCAGACTGAAACACACAAATGTAACTTTAAGGTGAGAGTTTGGATTTGTGTAAGAGTTGTTTGACGTTCTCTAAATAATATCTAACCTGCAGCAGATAAAAAATTGTTGAGTTTAAAGGGAGAACTTCTCGTGGTGAAGCAGCTCATCCAAAAGGTCAACTGGAGCAGATTTTAGACATATTTCAGTGAATGCTACGTTATGAATAAAAACCACTTTACTTTTACGTCATACTTATATGGACTGGGTACTTCACCTGGTCAGTTCTGCTAAATGGGTTTCAGCTAGAATGGGCTGCAACAGACACCGGCATGGCCCGATTTCAGATTAAGCACAGATATTTACCACCCTCCTGTTGTTCGGGCTTCCCTGGTGAGCTACAACAAGCTTTCCTGTGATTTTTAAGCCAAAATCAGGCATTTAGTGTATATTTAGTTATGAGGTCAATGCAAACCTTTTCTTGGAAGAACATTACACGATACAACCATGTGAAATAGAAAATCATGTTGAACACAAACTCTTCCCTCTCACACGTTGGAGTGACAGTGATACAAGCTTGTCAGTCTACGTAGCATCACTTCTGCTTTTTAATATTTAAATGTAAATATCAGTGTTAAATGTGTGTGGAAAGAATAAAATCACATGAACAAGTGGATAGTTTTATGCATCTTTGTTCAAACGCTTCAAAAATTTTAACACACATCAATGAAGCCTTTTCAACATGAGCTGACGCAGCAATGTGTAAAGTAAACCTCGTGTTTCTGATCACGTGTTTGTAAACTGAAGCTACAAACTGGTTGATGTGGTGGCGGTGAGACAGACAAGAGGAACATATTCTAAACCAGTTTAATCACTCACAAACGTATCCAGTCAGCCTGTAGGTGAAAGAGAAGCGTGGGGTCTATGATACATAAAGATCACAATATGCTTGGCTCGGCTTATTTTAATTTTTCTAAGGGATTATTTTAGGAAGTATACTCAAACTTAGCTTTGCTTGTGTCAGAGCACAACAAAAGTTGCGAAGACTAGTTTCCTGCTGCAGCCGAAAGCAAAGACAAAGCTTCAGTAAAATTAGTGTATTGCAGCTGCTTTTCAAACGTTACACTGTGGGAAGGTTTTACAGGAAACACACCAGAAGCACAAATTGATCTGTAGTGTTTCTGCCTCTGTGTTGCCTTCAATGTCACTGTATAAATGTGCAATTGCTTTAAACGAAGCTGGGATTTTTGAAGGCATTGTATCAGTTTTTTAGGAGAGTCAAAAGTCTTAGCAGAGCAGGCTCTTCATTTTCCTCCTCCTCCTCCTCTCAGGGCCAGGACCAGGTGTAGAACTGAGCCTCCTTGGATCTTATAGTCCGCTGCCGTTTTCTCATCATTCCTGGGAAAAATAAAATACAAGAAATGAGGCAACGTAAATCACTTTTTTTTTCAAAAACAGTCAACTCTGAATTGATTTTATCTATTTAAATAATTTTTCCCCCATTTACTTATCTTTTCAAACACTTGGAATTTGAAGCACAATACAACTGAATAAGATCCTAGTTACATAAAAGCTGGGTTTAGTTCAGAAAACTTCCCAGATTACTGCTGATGGAGTTAAGTGTATCTTGGTCTTACATCTGTTTTCCACTGTAAATCAACCTCTGCTGTTGGGGAGGGATTCCCTCCTTCTCCTCCACCCTCTCTTTAATTCGCTCCACCTGGATGGAAATGTATCACAAGTTAAACACAATGATCAGTGCTAGAACAGACCAAGAGTTACAATTAATTAACAAAACAAATGTAGAATTACTGAAATATACCTTATCTGTGGGTTCTATATCAATCTCTATCTCCTTGCCAGTAAGTGTCTGTGATAAAAGATGTTTGTAGGTTAATGATAAATAAATTCAGAGTGGGTCTATAAAAACAAAAATGTCATAAAAGTGACTGATACGTTCATTAACTTACCTTCACTTTAATCAACATCTTTGTTGAACCGTCTTTAAAAACTCACAGCAGTATAATTAGTAAAACTGAGGTATAGTAACTAAGAACACTGCTTGGTCTGTGAGTGAAAAACAAAAAGTTTCAGCCTAAATTGCGGAGAAGAAACTCAATACGTACTTCCGGTGTTTATCATGGAATCCTACCGCCTCCTCGTTCGCCTGCACGACAGTTCCGCTCAAGTTAAATCAGCTCGTGTTTACTTGATTCAAAATCAAACACAACCCTGAAATTAACTAAACGCGTCAAAAACTCACGTAGAAAACCTCTTTAACAAAAGAAAACCGAGATATGTTAACTAAAGAGCCTCAAATAAACTTTATGACATCTGCGCGACGTAACGTAAAGCGAAGCTCGTGTTTTGTAGTTTTTTTGTGCTTGTCGCCTTTGAGCTGACGTTCTGAAAAGACTACAAGCTGTCTGTCAGTTGGTGTCCGCCGTCCTAAAACGTCCCGCGCATAGAGGAAAAGGAAGTGGAGGAAGCATTGCGCGTTTTACCCATCGTACTTTTCTTTTCTTACGGTAAATGCCTTGTCGTTTGTTGTGTGAACGTTAGCTTATGTTTATATACGCGTATTTTAGCCTCAATAAAGTAGAATTAAGTGTTACTCTAATTTAACCTTGAATTTTGACCAGGTCTGAAGGAGGAACGCTGCTAATGACGTGTAATTCAAGCTAGTTAGATTTTAACGTGTATGTTTATTTATTGTTTGTTTATTGGTATTGAATTTTTCTCTGCTCTTTGGGATTATTTCAAACTCACATTTTACATGATAAAACTGCGGTTAGATTTAGGTCTGTGTACATTTTACCAAGGGAAATTGTCAGAGAAGAAATGTGTAAGCAACCATCTTGACCTGACCTCTGACCTCTGTCTCTTCCAGAGCCTCCTTCAGGGAACAGCTGCTTCAGGCCACTCTGGTTATTTTTCTGTTACATCCTGTTTTCCCAAAATGCCTCGCATTGAGAACGACATCAAGCTGGACTTCAAGGATGTGCTTCTTCGACCAAAGAGGAGCACGCTCAAGTCCAGGAGTGAGGTGGGTCATCCAGCTGTATGAACCAGATGTGCAGAAGTTTTCATTTCACAGAGTTTTTATACATGGGACGGAAACACGCACACCTGTATCCATGCGTTAAAGCTTCAAACTGTTTGTTACAGTGGAGGCACACGAGGACAACTGCTTAGTTAAAGATTAATAAGATGTTTTTTTTCTTTCAGTTAATCAAACATTGAGACGTTTGGAGATTACTGTACAGCAGAATGAAATCAGTACATTAGAACAGCTTCTTTTCTTGTGATAACTAAAATGATCTCAAATTCAATACTAAATTAAAGGTTCTTTGAAGAAATGCACAATCTCATGCGCAGGATCTGTTATCGCTCAGACTTTGTGTTGAGGATGACTCTCGGCTACTACCACACCCATTTTTAGCTCAATATCTGTAAAATTGTCTGAGTTGCAGCCGTTGTTGTTTGGTGAGGTCACTTATCTGTGGCGACCATCTTTAAGGGTATTGACTCCAAAAGTTAATCAAGTGTAGATTTACTTTCTGAGACTTTCATTAATATCATTCCCGTGGTTCATGAGATATTGTGCTAACAGACAGACACAAACACAAACATTATCGCCACTTCACCTTTGGTGGCAGCCAAATATAACATTTCTTCATAAAAAAATCACCAACTGTGGCAATGATTCAAGCTGAAAGGTCTCATCAGTAAAACATCCATCACTGATCAACACGTTACTGTTCCAGATGTTCCCAAGACTGTTTAGATTCCACCAGTTTGAGTTTGTACAAACCAGATCTCACTGTGAGTGAGTTTTTTACCTTTTTATTACAAAACATAAAACAAGATTTCACTTTATGTTGTCTTTAATTTTATTCAGTTTGTTTACTTTTTGAATCGGAGAGATAGTTTATTTATTTATATGTACCGTAGTAGTTATCGTATATATATATCTATAGAGTTGTAGTTATATAGATAGTTTACATATTTTAAAGTGGGTTTTAGTGGAAAGTTATAAATTATTAATATATGAACAAACTTAGTTTAAAAAAAGCAGAGTTTTATCCTGACTGAACTGACGAGCTAACGGCTAGTCCTAGCGTAGCAAGACCCAAGTGGATTGGTCCCATCTTAAAACTACTCCAACCTCTAAGATTTCACTGTGGTTCATGTGAGTTGTATTTTAGAAACTTTCACCTGCAAATACAACTAGAAAATTTGCATTTCCTGCGAAAATTCAGTGTAAATGCTTATTGCTGAAGAACCTGCTGAAAAACAGCTGAAATTAGCTAAAAACTTGCTGAAATGTAGCTGAAAAAGAAGAACAAGCCTAAGTTGGCAGAAGAAAGCAGAGGTGGAAATTAGCTTAAAAAAGCGGAAATTTCCCCAAAACAGTTGAATAGTAGCTAAAGAAATCTAGAAAGAAGCTTAAATTTCCAAAAGGAAATGAGCTTAATTGTTCCCACTAAGGCTGAAAGAGGCAGAAATTAGCACACTAAAGTTGAAATTATCTGCAAAAAGCTGACATTTGCCAAAAACAGCTGAATAGTAGCTAAAACAAGCAGAAAGAAGCCTAAATTAGTAGAAGGAAGTGGGTAGAGCATGATTTTGCTGAATTAGGCTGAAAAAAGTTGAATTGATTGCAAAAAATTTAGAATTAGCTGAATTTAGCATAAAAACAGCCAAATAGTAGCTGAAATACCAGAAATAGCTGAATTTAGCAGAAATCAGCTGAAATGAGCATAACAAAATGGAATTAGCAGAAATAAGTTACAAGAAGCATAAAAATGTTGGACTTAGCAGAATAAAGCTGAAAGGAAACTGTTAAAAAAAAACAGCTGAAAGTATCTAATTTTTTGTTTTAAATTTTGCACAAGGAAGCTGAAAGAAGCTTAGCCGGATCAAAATGTGAAAGTAGTAGTAAAAGCAACAGCAGCTAGTTGCAGCATTGTACTGCCTGAGACACCTCCTGCATAATGTTCCTGCTGGAATAAGTCAGAGATTCTTTATTGTCATTCCACCACATGTGGTACATGTGGTGGAATGAGATTATGTACACAAGGTCCCAGTTACACCCAACAATAAAATGCAAAAGAAAAACAGTAATAAGATCTAAGATATGAACTAAGAAAAACATCAGCTAAATATACACTAAGCATTAGTAGCATAAGAACATTACATAGAACAGCAGCACGAACATGAGTCTGTGTGAGCAGATGAGCACGCATGAACACATCAACATTGAAACAGATCAGCAGCAACATGAAACAGATCAGCAGCAACATGATATGGTTTTTCACAGTGATTATTCTAGTTAGAGATTCATGAGTCTAACAGCCTCAGGGTAGAAGCTGTTCCTCAGTCTACTCAGTTCTACACTTAATGCTCCTCAACCTCCTTCCTGAGGGGAGCGGGGCAAAAAGTGTGTGTGCTGGGTGAGTGGGGTCCTTCATGATGCAGGTGGCCCTCTTCCTGCATCTTGAGGTGTAGATGTCTGTGATGGTGGGGAGGCTGACTCCAACAGTCTTCTGTGCAGCCTTCACCACTCTCTGCAAAGCTTTTCTTTCTGCAGCTGTGCAGCCTCCATGCCACACGTTGATGCTGGAGCACAGGATGCTCTCCACTGCACACCTGTAGAAGGAGGTGAAGACTGAGCTTCCCAGTCCAGCTCATCTCAGCCGTCTGAGGAAGTAGAGTCTCTGATGAGCTTTCTTGATAAGGCTGGTGGTGTTGTTACTCCAGCTGATGTTGTCATTCATGTGTACGCCCAAGTACTTGTAGCTGGAGACCACTTCCACCGCAGATCCTCTTGTGTTCAAAGGAGTGTAGGTGTGTTTGTTCCTTCTGAAGTCCACAATCATCTCCTTTGTCTTCTTCACATTGATGTGAAAGTTATTCTCTTTGCACCAGCTCTCCAGGTGTTCCACCTCTTGCCTGTAGCTGGACTCATCATTGTTTGTGATGCATCCCACCACCGCTGTATCATCTGCAAACTTTACAATGTGACAGCCTGGACGAGTAGGTGCACAATCATACGTGAGCAGAGTAAACAGGAGGGGGCTCAACACACATCCCTGAGGAGAGCCAGTGCTGAGGGTTATGGTGGAGGAGGATAAGTTGTGGATCCTCACTAACTGTGGTCTGTTTGTTAAAAAGTCTAGTACCCAGTTGCAGATGGAGGGGCTTAGTCCTAGTGTGGATAGTTTGTCCATCAGGGTTTGGGGGATCATGGTGTTGAAGGCGGATGTGAAGTCCACAAAGAGCATACAGACGTAAGAGTTTTTCTGTTCCAGGTGGTTGAGTGCAGTGTGGACCACAGAGGAGATGGCATCCTCCATTGATCGGTTCTCACGTTATGCGTACTGATGAGGGTCCTCGTTGATGTTGATGGTTGTTTTGATGTGAGTCATGACCAGTTTTTCGAAGCATTTAGCGACTATCGGGGTGAGGGCCACTGGCCGATAGTCATTCAAACCAGTCACTGTAGAGCTCTTTGGGACTGGGATGATGGTGGCAGTCTTCAGGCAGGTGGGAACTGTCTCCAGGGTAAGTGAGGTGTTAAAGATGTCTGCCAGCACTTCACAGAGCTGATCGGCACATTCCTTCAACACTTTTCCGGGGATGTTGTCTGGCCGGTTGCCTTGTGCGGATTAATCCTCCTGAAGGTACTCCTTACTTCGGCTGAGGTCACGCTGAGATGCTCTTCATCCGGTGGTGAGGTGAGTCTGGTGCTGGGTGGTCTGTTCGGGTCTTCAAAAACGTGCATAGAACTTGTTGAGGGCATCAGGAATAACTGTGTAATGCAACACTGAGAGCAGTGGAAAAGGTTTATGGTATAATGTTCCATGAACTGCTGTGACTTCTTTTAGATCAGAGTTGTTCTAAAACGGCTAATCTCCCAAATTAGCTGTTAGCTTGTCAATCTAGTCAGAATTAAACTCTTTCCAAGCTGAGGTCATTCAAACAGCCATCTACAACAGGTAAGATATTAAATGTGTATAATCTTTCCACAGAACTTCACTTTAAAAGATGTTTTACTTGTATTGTGACAATAAATGTATTAATTCCGATGGAACAAATCAGTAAACACTATGGTCTTGTCGTGGTTGTCTTCCTCAGGTGGACCTGATGAGGAGCTTCACCTTCAGGAACTCAAAGGGCAGCTATAGAGGCATTCCCATCATTGCTGCCAACATGGACACTGTGGGGACCTTTGAGATGGCTCTGGCTCTGCACCAGGTAGAAACGCTTATAATAGTGTGAACGTTTATGAAGCGTTCACACTATTGTGATCCATTTCTCTTCTGTACGTTTTTCTGCATCTTTTCTCCTGCCACAATTTTTGAGCTATTTCAATCAATCATAAATCAAAACGTTCAGCTCTTTCAGGACAATCCTGCTATGACTTTTGGTATTGGTGCAACTTTAGCTTTTTGAAATATTTTAGCCTTTTCTGTCATTTTTTTTTCATAGAAAATGCATTGAGCTCATTTTCCATCCTTCAAATCTTTAGATCTGTTTAAAACCTTTTTCTGCTCCTTTCACATTTTGTTCTGCTTCAGCTTCTTTCAGCTTCCTTCTCCAAATTTAATCTTTTTTCAGCTACTTTCAGCTGTTTTTTCAACTGTTTTGTGCTGCTTTCAGCTTCTTTGTGCTAACTAAAACATTTGTGTGATTCTTCTAACTTCTTTCTGCTAATTTCAGCTTATGTTCCTTTCAGCTTATTTCTGCTAGTTTCAGCTTTTTCTGCTATACCATCTACTGTATTGCTGTTTTTATGCTAATTTTAGCTTTTTCAGCTCAGTCCACATTTTTTGCACTCATTCCAGCTTTTTCCAGCCTGATTAAAATGTGCTTCCTTCTGCTAATTTAAGCTCAATGAGACTAACCTGTTTAAAGAAAGGTTGAATTGAATTAAGCTTCTTTCTGCCTTTTTAGCTACTTTTCAGTTTTTTATACTAATTTCTGTGTTTTAAGATCATTTCCACTTTTCTGTACTCATTTCTGCTTCTTTCAGCCTAATTGTGCACAATTGTGCTCTCTCAAATTCCTTCTGGTAATTTCAGCTTCTTTTCTGCCTTTTAAACTTTTTTTTGTGTTTGTGTGTGTGTGGTTTTTTTATTTTTATGAATTTCAACTTTTTTCTGATAATTTCCACGTTTTTGTGCTCATTTCTTCTTCTTTCAGCTAATTGGACAAACACATTCTTTCTGCTTCTACTTAAGCTTGTTCTACATTTTCAGTTAACTTTTTTTTGTTTTGTTTTTAGCATTTTTTTAGCTAATTTCTACTGTTTTCATATAAGTTCTATTTTTTGTGCTAATTTCTGCTACTTTGAACCTAATTAACTTCTTTCTGCTAATTTCATCTTGTTATTTTCCTTTCAGTTTACTTCTAGTTTCAGCCTTTCCTGCTATTTCAGCTGCTATTTAGCTGTTTTGGTGTTAAATGCAGCTTTTTCAGCTAATTCCAAATTGTTTTAGCTCATTTCAGTTCCTTCCACTTCCTTCTTGTAGTTTAAGCTTCTTTCTACCTTTTCAGCTACTTTTCATCTCTCTTTTTTTGTAATTTCAGCTTTTTTTTAGCTAATTTCCTAATTTTTGTGCTTTTTTTCCTTATTATTTAAGCCTAATTTAGCAAATATGTGTTTATACTGCTTTCTTCTGCTAACTTAGACATTTTCTCCCATTTCAGCTACATTTCAGCATGTTTTTAGCTAATTTCGGCTGTTTTTCAGCAGGTTCTTCAGCAATAAGCATTCACTTATTTTTTGCAGGAAATGCTGCAGTTTGTCTAGATTATATCTGTTTTTCATTTTACACACATCATCACATGTAAGGTTTTAGAGTGAAAATGATTGAATCAGATTTCATTTAACAAATGCTTCCATCTTTTATGGAGCTGGTAACTGTTACTGCATAGATAAGACAATGTTGTGTTGTTTTGTCCTTTCTACCAGTTTACTCTCTTCACTGCAGTCCACAAACATTACTCCATAGATGATTGGTTGGAGTTTGCAACAAAGCATCCTGAATGCCTGGAGGTACTTCAACTTATTATCCAGTTTCACCTTTTTAACAGTTTAGCCTCTTTGGTTTTACGATAGTGGACTCCCTCTTCTGCGTTTCGCTCACCAGAGTGTAGCCGTCAGCACGGGGACCGGAAACGGAGACTTTGAGAAGCTATCAGCTGTCCTGGAGACGGTGCCGCAGCTCAAGTACGTCTGCGTCGACGTGGCCAACGGCTACTCCGAACACTTTGTTCACTTTGTCAAAGACGTGCGGCAGAAGTTTCCGTCCCACACTATAATGGTCAGTGAATGAAGATCTGGAAAGGCACGCAAATCAAAGCGTCGTGGACTAAAACAAAACAAGGACTGGAAATAAATAAAAACACTGTTTTCTGTTGCTCAGGCAGGAAACGTGGTGACAGGAGAAATGGTGGAAGAGCTGATCCTCGCTGGTGCTGACATCATCAAAGTGGGCATCGGACCAGGTGATCACAGCCTCATGATTTTACCTCATTCCAGGGATCTTGCTCATAACATTCCCACAATACTGAGTCATTTATTTCGTAGATTATATACTTGTCTTGTCTACACTAGCACATTAACTTGATGTGGTTTTTAAAATTATTATCTAGGAACATCTGGAATGTATGAAACTTCATTTAAATCAAATTATTGTGAGAAAAAATAATTACAAGTAGAAAATCATTTAAGACAGCTTCCCAGGAGTACACATTACAGCAAACTCACCCCAAGGTCAGACCATGCAATGCTCAGACAAAGTGCAAATGTCTTAGTGCTCCATGCTTCTCCTAAAGGCCTCATTTAGAAGGTTAAATTCATGACACGACAGTTAGACAAGTTTGGTTAAAGGTTGCATGGAACAAGCCTGTTTTTCTCCAAAAACAAAATGGCAGCACAACTTTTGTTTACAAAGTTCTGAACAATGTCCATTGAACAAAGGAGGCCAAAGGAGACCGTCAGTCCTCAATGACTATAGACCTGCTGCCCTGACATCCCACATCATGAAGGTCCTAGAGAGACTTCTGTTGACCCACCTGACTAGACAAACAAGCACATATCAGGACCCACTGCAGTTTGCTTATTAGCATGGACTTGGAGTTGAAGATGCCATCATACACCTGCTTCAGCAAACTCACTGTCATCTAGAAAAGGCAGACCACACTGTGAGAGTCATGTTCTTTGATTTCTCCAGTGCATTTAACACAATCCAGCCTGATTTGCTTTGTCAGAAACTTCAGAAGACTCAGGTGAAGGCCTCAACAATCACCTGGATCAAAGACTACCTGACAAACAGACCACAGTTTGTGAGACTGAAGGGTTGTGTGTCCAACCAGGTGGTCGGTAGCTCAGGAGCACCACAGGGGACTGTACTCTCACCATTCCTTTTCACTCTGTACACCTCAGATTTCTAGTACAAAACAGACTCCTGTAATCTGCAGAAATATTCAGATGACTCTTCAGTGGTCGGGTGTATCAGAGATGGACAAGAAGCTGAGGACAGGGAACTGGTGGACCGCTTTGTGGCATGGTGTGGAAACAACTATCTCATCATGAATGTGAACAAAACAAAGGAGATGATTGTAGATTTCAGGAGAAACAGGAACAGGTCCAACTCTGTTTCCATCATGGGAGAAGAAGTGGAGGTGGTGAAGTATAAATACCTTGGAGTTCACCTGGACAACAGACTGGACTGGAAATGCAACAGTGAAGCGTCTACAAGAAGGAACAGAGCAGACTGTACTTCTTGAGGAAGCTGAAGTCATTCAGTGTTTGCAGCAAGATGCTGCATATCTTCTATAAGTCTGTTGTAGAGAGTGCTGTCTCTTCTGCCATCATCTGCTGGGGTAGCAGCACCAGAGCAAGTGACTTAAAAAAGATCAACAAGCTCATAAAGAAGACTGGCTCAGTTCTGGGGACTCCTCTAGAACCTCTGGAGATGATTGTACAAAGAAGGATTCTTCATAAAATGAAGAACATTATAGACAACCCTCAGCATCCTCTTCATCTCAGCTTGTAGTATCTTCAAAGGATAGAAAGGCATATCGCCTTTGGACTTTCTCCAAGTACAGTCCATTTACCACCCACCCCACCCCAAAAATAAAAAAACACTCTGTATAAACAGACAAAAATCATGGGTGAGAGGAGCGCCCCGCCATGGGAAGTTATCTAGGGGAAACACTGATTCTCGAGTCAAACTTGAGGACGTCTGTCCATCAGCTGAAGCTCGGATCACACTAGGTCATGCAACAGGACAATGATCCTAAGCACGGCAGAAAGTCTTCAACAGAACGACTGAAAAAGAAAAGAATCAACGTGCTGCAACCGTCCAGTCCAAGTCCAGACCTCAGCCTGATGGAGACGCTGCGCCGGGACCTGAATAGAGCTGTGCAGAAACAAATGTCTGCTTCAATGAGCTGAAGCAATGATGTAAAGTGGAGTGGGCCCAAATGTCTCAACCACTGAATGTTCCTGGGTATCCCATGGCCATTTATTACACGAGGAAGATGAATCAGTCTCCAGGTGATGCTTTCAGCTGCTGTTGACTGTTTGCCTGCAGATTTTCAGACTCATCCCTTGTCTCTTCTGGTGTCTCTTCCCTTCAGGCTCTGTGTGCACGACCCGCAAGAAGACTGGGGTTGGTTACCCTCAGCTCAGCGCTGTCATCGAGTGTGCGGACGCAGCCCACGGCTTGGGCGGCCACATTATCTCTGTGAGTCTCCTAAACCAGCACAGACAGTACAGAACTTCTGTACTCACTATAGAACTATGCAATATAGAACTTCTACACATGCCGAGTCGTTTTTAGAAGATTTTAATTGGTTAGAGGTCGTTGACCTTTATTTGGTTAGACTTACAGCATTGTGGTTTGTTTTCTTCTCTCGACTTTTATCCCACAGGATGGGGGATGTACCTGTCCAGGAGACGTCTCAAAAGCATTTGGTGAGTTTTTAGTATTCCCATAATCCATCTGAATTCTAATCACTTTCGGGATTAATTTTTAAAAAGACTGTCACTACTTCCTGTGCGACTCCCAGGTGCCGGAGCGGACTTTGTGATGCTGGGTGGGATGCTGGCCGGCCACTCGGAGAGCAGCGGGGAGGTCATCGAGAAAAACGGGACAAAGTACAAGCTGTTTTATGGAATGAGCTCCGACACGGCGATGAAAAAGCATGCAGGAGGCGTAGCTGAATACAGGTCCGCCTCTGTTTTCTTCTTCTTTGTTGCTTTCACTTGTTCATGTTAGGAGGCTCACCCTATCCCTAACACACGTGACAACTGCACTCTGAAGGTCCTCCCTCACTACATCCATGATCCTCCACTGTGGTCTATTTTTCTCCACCCTGTTAGCTCCATATTCAACATCCTTTGTCCAACATATCAACTATTCCTCTGCTCATATCAAAACCATCTCAGCCTCTAACTTTTGTCTCCAGCTTACCTCAGTCCGAGCTGTCAATCTGCTGTCCATTTTTTTTTTTTCACTTCCAATGAAAACTTTTTGTCCTAATTTCTCTACCTTCAGTACCTCTGCTCCTGACAGCTTCACAGTTACACCCGTCTCCCTCCTATTGACACACGGATCCTGTCTTACTTCTACTGGCTTTCATTCCTCTTCTCCACAGCATGTCTCTACCTCTACCCCACTTTCACTACAGATCACATTGTCATCTGCAAACGTCACACATGTAGTTTGATTACCAGTTTTAGGGTGTACCAGCGTTTTAAAAAGTCACAGGGTCAAAACCCAACATACACTTCCTGTGATTTAAATAAACTGCAGTAATTTCTGGACTATTGAGCGCACCCAGTACATTGAAACAATAATAATGTTGTACATATATAGGCCACACTTGTGTATAAGCTGCAGGTGTCCATTGATTTGATTAAATACATACCGGTAACATACACAAATATGTACATTAATTATTTTATTTTTTTCTGAATAGTGCCGGTAACACGGCTGGTTAAAAAAAATAAAATACAGTAACCTACCAGGAAGTCATTGATAGCCATCTTCATCTTCCTCCTGCAGAGGATGTTTTTAAATGCTCCTCTGTCAGCATCCACTGGAGCAGAAGTTGCTCTTTACATTCCGCCAATTTTGCTAAATGATTTCTCGCCACCAGTCATCCAGGCCTCCCACCGAGCTTCGAGTGTCACGTTAATACACGATTCACACTGATATCGAGTGGCTGTGAATAATTTGTTGTGCTCCCAGGGAGGGGCACAAGTCCCCCCTCCTCGTTCTCTTCTCCACTCCTCGTTTCATTGGTCCACTGTGACCTGTTTGGTCATTTAATCGGTCAGATTTATTTTTACCTTTATTTATACATGTAGTCTCATTGAGTCACGAGGACCCACCCCCCCAGGAGTGGTGTGTATTGGGCAGCTATGTGAGTGCCGGGGTGTGACAAGGCTAAATGTTTTAGGGGCAGGAAGCTCATTAGCCCGTCAAAAAAAACAAAAATCTATAAATTAGCCGCAGCGTTGTGTAAGCCACGGGGTTCCAAGCCTGTGAAAAAAGTAGCGGCGTATAGTCCAGAAATTACAGTACTTGCTTGTTGGACTTGGTTTGTTTGTTTGATTTTAGTTTTTTCCCAGTCACATGGTATGCCTAGCAGCCCATTTCCTCTTCTACTAACATTAATTTATCTTTACTTGTACTTTACAAAGAGCCGAACAATGAATGTACGGGGACAACTTTTTTTTAGAATTTTACATAAACTAAGTCCCTTGTTTATTGCAGGGGTTACGTTCCAGACCTTGCCCCCACCACCACCGGAACACCCCCCCCCCCCCCCCCCCCCTTTCATGTGCGCCATGTGCAATAAGTGAACATGAAGTAGGGACGTTGTATTTATTTTAGTATTAATATATATTTTTAGGTTTTATAAACCCTTCTCACACTCATGTGATGTTCTAAACTCTTAAACCTACATCATTTTAACAACATACGTGTATGTACTGTACAGTAAACATTTTATTCACCAGCTCTGCAGACCAGCAGCTCTGTTCCAGTCCAGCTCAGTTCTGGTCCGGTAGACCTACCCTGCCAGTTCTGCTTCTGTTCTGGTCGGCTCTCTGCAGCCCTTGAGCACTGAAATGCTTTTGGAGGGAGCCAGACCTTCGGCTGGCCTGTGTAATACCGATCTAGCCCAAATCCAAAAGAAAAACATCCCATTGGGCTCTGGAGAGAACGCCGGACATCCAGGTGGTGCTTCCCCACTTGGAAGTCCTCGTGGGCCAATAAGCAGCTCTCAGATTGACCAATGAGTCTGGAGCTCCGGTTCTAGTCCGGTTCCTGTTGGGTACCGTATTTTCCGGCGTATAAGTCGCATCAGTCAGAAAAAGCATCATGGAGAGGAAAAAAAAACATATATAAGTCGCTTCTTGCGTTTATTATGCTTCACCGTTGATCCGTCGCATTTATTATGCGTCACCACTGACCCCATGTCATGCCAAAAATCAATTGGCGGCTGCGGGAGCGCGCACAGGACTTACTGTTGTAGTTCCTCGAAATTTAACAAGAATAACACTTAAAAACAATTTTTTGTTTTCGACATTACAGCAAAGGTGTGTCTCAGTTGAACTTTTCCTTAATAAATGCACTTTAATGGTCAACGTTTGGTTTGGGGTGGGGGTGCAGCACGGGTAGCAGTACAGGAACAACATACTGTATTTTTCAGCCTATAAATCTCAGTTTTTTGCATAATTTACATGCCCTGCGACTTATAGGCCGAAGTGACATATTTATGGATTTTTTTCCCCATATTTAGAAGCCATTTTTTGGTTGAGATATGACCGTTTTTTGTCTGACTGAAAAAATATTTTGGGCAGTACCACTTTCAGCCACTTGATAGAAGCAGAGTCCTGCCATGGCTTCCCCACCTTGGTTCTGCTCCCTGCTTGGACTGACCGTCAATCCATCTGCACGGCTCCTGCGAAATGCAGCTAATTTGACCATTAAAGTGCATTTATTAAGCAAATGTTAGATTGATACACACATTTAATATAATTTTGAGCAAACAAATAATTATTTTTAAGTGTTAAGCTTGTTAAATTCTTGTTAAAGTCCTCCCGTACACGCTCCTGCAGCTGCCATTCGGCAGCCCTCCATTTTTGGCACACCCACATTTCCGGGTTGTCAGCAGTGACACGTAACAAATGCGACGCGTCAGCGATGACGCATAGTAGATACGACGTATACAGCGAAGCAAGATATTTATGGATTTTTCCACTTTATTAGATAAATATGGACTGATGCGACTTATCAGGCGGAGCGACGTGTACGGCAAAAAATACGGTATTTGCCTACCGGTAGTTGTCAAAAGAGGGCCCTCTCGTGCCTCTAGCAGCTGCAAATGGTAATGTTTACTCTGGTTCATATCAGTAAGAATGAACATTTAAAACAATTCTGTTTATGAATATGGAAAAAAAATGTATATAAGTCGCTTCAGTGTATAAGTCACAGGACTGGCAAAGCTATGAAAAAACTGCGACTTATACGTCGGAAAATACGGTACCTTGCCGCTCTCTGCATCTGCTGGGCGACAAAGTCACTACGGATAAGGACCGAATGTTTTCGGATCAGATCGGAACTTTCCTTCAAGTATTTCATACATAGCAGAGGGCAACGGGGCTTCTGGGCAGGGCACTGTTGACTTCTGGGAAATATAGTTTTTAAGAGTGGCAAGACAGTGTAGGCTTATTGAGAGAAAACTACAAAATGGCGGTGCATGTCCGAAGTATTTTTTTGTTAACATTTTACTGTACAGTATCCAGTACTGTCCCAGTCATGTGAGTAATATTAAAGTTGGCAATTGTGTGTCGTGTACAATTGTTTTTTTTCTCGTGTCCAATCTTACTTTGAAAATCCGCAAAAGAGCGAGTCCACGAAAGTCGAACCGCGAAGTAGTGAGGGACTAGTCTGTCTACGCTTATGCGTGCATGTGTTATTATTACAAATCTCCTGTGTTTTCGCTGATGCTGTATAGAATTTACATACTACATTTATTCTCAATACTTGTGATTAAATTTAAGCTACAACCTTAACTTTAAATTACAACATAACTAAAAATATTTTCAGTAAAACTGCTCATCACAACAACATTTCAAATCTGTCCTGGATGCAGGAAAGAGTGGACTCGTTTTTAAACAGAGTCACTATTAAACATGTTCATTTGTGTTTTTTACTCTTCTTATTTATATTTGTGCATTAGAATTAAAATATGTATGCACAAATGTTTTATTTAGCACTGTTATACTATTATACGTTAAAATAACCATTGTTAAGTGAGATGTGATGTATTTTCAGGAGTAACGGTAGTACTTTAATTTTTGTTTTAGTACTATAATATCATAACTGTGGTATTTTTGCTCAAAGTGATAAAACCATCTGAATCTCGTGTGCACCTCCTGCCTGACCTGTCTGTCAACCCGTCCATCGCACTGGAGCCATTTTTCACGACATAACATTCATGCTTTGTGTTTCTGCTTGCAGAGCATCCGAGGGGAAGACGGTGGAAGTTCTCTACAAAGGCCCGGTGAGCGAAACGATACGAGACATCCTGGGGGGGGTCCGCTCCACCTGCACCTACGTCGGCGCAGGGAAGCTGAAGGAGCTGAGCCGCAGGACGACTTTCATCAGAGTCACCCAGCAGCTCAACACCGTCTTTGGCAACGACAGTTGAGCATCTGCTACTTCCTGCCTCCCACGCACTGAGATTACATGATTGATATATTTACTTAAAATACTCCGTTTTATTCCTGCGTTTAGTTCAGGTTCACAGTATTTCTCACAAACACATTCCTTTTAGACCTAATAAAAATCCAGAAAGTGTTCCAGGATCACGGTTTTAATCCGAGTTAGAGCTTTAATCGTCTGCTGTTTGATCGTTCCAAAGGTGTTGCTTTTATTTATGCAAGTTTGACTCGGTTTATGATCTGTGGAAACAAGTTACTGTGTGCACCATGGCACGGGTTTACTTTAAACCTTTGTGCACAACTTATAAATTTATAGCAGTGTGTCTTAAATAATCTATAAGTCTTAAATATTTTATGCAGTTGTGGCAGAAACTTAAAAATCTGACCTATTTTTTTAGAAAGTCATCATTCCATCATCCACGTTTTGCACTTAAATTCCTTTTAGTCAAAAGGTTTTAATCAGATTAAGTTTATAAATTAGTTTACTGATGACAATCGTTCTTGAATGTACAAGTATTTGGAGCACTGACATTACATTTTAATGAAGTGTTGAATTAAAAGCTGAAGTGCTTTAAGGATATATTGATGGTTCAGGATCAGTATCCAAATTTCTTCAAGTTCTCGTTTTTCTGTCGTAGGAGCACAAGCGGTCACTGTCTGAAATTACCTCTAGAACGTATTTAATTCAATATATTAAATTATCATTTCAAGCTGTTCTCTTGTTCTATAGTGCATTTTACTGTGAAGCTTTGAGAAAAAGTTTCTTTGTTGCCAAAACCTTAAAATACAAGTTTGTCATTTCATGTTGACTCAATAAAACATTCCATAACTTAACCTTTTTCTGGCTTTATTGTTGATTGATTACATTGTTTCTGTGAAATAAAACTTTACATGCACTCACAACAAGTAGATGGAGACAAACTCAATAAATTGACACAAACTGGAAATATAATTTTTTTAATCACTTTTTGTTAGATTTTCATTCTGAACGCACAAAGAACGGGGCAGCACGGTGGCGCAACTGGTAGAGCTGCTGCCTCTCAGCGAGCAGGTCCCTGGTTCAAACCCCGGTCCAGGGGCCTTTCTGGGTGGAGTTTGCATGTTCTCTCCGTGCATGCGTGGGTTTTCTCCGGGTACTCCGGTTTCCTCCCACAGTCCAAAAACATGCATGTTAGGCTGATTGGTAACTCTAAATTGTCCTTAGGTGTGAGTGAGAGAGTGAATGGTTGTTTGTCTCGTTTGTCTCTGTGTGGCCCTGTGATGGACTTGCGACCCGTCCAGGGTGTACCCCGCCCCTCGCACAGTGATTGCTGGACATGGGCACCAGCGACCCCCGTGACCCAAAATGGAATAAACGGGTAAAGAAAATGGATGGATGGATGGACGCACAAAGAACAAAAAAAAAAAAAACTCCCACACTGGATCGGTTACACATACACAAATGAACTACCGGTAGGAAATGACAAGTTTTCCACATTGAAACATAAAAGGCTGTCAAGTGTCCCAAAATTTTTAACAACCCTTCAGGATATACTGTGTCTTATTTTTTCTAGATGGATATGATACATCATTTCTCTTATCCAATGTACCGTAAATAATGCTGCGGGTGTGTGTGTGTGTGGGGGGAGGACTTCCATTTGCACCAGTCTTCTGACCAGAAGAGAGCCAAAAGCAATCGCGTCCTTCTCGTACTTGCTGAAGGAAGTGTCCACAGGGACCGCCCCGAACAGCGAGATGAATGGTGATGGATGCAGTTTTGCCACATATCCCAGAAAAGGTGTCCAAAATAGATTGGCAAAATGTCTGCAGTTTGGGACAGGTCCAGAATGTATGCAGGAGTGTACCTTGAGTTTGTTTACAAAGATTGCATGCGGGGTCCAGGTCGGCTTTGATCTTGGAAAACTGAAAATATCATTTGAGGCAAGAAGATAATGTATTAAAAGCTAAGCAGGTACATATAAGTGTTCATCCTCTTTGTGTCATCTTCAAAACAGAACTACATTTGGACTCGATGAAGATAAAAACTAATCCAACCAGTCCTACAAATTACAACATTTCACAAACCACCTCTGTAGAGAACGTGCCACTACGCATTTTTCCACAGCTGGAACAACTTGTATGATAATAAGAACACCGCCTCCCACAAGAGCATTGCCAATCCTGTTGATTACTTTGGATGTTTTCCTTCCACAGCTGCACAAAGGGGACAAGGTCCCAGTTGTTGACACCTGCCTCAATTGTGATGATTTCTTCCCTCTGGTATCGTCCAGTTCGGCTGAAAAAGGACAAGTTGGAGGACACAAAATTCCAAAACACTTCTACTGTTTCAGGTTGTGGTTCCTCATCCAGATCTGTGAGGGATTTAGAGAGAACCGTGAATTTTTCCTGTGACGTGTTCATGCCTGAATTCTGTTTCCTGAAGCCTCCTGAACTGGATGATGGATCAGGACCATGGTCATACTCTGTTGTAACAGAGCTGAGTTTGTTATCTTCACAGGACAGTCCAAAGACAGGTCCATTCTTTGGGTTATTTGAAGATTGCTTATCGCACAGACCGATCATCCAGTCAGACTTGTTGGTGAGATTGATGACCCATCTCTGGTAGTTGGGAGTGGAGAGAGAACTACAGATCAGAAGCGTGGCAGAGCATTGACCCAGCCAGCTATTGTAGAAAACCTTCCTTTTGTCTTCGGAAAGTGACATGGAGGAACTTAAACTCTGTGGTTCAAACATCAGGTCTGAACTAGTAGCCTTGAGCTCCTGGTGGTGTTCAGGGTCAACCAGAATCAACAACGATCCTATCAAGTCAGACGTGTGCTTTGTTATCTTATCACCCTTCTGTCTTATCTCCTGAACTAGCTTGTCACGGTGACTTCCCGGCTCCAACCCTTTCCTCAGATCCACAGCTTTGGCTTTCTCCACATCCTGGTTCACCTGAGAGTACATCTGCAGAAATCTGAAGGTGTCCTTCTCCTTCTGGGCTGCTTCTATGCTGCTCTTGCTGGTTCTGATGGCCACCATACGAGCAGAGACTGAACTTTGGACGCTGGTCAGAGAAACGTCCCGCAGGTTAGTCACAGCCTCAATAAGACGCACACCACTGCGACCCAGCTTCTCTCTTTCACTCTGCTCCCACTTTTCCAGACTCAGGTTCTGGTCATCGGTTTTCTCCTGTAAGACCTGCTGCTCAGCTTTGAGTTTCTCCATGAGCTCTCTGTGGGCGGTGAAGAAGGTCTTCATGTTGTGTATGCGGTGCTGGTCTTCAATGGCACAGGAAACACACACGCAGGTCATGTCATCCAAGCAGTAGTACTCCAGGAGTTTACCATGCTGGGGACATTTTGTGTTCCCATCTATAGCCATGGGCTCAGTCAGAGGGTGAGTCTGCAGCAACACAGGGGTGGTCAGGTGGGCCTGCAGGTGCTGGACGCACATGGAGATCTCACATTTCATGCAGGTCTTCCGTGCTGGTTTCCTGTCCTCCTCTGTACACATGTCACAGAGAATACTACCAGAATCCTTTTGGACGTTTCCAGACATGTTGTCAAAAGCTGGAAGATCCTCAACAGAATGGCTCTTTAGTTGTAAAAAGATGTCGAACCAGTAAGCAACCCTGGTTAGTTATGGTATTTATAAAAGCTTTAAAATAAAAGCAGTCCACGAAATAGCTGATAGAATATTGTCCACAGTTTGTCAGTTTACGAGCTCCGTTTCAAGACAGCAACACTGACTATAGTTTCAGGATTTTTCTTTGTGAGAAGTACACCCACGATCAAACAAGGGTGGAGCTTTCAACTGTTAAGTTTCATTTCCTACTAAACGAAGAAGTAACTGCGGTTGGACTGGAATTTTATCTGTGGCTTTACAAAACTGCTCATAGCAACAAGTATAATTTTTAATGGTGACATTTTTTATTTATTTTATTTAAAAATAATCTAGCTATCTATCATGTATAAAAAATGTAAAGAAATAATAACAAGAAAATTAACATAAAGTTGAAAACTATACTCTTTTGTGACACTCAGTTCTTAACTTTAGCCAAAACTGCTCTACAGAAAGTTTACTGTTGTTTTTAGGAGTGTGCAGTAAATCTGAGACAATGTATTAGATCATAGACTTGTACAAGCATGTTTTATATTTGTTCTTACATATGTGTACTTGTTCCTTTGAACACTCAGTGGTGTATGAAATCATCATCCATCCATCTTCCACTGCCTATCTGTATAGGGTCACAGAGGCAAAAGGTCTAGCACATCGATATTCAACTGGCGGCCCGGGAGCCAAATCAGGACCATGAGTGATCTCAGTTCGGCCCACCAAATGGTCCACGTTTGAATAAATCTAGATTTTAAAGTGTAAAACAACCTTACTTAATGAGAATAAATGCTGGATGTCTGGCCCCTGAGCTCTTGGCTTTCAATAACTGTGCCCCCCTGAGCAATTTAGTTTGATAGCCCTGGTTTAGCAGAGAAACTGTTAAAGAATTTTTGGTAGGAGTACTTTTTTTTGTGTTTCTATAGCTGGCAAGAACATCTTTCCCTCCTGCTTTGAGCCTGAAACACCCACTATCTCAGTCTTTAGGCCATCTCGCTGACTCGCAGTGCCTCCTTGGCGTTGTCATTGTCATCTCCATCAGTTGCCATGAAAAATGATCTTATCTCCATCTGGATGTCAACTCAACGACGGCCATGGATCTTGTCTGTGTGTCTGACTGCAGATGGCTACGTGGGAACGCTCACTGGACTCGGCTGTTGTATAAAAGTCTGTCGAAGACTATTCAATGCTCATTCTGTTCCATGCATATGCATTTTATCCATAGTGTATTTATGTACTGTATTTTTCATACATAAGGTGCACCGGATTATAAGGCGCATTAAGGGAAAAAAGTTTGTTTGGACAGATTTTTGAGTGTTGTGTACTACATAAAATCGGTATGAGGTCAGTAAGCACAACCAGAATTAATACATAAGGTGCACTGTCCATTATTGAGAAAATAAAAGGATTTTATATGTGCCTTAGTCTGAAAAATATGGTATGTAATCTGTCTTGAATGGGTCCTTGCAACTAAAATGTGGGGTAAAAATCTTCTCCTGCCATTGAGTGTGCTTCATTTTGGGTAAACAAAATTAGTGAGCGAGAAAAAGAATGGGTCTTTTGTTCGAAAATTAGTTTTTAAAAGATTTTTGAAGCATTAAACAGAATTGGTTAGTGTGTCCTTCACTGCTCAGAGTCCCTTGTGACTGAACAAACACGACTTTTGTTTCTTGAAAAATAAACTGCCCAGAGTATAATGGTGTCCTTTGTTCTCATAGTTCAACAAGAGTACCGACAACAGTACTGAATACGCCCATCAGTAAAATGTTGGGTAATCAAAGTTCAAATCATGAATCTGGCCAAATCTGCATTCATGCTCATTCATATATACATTTGTCCCTTTTTAAACATCTTCCCTTCACGAGCAATGCAGTTTTGTGCTTTCTATAATTTTTTTTTTTTAAACGCGCAATTACTACACTCCCAACTTTCTGATTCAGAGACTTTACAGTATGACATGTTTCAATATTATTTCTGTCAGTCTGTATGTTCTTGCTCAGTAAGTAGGCAGTTACCTGTTCTTCAAGAATCATCATGCTCCTTTCTTCCCTTTCACCCACCTTCAATGAAAGAGCATATGATTTTGGCCTAAATGGTAGTCCTGATATAATCACATCATTCATGTGTGTGTTTTGTTCCAGATCTGACACTTGCATTTCCAACAAGTTTATCCTTTTTTGCTGTTCCTTGTTTAGCTATTTTAGTTCCATGATTTCCTTGACCAAGGCCATAATGGTTCGCTGCTGTTCAGATATGGTGGCTAACTGTCTCTCCACCCATCATATTCATAGCTACTTTAAGTTCTCCTACGTCCTTCTTTACCTCTTTGGTGACCATTGTTGTACCAAGCCTTTAAAACCTTGCCAGGGATCCGGCAGGTTCACTGAGTCTAGTTTGCAGCTAGTTCTACTGCCAACTGCTCACAGCCCCTGCTAGACAGCTTTCCCTCAGCCGGTTGTTCTCAATCCACCTCACCGGCCAACCGCACTCCATCCCTGTCACTTTCAAACACACCACAATCCTCCACTGCTAACCTTCACCTGGGTGAGCACACCAGTCAGCCGCTCTCCTCCGCCAGATTAAACATGGCAGTATCGTCATAATCAGGCTTTATAAATAAACTCAATTGAATACATATACATACAAAAATACATACAAAAAGATATATTCATATAGGCTATATATGTTCATCGATGTGATTAAGTCAGAGTCAGAGTCAGAGTTTCTTTATTGTCATTCGCACCTCATGTGGTACATGTGGTGGAGCGAAATTATGTACACGGGGTCCCAGTTACATCCAACAATAAAATGTATAAGAAAAACAGTAATAACATCTAAGATATGAACTAAGAAAAACATCAACTAAATATACACTAAGCACTCATAACATAAAACATTGAACATCAGCACAAACATGAACATGAGTCTGTGAGCAGATGTGCACGCATGAACACATCAACATTGAAACAGATCAGCAGCAACATGAAACAGATCAACATTAGCATAATGCATTAGGAATGCATCCTAATTAATCAGTTAAATGTGAATGTGTGTGCTCTTTATTCAGAAAATCTACGTCACATCTACATTTCAAGATTTGGTTATTATTATAGACATGAATTAAATGTTAAATATGAATATATCAACACAGTAACAGTGTTACACACGTTAGTAGTTGTAAACACTCAAAAGAATACTGTTGGTTTAGTGCTTACCTATAACCTAAACATTTAACGAATAAACATGTTTAATAATCACGTTAACAGTTACAAATATTGTCTTTCATGCCTGTTGGTTTTTCCAAATATAATAGTGTGTGAATTACAGGTATCAACTTCAAACACCTTGTAGAACTGTGCTTTATGAAGTTCAGTCCATTTGTGGCAGATCTGCCACATCCAAGATGGTGGACGCTCTGACGTACCGCTGCAACGGGACGGGGCCCCGGAGGGGACATACCAAGGCACAGCCTGTTTTTTAAAAAAAAATTTTTTAAAGTTTGCATGTAAGTATTGTTTTGTCAAAGGAATGTCATTTGTTTACGTTGAAAAACTCAAACCTTTCCTGCTGTATATATTTGTGTTGTTATTTTAAAGATCATTTGGATCAGAAAGAATAGAGTTTTGACGTGTAGAAATCCAGAACTCTGCTGAGTTCTTTCATCTATACACGGAGAGCGGGTTCAGGGTCAAGTTCATAGAGAGAGAGAGAGAGAGAAAGAAAACTGACATTTTTTGTAGAACAAGAGGTTGACTATCCGAACTATAACAACTGAGGTAAGTTAAATTTGTTGTCTTCTTGTACCTGTCAGCGAACTATAAATAAAAATAAAAGATATCGTCCTAAAGATATTGCTAAAGCTAACGCTAACAGTGGCGGTTAAATGTTAGCATTACGTCATCATCAATAAAACACCTGCTGTAGTTTATATTAAATTTAGGTGTTCAGTTTGACGTGTTTGGATAAATGTGGTGGAAAAATAATAATGTAGTTCAGCTAGCTTTAACTAAGGAGTCCGTTTTTAGCTATTTACTGTATTTATCATTTTACAAGCCTCAACCCTGAAAGACTTTGTTTCCCCTTGTAGAAGCTTGCACGAATCAATAAAAAGCTCTTATCTATCTAACAGCACTCATAATACATTAAAAAGTATAAACACATTGAACAAAAATATAAATGCAACACTTTTGTTTTTGCTCCCATTTTTCATGAGCTGAACCCAAATATCTAATTTTTTTTCTATGTACACAAAATGCCTTTTTCTCTCAATTATTGTTCACAAATTTAAGTAAATGTGTGTGAGTGAGCGCTTCTCTTTCTCTTCGCTTCTCTTTGGTCACCACCTCACAGGTGTGGCATAATCGTTACAATCATGCTGTTTTATCAGCATCTTGTGCCACACCTGTGAGGTGGATGGATTATCTCTGCAAAGAGAAGCGCTCACTAACACACATTTACTGAGTGGATCAACCAGTTTGCTGCTGACAACCAAAACCAGCTGATCACATGCTCAAGAAGGACCATCAGCCTAACAATGGATCATTAGCACACTGATGGCTGTTTACTACTCACAGAGGGCTGAGTGATACTAGCAATCACAGCATTGTAAGAGGGGGACAGTTGAACCCGGAGGCCTCCACCCCTGTTTAATGATGGACGATTTCTTTTCACAAAGATGGCCTCCTTTACTCCTCTCTCAAACCATCGTTCCTCTCTGTCCAGGATGTGAACATCTTCATCCCTGAAAGAGTGACCGCTGGCCTGGAGATGAGTGTAGACCTCAGAGTCCTGGCCTGATTATGTTGATCTTCTGTGCTGGGCCATCCTTTTGGCCAGTGGCTGTTTAGTTTCCCCGATGTAAGACTGATCACAGCCCTCCTGACACTGAACAGCATACACAACATTACTCTGTTTGTGCCGGGGGACTGGATCTTTGGGATGAACCAGTCTTTGCCGTAATGTATTTTGGGGTTTAAAAGCCACTGGGACGTTATGTTTAGAAAATAAACATCTCAGTTTCTCTGATACTCCCTCAACATATGGAATGACCACTGGTCTGGGTCTGGGTTCCTCCTTTTCACCTGTTGGCTGACTGGAGTCCTGTTTGGGTTTCTTCTCTGCTTTCAAGAAGGCCCAGTTAGGATATCCACATTGCTCTAGAGCCTGTCTTGTGTGGGATTTCTCCTTCTGCCTGGCTCCTGAGCTAGTGGGGACGCTGTCTGCTCTGTGATACAGAGTCCTGATGACTCCTAACTTGTGCTCCAAAGGGTGATGGGAGTCAAACTGCAAATACTGGTCTGTGTGGGTGGGTTTGCGGTACACCTGGGTTTGCAAAAGTCCTCTATCAGAGACTGAGACCTCACAGTCCAAAAAAGCCAACCTGCCGTTTTTTACATCTTCTCGTGTGAACTTGATGTATTTATCCACAGAGTTGATGTGGTCAGTAAAATGTTGGACTTCCTGAGATTTAATTTTAACTCAGGTGTCGTCAACATACCTGAACCAATGACTTGGTGGTGTCCCTGAAAAGGACGTCAAGGCTCTCTTTTCTACCTCCTCCATGTACAGGTTGGCAACAATAGGAGAAACTGGAGACCCCATAGTACACCCATGTTTCTGCCTATAATATTGCTCCCCATATGTGAAGTAGGTTGACTGCAGGCACAGTTTCAAGAGTTGACACAGTTGTTCTGTGGAAAGCGTGGTCCTGCTGCTCAGAGTGGTGTCTGATTTTAATTTTAAACTGACCACCTCTACTGCATCATCAACAGGAATGCATGTAAAGAGTGATGTGACATCAAAAGAGACCATTGTTTCATCAGTCTCCATGATGACATCCCTGACCTTATCCACAAAGTCCATGGTGTTCTGTATGTGGTGTTCTGAGCTGCCAACTAAAGGGATGAGTACATGTATGCCACCCTTTTAGTATAATTTTATCCAATTTATTAAGTTCACTTTTGCATTCCATGATTAAAACACAAGAGTTTTAGGGTTCCTGTACAGTCTTGAAAAATATGAAATTTGATTTTAGAATTTTTCCAGGACTGGATAAGTACCGGGAAAAACAGTACTGTATATACAAATAAAGTTTCTGTGTTCTATTAGCATTTATTAAAAAATAATAATTCTGAAAACTCCTGAAATATATTAGATGATGAACATAGTAACAGTGGTGTTTATACACCACATAGGTTGGGAACTTCTAAAAGTTATACTATTTAAAATGCCATTAAGAACAATTTACAACGTTCACCTTTTAAATAGATGAACAGCTACAAACTCATGTATTAAAACTTTAATTTAAAAAATATCTAATTTAAATTAGCACTTTTAAAAGACAGGAATTTGTAAGATCTCGATCGAAGAATCATTTGACTAACTACAAATAGTTTATATGTAATATTCTGATGCATGCTCAGTAATCCAGGTAGAAAAATCCAACAAAGTTAAGTCAGGTCCTCTGGATGGTTTGGTTTCTTTTTGTTGAAACGTTTCATCTTTCGTCATTTATAAGACTGAGTTTGTTACATCTCCTTGGACTGATGAAGTCCTTTGGATGAAAGACGAAACGTTTCAACAGAAAGAAACCATCCAGAGGACCTGACTGAACTTTGTTGGGTTTATATATAATATTTTCTCAGAAACTAAAAGAAAGCTGAGCAGTATTACAGGATAAATAATCAGTAGGGGGTAGTTGTTTGTCCTCCCACGATGCTTTGTAGAGCTAATGAAAAAAAGAGGAACAAATTCTTCCAATATCCAATAATGTATACAGATGATAAACATCAAAACATGATTCAGATTATGAACAAACACCTAAAATGGTCCTGTTGCCTTGTTTACACATAGAAGTACTTGTGCTAAACTTAAAAAACATGATAATGTGAGATACATACTCATTAATTCCTTAAAGTGTAAAGGTGATTGGACATAATTCAGTTCAATTCAGTTTATTTATATAGCACCAAGTCACAACAGAAGTCATCTCAGGGCACTGAACAGAAACATTCATCATATACATAAAAAGTCAGTTCACACTATTTAACTGAGGAGCAGACTGCTTTGAGTTTAACTTCATCGCAGACTCTCAAGCAAACATGAAGGCAACAGTGGAAAGGAAAAACCTCCAGCAGAACCAGGCTCAGGACAAAAACCTCCAGCAGAACCAGGCTCAGGACAAAAACCTCCAGCAGAACCAGGCTCAGGACAAGCGGCCATCTGCTTCAAACGGCAGAAAAGACATGCTTACACTGAAATGCCAGAAAACAATATTAACCTATCTGTAATGATGATTGTGATAGTTTATATAACAAGTACAAGTCAGATGTAAATGTACCGCCTCTACTGATGAAGTATTCAAAAAGCGTTCATTACAAATAGTGTTAAGTCTCACACAGACAAGATAAAAAAAAGTACAAGTGTACAGATTCTCAAAGTTCTCGGGAAGAATTATTTTTTTAATATAATAAATTTTCATTCCAACTTTTCTTTTTGTGTGCAGGAGACATTTCCACACTCTACAATGAGACAGCTCGCTGAAGGAGGACACATCAGCCCCAGACAAAAGACACCTGATGCTGGGACTCAGTCGTCATCGAATGTTGAAATGCCTTGTGGGAAGGAGGGCACAAACACCCCTGTATGCCTCCCCCTGCTCTCTGAGAGCAAAAGGCTGTTATGGGTGCACTCCAACCAGATTGTCCTGCCGGCAGATTTGGTCGCAGAGCTGGACAAAGCCTTCGATAGGTTTCCTTATCTGACACGTAAACAGAACGCTTTGCTGGCCCAGCGCTGCTCCCTGCACCCAGACCAGGTGAAAGTGTGGTTCATGGCTCAGAGGCTCCAGTATGGTATCAGCTGGGACGTTAAAGACATCTGTGATGTCAGGAACAAGTTTCGATCCAGTGCCAAAGATGCTGAAGAAAATGGGGAAGTTCAGAACAAGATGGATGAAGAGGTGCAAGAAGACAAAAGAAAGGAAAAGAACCAGAAGGAAAAGGGAGGAGAATCTGGTGAGGAGAAAGGAAGAGGGGAAAAGAGACCAAAAGAAGGAAGAATGATAGCTCGAAATGTGAGAGCTAATGAGCAACTGGAGAGAAAAACTAAGCAGGAGCAACCAATGAAGAAAGAAAAGCCTAGAGAAACAGAGAAAGACAAACCCAGCACTCCAAAAAAGCGAAAGAGAGGGGCGGAGCCAGTTAAAGACAAAAAGATGTGGGTGACGCAAGATGACGGTGAGGGAGCTGCAACAGTGGAGGTGAAGACAGACGAAAGTGAGAAGGAGGGTCAAGCATCCATCGAGTCTGAGGAAGCAGCTCTCAACAAGAGAAAAGAGAAAGTTAAGAAGGAACAAATGTTCAACCAAACAGAGACTGTCAACGCGAATCCCACTTGTTTTCACAAACCTTCAACCCAAACGTTGACCACCATTCTTCTGACTGAGAACCAGACAGATCCGCAGCACGCAGCCGACACTCCCTCCACCTTCTCAGTTATGACCCCTGTGAATGACAGCTGTGATGGAAAACCTGAAGCCTTGGCTGGTCCTCAGGAAGATCTGCACACAGAGGCAGCAAACCTATACATTGTGGTCACAGACGTAGGCAAACAGAAGGAGCTCACCACAGTCGACAGCAGTCTTATTGCTGCAGACGATCCACCCACTCTGATCAAACCGGATGCAGACAGACACGCCGCTCCCACTGGAACCCGCTCCAAGACGCGGGCTCAGTTGGCGATGATGAAAATGGCTTTCTTGCACTGTCAGTACCCGAACAGTGAGCAGTACAGCTGGTTGACGGGGGTGACTAAGATCCCCCGGCATGTTTTGGTTCAGTGGTACGGTGACATGCGCTACTCCCTGAAAAGAGCAAAGCCTCGCTGGATGACCAAGGAGCAATACGATCAGGCGCTGAGCAACATCAGGCATCATCAGTACCTAAGCATGCTGAGAAAGTCGACAGACAGGGCAAATAACGCTTACGCCGCCTGGATGACGATGATTAAGGAGGGGAAAGGGTGTAATGGAAAAGAAAGTGAAGAAGCCTCAGCGTTAAAGACTGAATCAACTGTTGACACATAAGAGCAGTTCGTCCTGCCCATTTTATTGGAAAGGTGAGCAGTTCTGTTGTTTTGTTCCATATTTGTTCTGGGCATACGTTTTGTTTATTACAGTTCCAGTAAAACACTTCTGAACACAAATCTCTTTGTGATTCATTCTGTCAAAACACTCATGAGTCAAAATATTTTGTACAATTTCACATATATAAATATCAAAGGACACATTAGTGATTTGGAGCTAAATGAAAATAATTGCACAGTTTGGTTCGTTGCAGCAAGAAAAACAAAAATAAGAAAATGCATGAAACAGTTCAAAGATATAATGTAAAATGTATTGCACGAAAACAACAGAATGACTTTAATATTTTGAGTCTTTTTTTTTCTTATCCAGCTGTACAAATCATTTTAATTTGTTAAATCTTGAAAAAACAAGTATTAATATTTGCAATTTTTGGTTAAAGTTTGGACATACTGTAATACTTACGGCACACAGCTATGCCAACCAGGTCTATTTATAAACCAACTGATTTAACTTTGAACTTCAAGATAGTAGTTTCTAAGACAGGCACCGTGCTTTTTTTGGCTACATCTATATGATTGTAGATCAAATATATAAGACCACAGCTGTGCGCTTTATAGGTCAGCAAGCATAGTTTACTAATAACACAATTTGTTTATAAGATGCTTAATGATAAGAATGTATGTTTAAAATCTCAAACAGCTCTTCTATCCAGTGGGGTCTATTTAGTTCCAGCTGGCTGTGTACTCGGCCCTCTGTGGCTGCCAGAACTCGGCACCTTCGATAACACGACGGATCAACGAGGCAGACGTGAGAAGGAGGTGTCCCGCAGCCTGAAGGAGGGTGGAGGTCAGGCGCAAGATTTCTCTGAAAAAAAAACGAACAAAGATCATTTTATTTTATTTTATTTTGCCTGGTTACTAAGGTTTAATTTAGCTTTTTACAGCTATTGATGTGTTCGCCCAGAGTCAGTATTTTGCAATGCATTGTGGTCTAGATATATTCATTCCTACTTCCAGTTCATTGAAATGCTCTGCAGTCATTCAGACGCCCGGCAACAACGGACATTTCTCTATCACAATGTAATACATCAAGAAAAGTTTATAGTTGTGTTTATGTATAAAAGTGAATTTTAAAAAAAAGCTGGGGTAAAGGACGCCAACTTTGAATACTGGAAATAGTTTTGAACGTATTTGGATGCGGTGCCTGATTTTAAACGAGCATGAGTACAGTATCTGTAAAAAGATCAATGTTCAGAGTTATTATTATTATTATTACTGACCAGTGCAACTTTTTAGTTCTTGTCTTTAAATTTTAAATTTGTTTTAAATTAGTTTGATAACTACATATATTTAGGCCTCATGTTTAGATGAGGGCAGCACGGTGGCGCAACTGGTAGAGCTGCTGCCTCTCAGTGAGCAGGTCCTTGGTTCAAACCCCGGTCCAGGGGCCTTTCTGGGTGGAGTTTGCATGTTCTCTCCGTGCATGCGTGGGTTTTCTCCGGGTGCTCCGGTTTCCTCCCACAGACCAAAAACATGCATGTTAGGCTGATTGGTAACTCTAAATTGTCCCTAGGTGTGAGTGAGAGAGTGAATGTTTGTCTCGTTTGTCTCTATGTGTCCCTGTGATTGACTTGCGACCCGTCCAGGGTGTACCCCGCCCCTCACACAGCGACTGCTGGACATGGGCACCAGCGACCCCCGTGACCCAAAAATGGAATAAGCGGGTAAAGATAATGGATGGATGGATGTTTAGATGAGTTGTATAAAAGACATTGCAGTGTTAAAGATGGACAAACAGGAGACTTTGGGGCTTTTTTCTTATTATTCCCCACTCTGACCACACTTTACTTTTACACAATTTAATATACTATTTTTTTAGCTGCAGAGATGGAGTTTAAGTTAATATTTCATAACAATGACTTACTATTTCCAACCTGTCACTTCTCACCACAAAGTATAGATGCAGTTTTCTTGCAAGTCTTAAAAATTGGGATAATTTAGAGACTAAACACACCATCTACGTAAGAAAAATATCTGAACACAATGCATCAAATTGACTCTTTTTGTACAATTTTTGCAACCGGAAAGATTAGCAGCAAGAGTTTTTATTTTGCACCTTCATAGTGTTTGTCAGGTCTTACCTGAAGACTTTCTTGGGCCCCAGACACTGAAAGTCAGCACTCACAGAGTACAGGCCTTGATAGGTGGCCTTCACACTCAGGGAACCAAACAGGTCTCTGGGATTCAACTTGTAAAGGTCAAAAGTGACTCGAGCTATGTCTCTGCCGGTGCGAGGCTTGTGGTTTTTGAGCACAACTGAACCCTGGATTTGATGAAAGACATCAGAAACAAATCCAGAGAGATGTTTCTTGAAGGGGGATAAACGTGTGGTGATAAGTTTAAGGTGCGGTATTAAGAAGTGTGAGGCTCCATAGATATAGCTCAAACCTACAGCTTGTGGTTTCCACATCTGTCCAGGCTCCAGAGCCATTAGCATGACGTTGTCTGGTAAAGTCATGAGGAACTCATCAGAATCCACCTCGGTACCGTCCTCCTCACAAACCAGACTCAGTGATACGGCAGAAAGAGTGAGCAGCAGCGCCTGGCAGACCTAGCAGAATATTAAAGGAATTTTGAGTACTTTTTATGGAAAAAAAATTAAGCTTTGAAACTTCAAGATCCTTCACATCCTGTGTTTGCGTTAATAGACACAAAATAACCAAAACAGAATACTTAATATTACATAATACAATAAAGTTGTATTAAATTTGGTAAAATGTTAGTCATTTTAAACAGACCTCGGTGAGAAATCTTAATGTTCCTGAAGTTCAAAACCATCTGGAACTGGAACTGTCTGGTAAACGTCTTTGAACTCAAGACTTCCTCTGAGTTTATTTGACATCAAGCCAGTAAATTCAGTAAAATGTCCCGCTTTTAACTTTTTCACAGCTTATAAACGACAATACCACCGTTATGTCCTTACCTTCACTTGCTGAAAGAATATGTTTTACTCCAACAAAGTTAAGTCGGGTCCTCTGGACAGATTTTTAAAAAATTGTTGAAATGTTTAGTCTTTATCTAAAAGTTTTCTTCAGTCTGAGGAGCTGCACTAAACTCAGTCTTATAAATAGCACCTAGCATAGTACAGTAGATCAACCAGTTGACAGCCAAAACTAGCTGGTCACATGATAAAGGAGGACCATCAGGTTAACAAACGACTGTTAGTGCCCTGATAGCCACTTACTGTTCACAGAGGGCTGAGTGATACTAGCAATAACATTATTGTAAGAGGGGGACAGTTGAACACGGAGGCCACCACCCCTGTTTAATGATGGACGATTTCTTTTCACAAAGATGGCCTCCTTTACTCTCTCAAACCATCGTTCCTCTCTGTCCAGGATGTGAACATCTTCATCCCTAAAAGAGTGACCGCTGGCCTGGAGATGAGTGTAGACTGCAGAATCCTGGCTTGATGATGTTGCTCTTCTGTGCTGGGCCATCCTTTTGGCCAGTGGCTGTTTAGTTTCCCCGATTTGTAAGACTGATCACAGCTTGGCACTGAACAACATACACAATATTACTCTGTTGGTGCCAGAGGATTGAATCTTTGGGATGGACCAGTCTTTGCTGTAATGTATTGTAATTGAGGACGTGTCCAAATATTATCAATGTCCGTAATGCTAGTATCACTCAGCCCTCTGTGAATAGTAAGCAGGCCATCAGGGCATTAACAATGGGTTGTTAGGCTGATGGTTCTTCTTTTGCATGTGAACAACTAGTTTTGGCTGTCAACAACAAACTGGTTGATCCACCATGAGAAGTTGCTATTTATAAGACTGAGTTTGTTGCAGCTCCTCAGACTGAAGAAGTCTTTTGGATAAAAGACTAAACATTTCAACATTTATTTATTTTTAATTCGTCCAGAGGACCTGATTTAACTTTGTTAGATTTTTTTTTTCTACCTGGATTATTGAGAATGCATGAAATATGTTGTACTCTCACCCTCTCCTTCAGCTCCTCCAGGGTCCCTGCTGTGATCCCTTTTCTGGTCTCTCTTTTGTGACAGCAGACTCTGAAAGGCCTCTGAGGTGGAGACCAAACTCTCTTGGTCACAGATCTGCGAAACATCAGACATAGAAGCTATTAAATTATCAGTTAATCTTCTCTAGCTTATTCAGGGTTTAAACATTTGGACCTTCAGTAATATAAAAAACACTGACGACTGATAACACGAGCAGTGGTTCTGATTACGTCACACATGGCAATGTGGAGTGTTATACCGAATAACAAACTTGGAGCAGAAAAATGGATTCAGTGACTATGTAATATTGATTATTTCTCAGTTTTCTGTAAAGAAAAAAAGTGTTGTACATATAGTACATCACTTTTATCCTTCTCTAGATGTTGTGTACATAATACAAGTACTGGTACATCTTTTGCATTTTACCACTTTTAACCTCCTAAGACCCGGACTCTTGCATATGTGGATGCCAGGTCCTAGTAAAGCATTACCACCTGCCTCGTTTAACCTAAAGTCTCCTAATACAACATAGTCTGTATTGTGCCTGTGCCAAACTCGAGGCCTGTGGGCCAAACATGGCATCTTATCTGGTGCCCAAGAGGACATTTTAAAAGTAAAATGTTTTTTATCACTTCTCTTTCACTTAAAAACTGAGTATACTTAATTTAGTTCAGACAGTTCATGACAGTCAATAAAAAATAGTTAAAATGTTCAGCAATCTTTGATTTTGATGTGAAAAAAGTGACAGAGAATGTCAAAAGAGACCGATCAAACTCTCTTTGAGGAACCTGCAACCATGAAAAAATGACTGGTGTTAATGTTTTAACAGAAATTAGCCCATGGTTACCATTAAGGTTTTATTTTTGACCCCTTTTTTGTAAATACGTTTGACATCCCTATGCATTGATCATACCTTATTTTACAGCAAAGGTGTAGTGATTTAAATCAATTTGTAATGAGTCAAAACAATCCCCTTACTTGAGAAATAAAGATGTGGAGGCCATCCTCGCCAGTATGTCTCCTCTTCTCACAGCCTTGTTTCGTAGAGTGTTTTGGTGTGATCCAGAAACTGGACTTTGCCTCCAACGTGGTGATAATGTCAGTGAAGAACAGATCAGAGCAAAGGTCTTGTTGCTTGTGTTTGTGACTGAGTCACACAGCAGCATCATTGATAAGATGGGGAGGGTTAGTGCTGATTAAAATGTCTGACAGTAACCTTTTCACACAGGAACTGTAGAGCAGTGTGGACAGTGAATGTACATCACTACATAATGGGGAATGTTTTATTCTAGTTTAAGTGTCTAATTTTCTCTCCAGTGATTTTTAATTTTTTTTTTTACAAGAACTATGCGTTTTGGCTTCAATAACAGTTTATATTTCAAAATAATGCAATCTAACCCTGCATGCATTTAGCTACATCAGCTAAATCTAAAGGTAATTTGAGTTAACCCAGTGAGTTTATCAATAGTTTACCTCTTTTTAAAACACTTGAATAATGGTTAGGGAGTATGTTAGGCTACAAACCTACAAAGTAAAGTTGGTACTTTCATCATTTATTTCTAAACTTTTATGGTTTGACCTTTAAAAACTCAACTTTATTAAGGAGTAATTTGTTTTAGTCAGAGTTAGAGTCAGAGTTTCTTTATTGTCATTCACATCTCATGTGGTACATGTGGTGGAGCGAAATTATGTACACAAGGTCCCAGTTACATCCAACAATAAAATGTATAAGAAAAACAGTAATAACATCTAAGATATGAACTAAGAAAAACATCAACTAAATATACACTAAGCACTCATAACATAAAACATTGAACATCAGCACAAACATGAACATGAGTCTGTGAGCAGACTCATGTAGTCATTTAGTCATATTAAAGAACATACTAGTATTTATGTCATTATATTCATAGCAAGAAAAAAAAAATTACGTTCCATTTGTTGAACTTTTATTCTTTTAACGTCCAAGCTCACATGTCTGTGCGTCATATCCTGTAATTAAACTTGAAAGCGTTTGTGTAAAACATTTTTTCTGCCCGCTTGGGCGGAGTTTCAAGAACAACAGACACGTTTATATGCGCAACCAAGAAGCACCGCCAATCCGGCACGTTCAGAACACCACTTAGAGCGAGCGCTGTCCTGTCAGTGAAGGCGGGAGAACGAGAAGCAGCAGTAACTTTTTGATAGATGTTTGTTTCGCCTTGTTTGTTGTGACTAAATAACAGCAGTGGTTCGCCTTTATTTTTAAAGGATAGCTATTTTGGAGCATCACAGGAGCTTCCTCCAAATAACTTTACTCCATGCATGTCGATAATTGAGTTTTAAAGCCGCAGTTTGCAGTAGGACTCTCTTGCTAAGCTAGCTAACGTCTACTTTTTGGTCAGGCAAACTCGTTGATTTTCCTCATCGAGATGGCCACCAAAAAACCCAACGAAAATGGTAAGTGTTAAACTGGACGTGAAAACATGACTTCAGTGATATGGTGGGAAAGTGTGGCAGTGGAATAAAGTTGTATTTAACATTGCAGCAGTTTACAAATAGCTCGTACTGAAGCATCCTGACGGGACGTTATTAATATCACCAAGTTGTGGTCAGCAGTCTGCTCTGAAGTTTGGATTTATACTTTGTAGAGCAGCGTTTTTTTCCAGCCCTGTCTGATTTACTTATAAAAAGTATTGTGTGACTTATTCTTGTTTTGTGCACAGGTGCCACCCTTCCTTTTGCTGCCCTGCAGCTCCTGGCCCCGCCTGTCCGTCTGGTGTCTGCAGCCCTCTGGAAGGTGATGAAGCAGAGAGATGTGATGCAGTACGGTGTTGTGGAGGAGTTTGTGACCTCTGCCTGTTTGACCTTACCTGGGCTGCTCACCTTCCGACACCAGGGCAAGCTGACACTAGGTCTGAGAGCCCGGGTGAGTGTTTCCAGTGTGGTCTGTGACATGCCACATCACGTCTTTCCTGTTTGTTTCCTTCATTCTCTCATGGGCATCTGCCATCTTTGCAGCTAATCTTAGAGTTGTGCCGCTCACAGCCTGATGCTGACGTGATCGCGCCACATCTGGAGAGGATCCGTGCTCCTGCTTCTTCGTCTGTGGTAATTTAGAGCCAACGCTCCTGAGTCGCACTGAACTATTTATTGTCGGGGACAATTTAATCAGGACAGTAGAACAAGTTCAAGTAACATCACTGTGTTTTATATAGGACTTTTAGTTAACTGCTAATTTACAATGCTTGTCTCTGGCCAGGCTTATTTATCTTCCAATACAAGGCATAATACTAATAAAACAAATCGTCACTGTCACGTTCCATAATTGGGCATAAAAAAAGGAAACTAAAGTAACATCAAATTTAAATAATCTGAATTACAATAAGGGCTGCATGGTAGCTCAGTTGGTAGAACTGTTGCTTCTCAGCGAGGTCGCTGGATTGAATCCCAGCCGGGAACATTTCTGGGTGGAGTTTGCATGATCTCTTCATGCATGCGTGGGTTTTCTCCAGGTACTCCAGTTTCCTCCCACAGACCAAAAACATGCATGTTAGTCTGATTGGTAACTCTAAATTGTCCCTAGGTGCGAGTGGTTTGTCTTGTTTGTCTCTATGTGGCACTGTGATGGACTCGAGACCTGTCCAGGGTGTACCCTGCACCAGTGACCCCTGCGACCCAAGAAGGAATAAGAGGGTAAAGATAATGGATGGATTGTGTCCAAGTATTTAAAACATTTAAACATTTCGTGTCTCTCAGGTCATCTGGACAGATTCTTCTTTGTTTAAACTTTTTTGTCTTTTATCCAAAGTACTTCTTCAGTCTGAAACACTGCAACAAACTCAGTCTTAGGCTGATGGTCCTCCTTTTGCATGTGAAAAACTAGTTCTGGCTGTCATCAGCAAACTGGTTGGTCCACTATGAGAAGGTGCTATATAGAAGACCGAGTCTGTTTTTATATATATATATATATATATATATATATATATATATATATAGATAGTCTGTTTTGCTATATAAAACTCAGTTCAGTTTTTAGAAATGTTGAAATAATAGAAGCTGCAGTCCCTCCCTAATGCATACTCCAAGCACCAACAGATTGTTTCTTAAAACTTGAACGACCCAATTCTGTCTGTTAGCGCAGTATCTCATGAAGCAGTGGACAGATTTTCATGAAACACTCAAAACTAAATTAATGCATTTACACCTAGAACTGATGAACTCTGCTGCTACAGCTAGTTTTAGCCAACACAAATAGTGGCTAAAACTTGGGTCAGTTTTACAGAGACTGAGCTCTAACATTTACCCTGAGCATGAGCAGAACCACTAAGATCTTTGTTTAAAGCTTTGCCGTGCGAGGTGAGGGAAGATATATGCATTCGCTGTGCCACACCGCGAGACTATCTCCACGTGTCTGACGATTCTTCTGCAAAAGAAAGCTGAAGAGTTTTAACAGAACAGTAATCTGAACAACAAACTTGTTGCTATGGGTCATTTTTACAATAAAGGATGTGAAAATACTGTAAATCAGCGTGTGATAAACTTAAAAAAACATGATGAAACCAGAGGCACTTCCAGCAAATTAAATACTGACAGTTAAAAGCTTTTGATAAAGTTTATGCTTTTTAAGATGGAGAGATCTTGTATGTTTTGCGTTACAGAAACGTAGTTTTCCACAGGACTTTATGGACCTTTTTATACCCAGTATGTCAGAGGCAGCGAAGTCTTTTTGTAAAAAAAAAAATCTAACTTGTGTGTTTATCATATTTGTGTTATAAATAGTGGAATTTCTCTTCTTTTTTTTTTAGAAAAAGGATGTTAAAATTCTGAAGACCGTTGAAAACTTCCATTTCTTTATTCACACGTTGTTGGCAAACGCAGCGGAGCGAGAACGCTTCTTTAACGTGAGTGTCCCTCCTCTGACGAACAGCACCGACGACACAGGAAGTGACATTCATTCTTTAATCGTCTGTCAGGATCAGTTTCCGGTGGATTACGGCCCGAAGTTTGAGCAGGAGTTGGAGAAGCTGCTGTGGGAGTTTTTGATTCGACTGGACCAGCTGCTTCCAGTTCCCAGCCTCGCTCAGGTCGCTGTCTCACGCAATATTGGATACAATTTTCACTCTTGTTGTAATCTGTTGTTCTAACTTTAAGACTGAATGTTCTGTTTTTGATAGACGCTGTCCTGGCTCGGTGAAGACCCCACTGTTTTGGAGGAATGTGCACAATTTGCCAATCGATCTCATCTTCTTGATGTTCTACTTCAGCATCAGGCGTGTCTGGGTCATCTGGAGTCAGCAGGTTCAGTTTTCACTCAGGGGTCTTACTTGTAGGAAGAAAATACTAAGTGTGAATAAACGTTGAAAATTGGAAATAACAAAATTAGCGTTTTGTTTGTTTCTGGAATATTTTTCTCTTGTTTAGCAACTTGTTTAAGTTACCCTTTAACAAAACGTTCATTTATTTATTTATAGTGAGCTTGATGTTGTCAAAAACTTTACAGTCTCTAACAAAGATCGTAGTTTTACAAAATAAAAACCACGCTAATTGAAAATCCATTTTTACCCGATTAATGATCATAAAACTGAGAACACTGTAATCAAGTGAGCAGTAGGACGTCTTTTTCTCATAAAATGCCTGTTTTTATTTTGCAACCAGAAGCTCTGCACCCTGTTGACAATTTCATTCATTCTGTTGAGCCTGATGTTGTTTAAATCTTTACAGTTCAGTCTAATTCAATTCAGTTTATTTATACAGCGCCAAGTCATCTCTGGGCACTGAACAGAAACATTCATATTCATAAAAAGTAAGTTAATAACACTATTTATCTGAGGAGCAGACTGCTTTGAGTCTAACGTCATCGCAGACTCTCATCTTGAGCAAGCATGAAGGTGACAGTGGAAAGGAAAAACTCCTTGATGAGGAAGAAACCTTTAGCAGAACAAGGCTCAGGACAAGCGTCCATCTGCTTCGACCTGCTGGGTTTGAGAGGAACAGGAAGGAGGAACAGATACACAATGGCAGGTCGAGAATCACCTGTTAAGATAGAAATAGTATCAAATAAAAACTATTCAAATGTAACAATTTATTTAAGGAAATGAGGTCCATTTTTCCTCCAGTAGTCTAAGCCTATAGCAGCATATCAAGCCAACCCTAACTATAGGATTTATCAAAAAGGAAAGTCTTAAGTCCAGTCTTAAAACTGGACAATGTGTCAGCCTCATGGACAGAAACTGGAAGTTGGTTCCACAAGAGAGGAGCCTGATAACTGAAAGATCTTCCTCCCATTCTACTTTTGGAAACTCTAGGAACTGCAAGTAAGCCTGCAGTCTGAGTACATAGTGCTCTGTTAGGAAAATCTGGAACAATAAGATCTGTAATATAAGATGGAGCTAGGTTGTTGAGAGCTTTGTAGGTTACAGTTGAGATTAACTCCTGGGACAAAAAAAACATGAACATTTATTATTTGGCAACAAATTTTTTGATTAAAGTCTCCAAGACGGATAAAATATTTGATAAACCAAAACATATTTTGTATTTAGTTAAAGTAATAGTTCAGATCTTTTAAAGTGTTGTTCATCAATCAGGTCCAAGTTGAACTTTTTCCAGACAAGTAGTTTAAAGAGTTATCTACAACAGGTAAGATAGTAATTGTTCATAATCTTTCCAGAGAACCCAACTTCAAAAGATCTGTCACTTTAAGGGAAGGTAAGAGGTTAGGTTTATTTAGTTTATTTCTGCAATGTTTAAAATAATAAAACACTGAAAACATGGTGCAGGAAGTCTACATTTTATTTTAATAATGAGTGACGGGAGGAATGGAGAAGTTTAGGTGAGAATTCCTAGCGAGTCCAGTGCTTCATCTTGTTTATTGTTTTTGTTTACAGCATCCTTGCCTCCGAACATGGGCGACTCCATCCTGGCTTCTCTCTCTTTGCCGCCGTCTGGACGAGTGGCGTCAAATTATCTAACGGGAGACAGCCAATCGTGCGATGAGTGGTGGAACAGCTCGCAGCCGGGGAAGAAGTCGCCGTTTATCGCACCCGTCATTGGACTCATTTCTAACGAAAACGTACCCGTCATGATCTCCACCAGGGAAAGACCGCAGCAAGATGACGAGGAGACAAACGTGAAACCGGACGCAAGAAACAACCCCCAATTCACTTTGATCAAACGGATGGAAAAAGCCAAAGACGACGGGCCGAAAGAGATTCAGGACGAGGGGAGCGTTTTAAATCGAAGCGGCGGAATAAAACGAAAGCAAGCGGGAAGCGAAACCGAGGAAGTACGTGTGACCACGTCTAGAAAAAAGAGGCTCAAAGGGCACGGGCGGTGTCTGAACGAGAGCGAGGAAGACGAAGCAGAAAGTGTCGGAGCGGACGGCTCTAACCAAGACCTCCTGAGCAAGCTCCACCTGCCTGAAGACCCGTTCCTCTGCTCCGTGTTTACTTCCTGTCTGAGCACACAGCCGAGAGTTGTTGTGGAAAAACTGTCGCTTGATTCTTCTGGCTGCAGCAGCAGCAGCTCGTCTGGAGGAGGGAAGTCGTTTTATAAGAGGCGAGACGATCACAGGAGGAAGGTGCCGGAACGAAAACAAACGAGCCGCCGTCAGTCACCTGAGAGTCCTGGCCTGGACAACAAAGAGTAAGAGACACGAGAATAAGAAGCGACAAACATTCAGACCATTTGGGATGGGCTCACAGTAATAAGATGTCACTATTAAAAATATATATATGGGTTAAACATTTTATTTAGCCTTTTATTAGTTCTGACGTTGATCCACTGAGTTAATTGAAAATTGGTTTCATTTTTACTGTACGTTGAATAAAAATACAGTTTATGCTTAAATTTAGAGGTTTTGACAGTCGGCGTTGTAGATCTGTTACAATAAAATACAATAAGTCTTTAAAACTTAGATTTTGTGTGTGTTAGTACACTGAATAAATGATAACACGTTTTAGTTAGTTCTCCGTGTCCTGATGCTGCTCAATAATCAGGTAAATCTGACGAGGTTAAGTTGGATCCTCTGGAAGGGTTCTTTGTTGAAACGTTTCGTCTTTTGTCCAAAAGTTTTCTTCAGTCTGAGGCGCTGTAATAAACTCAGTCTTATAAATAGCACCTCTTCAGAGTGGATCTACCAGTTTAGTGGAGACGACCAGAACTAGCTGTTAACATGCAAAAGTAGGATCATCAGCCCTAATAGCCGCTTGCTATTCACCGAGCTGAGTGATACTAGCAACAACAGCATTGTAAGAGGGCGACAGCTGAACATGGCGGCCTCCACCCGTTTAATGATGGATGGGTTCTCTTCACTAAGATGGCCTCCTTTACTCCTCTCTCAAACCATCGTTCCTCTCTATCCAGGATGTGAACATCTTCATCCCTGAAAGAGTGACCTCTGGCCTGGAGATGAGTGTAGACCACAGAGTCCTGGCCTGATGATGTTGCTCTTCTGTGCTGGTCCGTCCTTTAGATAAAAGATGAAACGTTTCAACAAAGAACCCGTCCAGAGCACCTGACTTAACCTTGTTCAATTAGTTTTTATCAGAATGTACCAAGTGTTTGTTCTGCTTGACAGAAACCAGCCTGTGTTTTCAAGCAGCCCTTCCTCACTGCAGCGGAGTAACGCAGGTGATTCAACACTTCAACTATTATTCGAACATATTTTGAAGAGACGGGTTCAAAGTTGTGTCATCTTGTGTTTAGAGGCGTCAGCTCTTCGAGGAGACGACGACGAGTACGTAGCAGATTCTGAAGATGAAGGGACGAAGAACTTTAAAGGCAGGGTACGTTTTGTCCAAAGATGAGAGATCTTGGTGGAGGTGAAAGTTGGGGCCTCTGTGGCAGATGCTGTCATAGAAACTCGTCTCTTAAATAGATCTGGGCTGTAATTACAGTTTCTCTCATGTCGTTCAGTTGTGTCAAGTAATTTATATGCTGTTAACTCGTAGTAGTGACTTTAAACTAACATGTTGAGAAATGGCAGCATTTTAACAGTTTTAGTCCAACTTTAAAATGATAGACCCACAATGTCATGTGAGACATCACACTCATTCTTTCAGCTTTTCCCTCTTCAGGGGTCTCCACAGTGAGTCGTCCTCCTCCATCTTCCTCTGTCCTCACTCCATCTACCTCCATGTCCTCTCTAACTGCATCCATATACCTCCTCTTTGTCTTTCTCCTGGCAGCTGCATTTCTAACATCCTTCTACCAGTATACCCACTGTCCCTCCTCTGGACATGTCCAAACCATCTCAGTCTGGTCTCTAACTTTATCTCCCAGTTGTTCAACCTGTGCTGTACCTCTGATGATCTCAGTCCTAATCTGATCCATCCTTGTCACTCCTAAGAACCTCAACTTCTTCATTTCTGCCACTTCCAGTTCTTTCTCCTGTCTTTTTTGTCCATGTCTCTGTCTCCAGACCATACACTGTAACTGGTCTCACCTGTCTTTAAACTTTTCCTTTGATCGTTGCCGACACCCTTTTGTCACATATCGCTCCTGAAACTTTTCTCCGTCCAGCCTGGACTATCTCCTTCACCTCTTTATTCCGTTTTCTTGAACAGTCGACTCTAAAATCCTGCACTTTTGAATACGTTACGAATGATTCTCAGCTACTACCACGTAAAATTGCTTTTATTAGTTCTGTATTTGTAAAGTTGAGTTGTAGCCATTTTTGTATTTTTAAAGGTCAGTTGGCCGTGTCAGCCATCTTGAATTAGATGGGCTCCAAATGGTAAACTGTCTACTAATTAATTTGAAATTAAAATCCAGCTATTGGCTCATGATACTTTACAAAAACACACAAACAAAAATATGATCGTTTGCTTTTTTTAATGGCAGGCTGTTTAAAAATAAATAAATAAAGTTTTTACTGTGAAAACTTGTGCTGTCATGTTTTTCTGACTTTATCGCCCCCAGCTGTTCGTGAAGCGCTACTACAAGACCAAACATGGCACCTATGTTCCCACCCTGAGGGAGTTCTGGAAACCAGGTGTGACTCGAAGAGATGCGTTGTCCTCTCGCAGCAAACGCAGGTGATCGTCGGGACTTTTCGCTGCACCGTAAGCTGCCTGGAAAACAAATCTAATCTACGACCTTAACCACATCACGTTTTCTCTTTATGCCGTGTACAAAATCAACCCAACCTGTTCAGACGTCAGACCGACTCCGGCTGATTTAAACATGTTTTATCATGAACAGTCCCACAGATAGTGCTGTAACTGATTATGAGCCGTTTTGTTTTCATTCATATTTAAACTCTTCCTTGATCTCGATTTTTCTCTGCCACCATCTTATTTACAACACAAAATGTAACGTTTGAATATTTTTGACTATTAAAGTTCATTTATTAAAAAAAGCAATCGTGGATTTTTATTTAATCCTTTTATTTTATGTTTTTACATTAATTGTGACAGTATTGGCAAACATCCTGATTCATACAAGATGAAAGAAAAACACGCTTCACACGAGTCCTGGCTTTAAAATAAAACCACATTTTGTTTTTCTGTTGATTTTACGCAGCTCAATCAGATTTGGTCACCTTTTATTTTAACATCCGGTATTAATTGTAGTGTAAAATGACACATTTAGATACAAATCTTCACCCTGTTTAGAAAACGCCTGTCATTTTGAGCATGCAGCTACAAATACTTTTAATTTATCAGTATTAGAAATTAGTTTAATATATAGTTAATTGGCATTGCAGTATGGTTATTCATTCACAATAACATCACAAAACACAGCTTTTTTCATATCTCGATTAGAAACCTGCAGTGAGCACGTTACAGCCAGGGGAACAAACTAAATGAAGTCAGTCTGCATTTAAAGCCAAATCTTAAGCAGTGGTTGAACACGTTGCCCCTTTAGTTTGATTCTCCGTGTGTTCTGAACCTCGTTCCGCTGGCGGTTCAGAGTCGGCACGGCAACCCTCCGGACACGGTGATGGTCTCTCCTGTGATGTAGGACGCCTCGTCGGAGCACAGGAAGGCGATCACTCCCCCGATGTCTTCAGGCTGTCCGATTCTAACGAAACACAACCCTTATTCACGTGCTCGAGTCCAACACAAGATTTTATGACAAACATTTTCTTCATCGTCACCTTTTAATGCTGAGCTTCTTTGTAAATTCGTTCACAACGTCTTCATTTTCCCATAACTGGAACAGAAACAGTACAACATTATACAGTTTTATTAATCAAAGGAGAACACAGGAAGTTGTAAGGGGTTCTCCCATGTTTGTTCTGATTGTTTTTGGACCTGCTGTGGTCACTAGCACGGTGGTTCCCAACCCCTGGTGAACACCTGTCACCTCCCGATTCAGCGATTTCATTACTTCATCTAGTTCATCATTGAGCATGCATCAGGAGATTACTTCATCTAGTTCTGCAGAAGCCTGTTAATCAACCATGCATTCAAGTCAGGTGTGTAAACAAGTAAAACATGCAGGAGGGTGTTCCTCGAGGAGCGGGGTTGGGAACCACTGCTGTAGCGTGTGCTGGGTCCATCAGAGGACCGCAGCAGTTTTGTTGCACAATTATTGTTCAGGAGAAATTTGGTATTTGTGCAACTTTTTGAAATATTTAGCCTTTTCTGCCATTTTTTTGTCTCAGAAATGAACTGAGCTCATTTTACATCTTTCAGATCTGTTTACAAGCTTTTCCTGCTCCTTTCACATTTTGTTCTGCTTCAGCTTATTTGTGCAAATTTAAACTTTTTTTCCAGCTACTTTCACTCGGCTGTTTTGTGCTCCTTTGATACATTTTTGTGCTTCTTCTAACTTCTTACTGCTACTTTCAGCTTGTTATGCTCCTTTCACCTAATTTCTGCAAGTTTCAGCTTTTTCTGCTATTTCAGCTAATAGCTAGCATTTGTATGCTAATTTGAGCTTTTTCAGCTAATTCCACATTTATGGCACTCATTTCAACTTTTTTCAGAGCAATTCATCAAAAATGTGCTCTCTCCATTTCTATTAAATTTAAGCTTCTTTCTGCTTTTCTAGCTACTCTTCAGCTGTTTTCTAATTTCATCTTTTTTCAGATAATTTCCACATTTTTGTGCCAATTTCTGCTCGATTCCGCTGCTCTCTCCACTTCTGCCTTTCAGCTACTTTTCAGCTGTTTTGAACATTTTTCAGTTTTTTTTCCAAATAATTTTCACCTTTTGGCGCTAATTTCTGCTTCTTTCAGTGTAATTGGGCATAATTGTGCTCTCTCCACTTTCGTCTGGTAATTTAAGCTTCTTTCTGCCTTTTCGGCTATTTTTGCTGATTTCAGCATTTTAGCTAATTTACAAATTTTTGTGCTCATTTCTGCTTATTTAAACCACATTCAGCAAATATGTGTTCTTTCTGCTTTCTTCTGCTAATTTAGGCTTCTTTTATTTTAGCTTGTTTTCAGCTAATTTCAGCTGTTTTTCCAGCAATAAGCATTCACACTGCATTTTCGCAGGAAATGCAATTTCTATAGTTAAACATAGCAGTGATGTTGGGTTCACAGTGAAGCTGAGTGAGATCACGAATTACATATGTACCTTTATTTATTTTACTGCATCTGTTATGTAAGTAGGATTACTACAAAGTGACTCAAATGGCTCTGAGCCATGTTAAAGTCAAAATAAAGTGTAGTTCAAATGTTTTGTCGTTTTAACAGAAACATCAGCAGACCTGCTGATATCCTGTTTGTTGCTCACTGACCGCTCTCTGTAGGACGAGGCTGTGTGGTCACATGAACTAAAACATATGTGTAACAACAAATCTGAGCAGGCTCCATTTCTCCAAACCATCTACAGCAGGTAAGATATTGAGTCTTAATAACCTTTCTGTAGAAACCCCCCCCCCCCCCCCCACACACACACACACACACACACACACACACTTTAAAAGATTTGAACAACAACAAAAAAGTAAAAACCAAAATGTGCTAGTTTGTGTCCTCACAACAGAGCTGAATGAGGTCTTGATGATTCCTGGAGCCACGTTGTTCACCCTGATGTTGCTGTGGGCCAGCTCAGGAGCCAGGTTCTGGGTTAGACCCAGCAGGGCCGTCTTACTCACACAGTAGGGACCCAAACCCTGCAGAGAGGGGTCCGTGTGTTAAACAAACCCAACATGAACATTTATTCTAATATCACAGAATTAAGGAAAAATATTTACAACTGTTCAGTCAAATTTAAGATTAAGGCGACATACAAACTAACAAGCATCTGTTTGCATCTATAATACTTTTAAATGTTGTCAAAATATTAAAGTTTTTTAACAAGCTGTATGTTTTGTGTGTACTCTGACCGGAAATGGATGGTATGCAGCCACAGACGACACAAATATGACGTTTCCTCCTCTAAAAGATAAAACAAGACCCATCAAAACTGCCAGAAACAACCAGAAGATGCTTTGAAAATTAAAGTCAGATCCAATTCCTACAAAAACTGGTTCGGTTCAGAACTCACCCTCTCTTCTCCATGTGAGGCACCACCAGCTTAGTCATGAAGAAGGTCGATTTTACATTTACAGAAAGAATCTACAAGAAGAGCAGATTACACTAAAAATGAACTGAGCTTGGATGAATTAAAGTTAAAAGAAGCAGAGGCTTGGATTTAGCCATTTTTACACATTTGGGTTTATAGAGAAGTCCCAGGGCTCTTTTTCAATTAATATATTTTGTGTACCTTGTCCCAAACTTCCTCTGTGGAGTCCATGATGCTTCCGAAGAAAGGCGTGACGGCTGCGTTGCACACCAGGATGTCGATGCCCCCGCACTGGTCCAGAGCCTTAAACCAGATGGAGAATTTCTGAGTTGGGGTGCAGCGTATCTCACGTAACGAGATAAATATGTTCTGTGCACGCTCACGCTCTGTGGGTGACTCACCTACATTTATACCAAGTTTTGTGTCCATATTTGTAAAACTTTCTGAATTTCTAGCCTTTTTTGTGTGGCTAATGTTGATTACCATAATTTCCGGACTATAAGCCGCTACTTTTTTCCCCACACGCTTTGAACCCCTCGGCTGATACAATGCTGTGGCTAATTTAAGATCATTTTTGATGGGCTAACGAGCTTCATACATACAAAACATTTAGCCTCGTCACACCCGGGCGCTTGTGCTTCAATGAGACTACCTGTATAAATAAAGGTTAAAAAAGACTGACTAATTACCGAACAGGTCACATACAGTATCACCCCCTCCCCGTTGTGTACAACAATTTTTAGCCACTTGAAAAAAGTGAATCGTACATTTAAAGAGCTCGGTGGGAGGCTTGGACGACTAGAGGTAAGAAATGGTTTGCCAAACCTGGCCGCATGTGAAGAGCAACTTTTGGATCCTGACAGTGGAGCAGAGTGAAATAATCCTCATCACCAACGGGTTTCAAAAGGCTGCTGCATGATGAAGAGGACGGCACAAGCTGGCCTCCAAAAAAAAACTAACATTTACTTTATGTTTGTGTATGTTGCAGGTATGTGTTTAATTAAAAGTTTTAAAAAAAATTCCTGTGTAAATGTGTCATGTTACAACATGGACACCTTCGGCTTATAGACAAGCATGGCCTATAATGTACAAAATTTTTATTTACTTTTTATTTAGTGGGTGCGGATCATGTTCGGGTGCACTCAATAGTCTGGAAATTACGGTAGTTGTAGCCATCTTGAATTGTCCAGACTTCAAATATTAATCAGTCATAGTTGTAGATTTAGATATTACTTCCTGAAAGTCATAAAAATATATCCAGTAGTTGGTTAAGTGTCTGTTAGTGCTAAAGTATGTGTTGGGGATCAGCCTCAGTTATTACCACATCCAATTTTAGCTCAGTATCTGTAAAAGTGCCCACGTTGTAGCCATCTTTGTGTTCGCTGAAGTACATTCGCTGTGGCGGCCATCCTGGTTTGCGCTGCCTCCAGAAGTTTACCAGTTCTAGATGTTCATCCAGTGATTCTGAGTTTCACTGAAATCAGTCCACTGCTTCATGAGATATTTTGCTAACAGACAAATTAACAAACCCACTCGCGAATAAATGACACAGACAATAAATTTATCGTCCATCTTTTGGCAGCCGGCGATAAAGATGGTGCTCAGACGTGTCAAGAAGCACATTATGGAATATTTAAAATAAAACGAAAATACAATTGTGTTGAAGGCTTAATCATTAGAGTTGGTTTCCTATTAGATCAAGCAGAGAAAAACGGAGCTATCTACAGCAGGTGAGATATTTGTTACTCATAACCTGTCCAGTTCTAAGTTAACGGAGACAGGCTCATTTAATGGAGGTATAAGCTTGTGTTTGCCAAATTTCAACTGAGCGTCTTCAAAGAAAACGTTTCCTCCCTCATCGGGCCGACGTCCAGCACATCCCGGTGAACGACTTTACCAGAACTCTCCACAGCAGACGCTGAAAGAATGCAGCTCAATGTCTCCTTTAAGGATGGGGCTCAGATCCCCTCTGAACATTCTGCAGGTCTGTCGAGTCGCCACAGGAAATGTCTGAGGTTAACGTGGAGGAAAAACGATGCTCTGCCTCTTATTAGATCCAGCAGTTAGGTCACTTTTTCCACCAGCACCAAGAATGTTCAAAGCGCATACATGAAAAACACAAAACCAAGTCGTTTCATTATCGCCCACCGCTGAAGGCGAAGGCAGCGCTTCTGCCTTTCGTTCGCATGTTCACTTGTCTGCACTGTTAGTAAAATATCTCGTAAACTAGCGGATGGATTTTAGTGAAACGTCTAAGGAGTAATCACTGGACACAAGATCCAAGATGGCCGCCAGAGCTAAGCCAATTTTATCAAACACAAAAACGGCTTCATGGTATAACAGCTAACAAGCTAAACGTTAGTGTGGTAGTAGCCGAGGGTCTTTCACAACACACACTTGAAGCACAGCACACTGCGAGGTTTTAGTAATAACTAAGTCAACTTTACAGATAGAGTTCAAATTTGGTGTGGTAGTGGCTGAGAGTCATCCTTATCATATTCTCTAAGTGCTAACATGCCTCACAGCACTGCATGGGATCGCTCATATGTCTTGAGTATCACATTTGGATGATGTCACATTTTCTGACTAACGCACCTTAAAGCAAGTGTCGCCGGCTGTCTTACCGTTTGAACCAGTTTCTCTCTGTCCTCTCCTTTGCCAACGTTACACGTGGTTCCAGTTACTGCGATGCTCTGGCTCTTCAGCAGAGCCACAGCCTTGTCCACGTTGGCCTGCCGCCGGCTGCTGACGACCACGTGGGCCCCCCTCTTACCCAGAGCCTGAGCTGCAGCCAGGCCGATGCTGAGGAGGGAGAGAGCCATCGTGAAAAAAAGGAAAGATAAAGGTGGGCAATAATGTTTTTGCCTGTCGGTGCGTTCACGTACATTTAAATGACCCTACTCAACACAAAAACGGCTCAGTTTTACATATTAAGCTAAACTGGGTGTGGTAGTAGTTGACAGTCATTCACAGCAAGGGCTCTGATTATTAGTCAAAAACTCTGGTATTAAAAGGTGGCAGATGATCATGGATTCTGGGATCATTTGAGACATGCATGTCTTACAAAGACAACAAAACAGCTCCTAAATGCTGCAGGAGTTATTTTATTCTGTAAAACTGACTTTCCTGAACAGCAGACCACAGCCATTTCCTCTACCTGTTTTTATTATCATCATTTTAAAGGGATCTGCTACTTGCACATACTGGCCTTATATGTGCTAGATTTAACGTTATTTCTCTATTATACCAAAAGCTGTTGTTTGTGACGTGAAACCTTCTAATTACTTTATATATGTTAATTTACATTTTACACCAAAGGATGTAGCCATTATTTTACCAGTGCAATGCTTTCTGGGGTCATGACATACAACTTGCAAACTAAATCCCAAAAAGTTGAGGCTAAAAGGTTATAACGTGGCAGTAGTTCTATTTTGTATTAGTCCTTATACACAATACATGGAATGATCAAATGTGATCAACTTGTTATGTTTAATTAATTAGCTCTGGTGCTAATGTTATAAATATACAGGTACTGGTCATAAAATTAAAATATCATGAAAAAGTTGATGTATTTCAGGAATTCCATTCAAAAAGTGAAACGTGTGTATTATATTCATTCATTACACACAGACTGATATATTTCAAATGTTTTTTTTCTTTTAATGTTGACGATTATAACTGACAACTAATGAAAACCACAAATTCAGTATCTCAGAAAATTAGAATATGACTTAAAGACCAATAAAAAAAAAAAAGGATTTTTAGAAATGTTGGCCAACTGAAAAGTATGAGCATGTACAGCACTCAATACTTAGTTGGGGCTTTTTTTGCCTGGATTACTGCAGCAATGCAGCGTAGCATGGAGTCGATCAGTCTGTGGCACTGCTCAGGTGTTAGGAGCCCAGGTTGCTCTGACAGTGGCCTTCAACTCTTCTGAATTGTTGGATCTGGTGTATCACATCTTCCTCTTCACAATACCCCATAGATTTTCTATGGGTTTAAAGTCAGGTGAGTTTGCTGGCCAATTAAAAACAGGGATACCATGGTCCTTAAACCAGGTACTGGTAGCTTTGGCACTGTGTGCAGGTGCCAAGTCCTGTTGGAAAATGAAATCTGCATCTCCATAAAGTTGGTCACCAGCAGGACACATGAAGTGCTCGAAAACTTCCTGGTAGACGGCTGTGTTGACCTTGGACCTCAGAAAGCACAATGGACAAACACCAGCAGATGACATGGCACCCCAAACCATCAATGACTGTGGAAACTTGACACTGGACCTCAAGCAACGTGGATTCTGTGCTTCTCCTCTCTTCCTCCAGACTCTGGGACCTTGATTTCCAAAGGAAATGCTAAATTGACTTTCATCAGAGAACATAACTTTGGACCACTCGGCAGCAGTCCCAGACGAGACGCTTCTGATGCTGTCTCTTGTTCAAGAGTGGCTTGACACAAGGAATGTGACAGCTGAACCCTTTGTCTTGCATACGTCTGAGCGTGGTGGTTCTTGAAGCACTGACTCCAGCTGCAGTCCACTCTTTGTGAATCTCCCCCACATTTTGGAATGGGTTTTGTTTCACAGTCCTCTCCAGGGTGCGGTTATCCATATTACTTGTACACGTTTTTTCTACCACATCATTTCCTTCCTTTTGCCTCTCTATTAATGTGCTTGGACACAGAGCTCTGTGAACAGCCAGCCTCTTTAGCAATGACCTTTTGTGCCTTGCCCTCCTTGTGCAAGTTCAGTGGTCGTATTTTCGACAACTGTCAAGTCAGCAGTCTTCCCCATGATTGTGTAGCCTACAGAACTAGACTGAAAGACCGTTTAAAGGCCTTTTTTTAATTCATTCAACCTTTATTTAGACAGGCTTTGCAGGTGTTTTGAGTTAATTAGTTGATTAGACTGTGCCACCAGGTGTCTCCAATACTGAACCTTTTCACAATATTCTAATTTTCTGGGATACTGAATTTGGGGTTTTCATTAGTTATCGGTTATAATCATCAACATTAAATGAATGAATATACAGCTTTCCCTTTTTTAATGGAATTACTGAAATACATTAACTTTTTCATGATATTTTAATTTTATGACCAGCACCTGTATATTAGCTCTGGTCTGGGGCTAATGCTATCAACATATATTAGCTCTGAAACAAATGTCATAAATATTAGCTTTGGAGCAAAGGTGAATGCTGAGTCATCTCTGCGTTCTCCTCTCTGTCAACATGCTTCGGTTCAACTAAAGGGCTGAATGTCAGATAATGTCCAAAATTAACTTTTTTTTTTAATTATTGGTCCAAAATTAACATTCAAACTAAATCAAATTTGCGTCAGGGCAACTGTCTACGTCATTTACCCAGAATGCATTGCAACGTAAATAAAATGGCAACGTCTGTGTGTCAATAGTTTCTTTTAATTATAAAAACCAAACAGCGTACAGTATTTTTAGGTCTCGTTTTTGTAGCCGAAGTAGTTGCTTGCATTCAAACTCGAAGATCCATAAAGTTTAAGGACGAACAATAAAACCATTCTTACCCATTTGTGGAACCAGTAACTATGGCTACTTTGCCAGCAAGACTGCTCTGAGACATGCTTCTCTGTCCAGCAACAGGGTTGATCTTGAGGAGCCTGAGGACTCTCCTCATCCTCACCTGCGAACAGAAAATGGTAACTTACTCGTGTAATGCTGCTTTAACTAGGTTAAAGGTCATGGACTTTGTTTTTGTTTACAAGACTGATATAAGGTGGAATTTTGACACAAGCACAAGACATTTTAATTACTTGAGCTTATAAACTAATGACTGATCGATAAGTCAGCAGTAGAAATAAAATATATGATAGGCATTTTCAAAGATAAAGTCAAACGCGCTCGCGCGGTAGACTGATCGGTAAACATGCGTTTACACTAGAGCAAAACGATTATCTCACCAAGCAGCTCATGCAAACTAAGAAATTATGTCGCAACAATTTTTTTTACAGTTTATATAAAAATCAATAAACTTTTGCTAGACTGGGCTGTCTGAACCATGAACCTTGTACTCTAGCTAGTATTTTCCGGTTAAACGTTCGGCTGTCAAAATAAAAGACCCCAGCGAGTCGTCGCTTTCACGTTGCTGCTTTCAGATTAATGTCCGACCTATGGTTATTATATTAGCTCATATTTTGTGAAAAATATTGGTAAATAGTATTAATGTTATCATAAATATATGGTGAATAACAAACAGGCAATGTTGTGTAGAACGTGTGTTTTAGCTTACTAAATGACAGAAGAATTTAAACGTCCCTAAACGCACCATCAACAACTAGCCAATCAGACGAGCTGTGTAAAGTTGGTGTTGTGTCGAAAAAAGCACCCCTTCCGTTCGAAGCGCTTTTTAAGGTAGTTTTAGTAAATAAACTGTAAGAGTCAAAAATCATAGCAAAGGGAGTTGTTTTTTCACTACCCCTAAAGACACAACATTTAACATATGTATTTAAAAATACATATCAGAAAACCATTGCATTTTATGACATATTGGTTGACTACCTCATTTTTTAATTTTATTTTTCTTATAAATAAATGCCTTGAAACACGCTTCCCATGCGGATCGCTTTTTTCGTCACAACACCGACAGTTATGCTCTACTGTTACAGGCTACGCGACTTCGCAGTGGTTGGATGTGACTAAACCATTGCAGTCGGAGGTGAAGTTCGCTTTGAGATCGGCGGAGGACACTGAACCACCGGGGAGGCGGAGGTAACTGTGTCGTCATTGAATGTTTTCACGCCTGGGCAGACTGAAGAAGGGATTTCACATCTCCCTGGCTGTAGATCGTACGTTAATGGGAAGTTTACTGGCCATAAAAAAAGCGAAAAGACGAGGTATTCATTTTATTGCGACTGCTTTGTGTGCTAGCCATGGGTGCACAGCTCGGTGTGTCGGTTTTTTTTTATCCAGCGGTGCCATTGTTGGTTAGCAGTAAAAAAATAAATTAAAAAAAATTGTTGGTTAGCAGCGAGGGGCGATAATAACCAACATTAACGTAGCGTTAGTTATAAATCTAGTCAGTATTAATGGACAGGCCGCGATACATTTTACCGCAATTGTGCTAGTTATAGAAAATGGGAGTTTTATTTTTTCAATACCAGTAATAAAAACGTATATGCACGGTAACGTACAGCGCTAGCACAGTTTTGAATTATGCTATCCGGTTAGCTTCGGTTGCTTTTAACGGGCGACGCAAACCGCCACCTTTTATCGGTATAAATAAGAGTTCACGCTGTGAAATCGGTTTGTTTAACGGTGGTCGGAGCGTCAAACCGTCTCCTTCTGAATCGCAGGATCTGTACGAAGACGTCGAAGCAGCCAGGCGTCATTTGAGATGTGTCCGGACCCGAGCCAGCAGCTGTGCCTCGGCACCGAGCCTCTCTGCGGTCCAGCTCGTCCCTGAGACCCGCAGCTGATCTGATGCGTTACACTTTCCCGCAAACACAACAGAAAACCCTACAATAATGTCTGTCTCGGTGAGTACAGTATTTGTATCCCCGTGTGCGTGAATTGATGCCGAATTTACCATGGTTGGTACATTTATACTTTTGTAAACAGCATATTTCTGAGGACCCTCACTGCCTCCATTGATAATCTGAGGGGGGCTCCCACATGGCTCATTTGAGCCTATCTGTCCCCCTCAGGGGGGTTAGTTTAGAAAATAAAAGGGGGTCGGTCACTCGCTTTTTGGGTTGGCAATTAAACCTTAAGCAGCAAGAGACAGATGTGTCTCTCATCCCCTCCCCCTCCCTCTTATCCTGCTCATTACCATTAAGCCTCTGTGTCCATTTGATCATTGATCCTCCCTGACTCGTCCCTTCTTTCCCTCTTGGCCATAAAACCAAACCCAGCTGGGATATTTAGGGCAAACATGACAAGATCTTTTGGACATTTTGTGTGTATGAACCAACTCATACACACACACACTATATATATTTACATCATATGAGTTTTTTCTATTCATGTTTACTTTTCATTTAGCTCCTAAATGAACAATTTTATGCCCGTAACTTGGCACTCTTGGTGTTTGTAAGTGATTTTAGCTTTTTTTTTTTAATTTATTTATTATCTTTCCCAGACGGTTTTGGCGAAGGCGCTGTTTGACAATACTGCAGAAAGCCCAGAAGAGCTGGCTTTCCGGAAGGGCGACATCCTGATGGTTCTCAAACAGGAGCAGACTGGCGGTCCAGGCTGGTGGCTCTGCTCCCTGCACGGCAGACAGGGCATCGCTCCTGCTAACCGCCTTCGACTCCTGCATAGCGCACCACCACCAAGCCAAGATCCTGGTACTAATGAAGACTCCGTCTACCTGTCACCTGGCCCTCCATTGGCCCAGACCGCTGTCAGCGGGAGCACAGATGATGCAGACGGAGTGTATCGGGCCCCAACAGTCGCAGGTGAGGGTCGAGGAGGGGGAGCTGCCTCTCGGACTGGAGAGCTACGGAGAGTGGAGGGTGGGCGCCCACGCTCACACTCTAGTTCTGGCGTTCGATCCAGACCGGACTGGGATATCGGGGCGGCCGGACGTCCACGTTCACCTTCTCTAAGGGGACGAGGCACAGAAATGTCAGGAACACTTTATCAAAAACCAGGTGGAACTCTACCTGGCAGGCAGTCTGGAGTCCTCATGGGTTCAGATGCTGTGTATCTCTCACCCACTGGACTACAAAGGGCTACTGATGAACCAGAAGACACTACATATCTTGTTCCAAGAGAAACGCTAACATCCGGACAGTCTGATGACTGTTACTTGGTGCCCAAAGGTACACCGCTTGCAAGTGATGATGTTTACCAATCTCCAACAGGTGGAGGTGTGGCCAGTCCTCTTTGCTCTAACAGCGCTTCTGTCATCAATGGAACCTCTCAGCTCAAAGTCAGCCAGGATGTGCCTGGAATGTACCAAACACCCGCTGCACGAGCAAACCCACACAAGACGCCAGCCACAGTCCTGGCCCACCAACACCCATCTTCATTAACCTCTGCCCAAGCGTCTCCTCGACCCATGCACAAGGGCGTCCCACCAAACTCCGCTGCTGCAAGAGGCAAACCTAACGTGGCCAGTCACCGGGGGTCCCCATTGCTGATCAGAGCGGGACAGGCTAGGGCACCGGGCTCGCCCAACTTCGCTCGCAAACCTCCTCCGCCGGCACCTCCAGTGAGAGGAGTCACAAGGAAGGATTTGCAGCAAGCAGCGCCATCATCATCTGACACTAACTCTGCCCCCAAACCTACTAGTCAGGCGAGTTCAACCAGCCTGCAGCAGCAGGAGAGTAAACAGATCAGAGCTCCTCAGAGCAGCGAAGGAAAGATGAGCAACGGCCTGGAAAAAAGTGGCAACAAAGGGATAGAAAATCAGGATCCCTCCAAAGCAGCCGATGACCAGGTATGTGGGAGTTCAAAAACACAGTTTTGTCTCGATTCTCGTATTTCGGAGATAATTTTTAACGCGAGTGTAGCACTCTGTCTAACTTGTTTATTAATACATCACAAATATACATTCATAATTTGTTTTATATGCTCTGCTTCTATGGTAGGTGTATGATACCCCTCCCAGCGGTAGGTGGCATCAACCAGTCCAATCTGCCCTCCAGGGTGATGATGGCATCTATGACACCCCTCGTAGTGTCCAATCACAAGCTGACTCTGAAACCGAGGTAAACATGACTCCTGGATTTGCGCTGCTTGCTAACCTGTGTATACATTTGTCACTTTAGTACCTAGTTTCTATTTGCATGCCTTTAAAAATATGCAGTGGTGTTGAATTTTTTTGTCGTCGATCCCTTAATTTCATGTACAAGTTTTAGTATTAAGGTTTTATAGATGGAAAGATTATTTCCTTTTAAAGAATTATTTGGGGACTAAATTGAAATGGATCACATCTGTCAGCCAATAGTTCCTTCACTGTTTAGGACTGACTGTAGTGACATGTCCTCTAAAGCAGGAACTTCTATTACTTTTTGTAATCTGGTTTTTGTCAACTTACCGTAACAAAAAAAAAAAATCTTAGTTTGATGTGTGATCTTTTTTTAAATCTTAGTCAGTTCATTTGAAAGTGGAACATATCCAGGTCGTATGCTACATGAAGTCACTACTCTTTGATTAGTGATGCTTTTTAGGGTTTTTGCTTGCACGTAAGATCCATGCATTTTTCTAACGGAGTGCTTAGCTCATTCGTAGTAGTAATTTGCATAGGATTTGCTATGAACAGTGGGAAACCGTGCTGGAATTCCTGCCTCTACATGTGAAGTGATTTGTGAACAAGAAAAGACGATCAGATAGCCTGCCACCATTTATTCTCACATTCCTCCATTGGTCGCTGTCCCTGCCCCCCCTCCCAGGCGAGGCCACACCTGTCTCTGTTTGCTGGGGAAGCCTGTCTATCCGGTCCAAATGTCGTTTCTATTTTCTCTCTTGTCACACCCATCTGTGAAGACCATGCTGTGGGTGTTCCACCACCACCCTGCCCGCAGTGGTCTCCCCTTTAATTTTAGAAATGTATCCCAGCTGTTGGACTATGTTTACTCTTGTCCTGCTGGTACTGTATGTGGATTACAGAAACATTTCCATGCTATTATGAGTTGTAAATAAGTCCTACTCTGTGGTGGTCAGTAACTCTCCTAATGCGTGTCCTGATTCTCAATAATCCAGGTGGATAAATATTTCAGTCCTTTCAACTTTCACCTCCACCAAGATCTCTCATCTTTGGACAAAACGTACCCTGCCTGTAAAGTTCTTCGTCTCTTCATCTTCAGAATCTGCTACGTACTCGTCGTCGTCTCCTCGAAGAGCTGACGCTTCTAAACACAAAATGACACAACTTTGAACCTGTCTCTTAAAAATATGTTCGAATAATAGTTGAAGTGTTGAATCACCTGCGTTACTCCGCTGCAGTGAGGAAGGGCTGCTTGAAAACACAGGCTGGTTTCTGTCAAGCAGAACAAACAGTTGGTACATTCTGATAAATGAGAGAAAAGGAACCAAATAAGTTGAGTCAGGTCCTCTGAACGGGATCTTCTTTGTTGAAACGTTTCATCTTTTATCCAAAAGACTTCTTCAGTCTGAGGAGCTGCAAAAAACCCGGTCTTATAAATAGCACCTTCTCGTAGTGGATCAACCACTTTACTGGTGACAGCCAAAACCAGTTGTTCACATGCAAAAGAAAGACGGCTGGTCGTTAGCACCCTGATGGCTGCTTGCTATTCACAGAGGGCTGAGTGATGCTTGCAATAACAGCATTGTAAGAGGGGGACAGTTGAACACGGAGGCCTCCACCCCTGTTTAATGATGGACAGGTTCTCTTCACAAAGATGGCCTCCTTTACTCCGCTCTCAAATCATCGTTCCTCTCTATCAAGGATGTGAACATCTTCATCCCTGAAAGAGTGACCACTGGCCTGGAGATGAGTGTAGACCAGATCACTGAAGAAGAAATCCCACACAAGATGGGCCTTGGAGCAATGTGGATATACTAACTAGGCCTTCCTGAAAGCAGAGAAGAAACCCAAACAGGACTCCAGTCAGCCATCAGGTGAAAAGGAGGAACCCAGAGCCACATCAATGATCATTCTGTATGTTGTGGGAGCTTCAGAGAAACTTATAGGTTTATTTTCTAAACATTCGTTCAAATCCCAAAATATGTTACGTCAAAGACTGGTTCATCCCAAAGATCCAGTCCCCCAGCACAAACAAAGTAATATTGTGTATGTTGTTCAGTGTCAGGGCTGTGATTGGTCTTACATCGGGGAAACTAAACAGCCACTGGCCAAAAGGATAGTCCAGCACAGAAGAACAACATCACTCTATGGTCTACACTCATCTCCAGGCCAGAGGGCACTCATTCAGGGATGAAGATACACTGGTGAAGATTCTCAGTCATCTAGGACATGGTAAATAAAATAAAAAAAAGGTCAAAAACAAAACAACTGGACTTCATTTGTAACTGAAGACATTGTGCTTCGCATCCGAGGAGCTTTTTCAATTCAAAGAAACAAGGAGTGTGGGATTCAAGTTCTAAAGCTGTGGTGTTCTATAAGCTTACATGATGCAGATTGACACATGCAGATTGACCTCTCAATCCTCATAAGAGGATTGTTAGGGACTTTAGTCCCACCCACAGAGGGGCCACTCTGGTCACATGGTTGAAATTCCTGATAGGTGTGAAACTGGCTGGGTATCCATCCTAAAGCTGCATTGTAGGTTTTTGAAAGCTGAAATCTGAGACATTCCTCCTGTTTAAAGATGGTGTGGATGGATGAAGATGTTCACATCCTTGTTACAGAGGAACGATGGTTTGAGAGGAGTGAAGGAAGACATCTTTGTTAACCCAACACCAGCTGTTCCCTTCCTCAGGGGGTTACCACAGCGAACTAACTCACAGGAAGACTTGGCAATTGTTTTTATGACTGCAATGCTGTTATTGCATTACTCAGCCCTCTGTAAATAGCAAGCGGCCATCAGGGCACTAATGATTAATTGTTAGGCTGATGGTCCTCTTTTTGCATGTGAACAACTAGTTCTGGATGTCACCAGCAAACTGGTTGCTCCACTATGAGAAGGTGTTGCTTATAAGGCTGAGATTGTTGCAGCTCCTCAGACTGAAGAAGTCTTTTTTGGTTAAAAGACAAAATGTTTCAACAAAGAAGAACCTGTCCAGAGGACCTGACTCAACCTTGTTAAGTTTCCTAATGGGTTTATTTAAAGGTCTTTGGTCAGTTTCAGTTTGGTCTTCTTCTTTGCAAATCTGTAAACTCAGTGTAACATCTCTCAGATCGTCAATTGAATGATTGTGTTATTGACAGAAATCCATATCATATCTGTACATCCCCAAATTTATTGTTCTTTCACTCTATCACAACAAGAACAGCACACATATTTTGTCTTAAGTTTTCTGTTTTCTCTATATTTTCTGCAGGTCTACAATGTCCCCACAATCTCTATAAACATATCCACATCAGATGTCCAGGCTGATGAAGTTGAGGATGAAGTCTACAGTGTCCCAACACTTCCAGGTGTGCCTCTGGGGCCAGCAGAGTCCAGCCTCTGTGTGGACGACGTTGCTCAGGTTGGACAGGTCTGTTGCGTACCTGGATCTGATAAACGAGCCAGCAGCGGCGATCCCAAGCGAGTCTCCTCCGAGCCCAACTGTGGCGTCTACGACATGCCTGCTCTGAACGTAGAAATCCTTCCCCATTCGTCATCGTCATCCTCCTCCGCCTCCTCCTCCACCCGCCGCCACTCCATTTCCAGCAACGGCTCGGGGGACGTGCAGTGGAAAGCTTCACTTTCCAACCTTGTCCACTCGGTGTTAAGCTCCGCCTCCTGCTCAGCTTCCACTCTGTTGTCACGAGACCTGGCCACCTCATTGGCTGAGGTCCTGTCCACCTGGAAAGCCAGTCACACAGGTGATCCTCCGCCGCCTCTGCAGCAGGCCTGGGCTCGTCTCTCCGACCTGCTTCCGGCATTATCCGCCATCGGTAACGGTCCGCCATCTGAGGGGCTTTTATTGCTAGTTCAACGCACTCTCGAGGAAAGCGCCCTCCTCCTGCAGGCTCAAGGACGTCCTCGTCTGCCTTCCCAGGAATCCCTATCACGCAGGCCTTTGCCAGCGCTCCCAGTGCCTGATGGGAAGTCATCTTGCGGGGGAATGGGTTCCCGTAAAGGCAGCTGGATCCAGGAGAGGCCCCTGCCACCAACACCTCAGCCTGCTTTTCCTTTGCCCCCTACTCCAAACAGCGTGACTGTCACAGTGGGGTCTGTTAACGGGGAAGATGACCCCAGCAATGAGTATGCAGGGATTGGCTTGACTCCCATCCCAGCCCCGGTACCTACAGGAGACAGCGTTGGATATGTCAAGCTGCAGGTCAGTTTGCTTGTAACTGCTTGCATCATCACGTGTACAAAAGTGCACATCTAAATATTAACTGTTATATTTCATAGGGTAAACCGGATCTTCTTCCTGATCTCCTGACTGAGAATGGACAAACTATCACTACAGAACCAAGGGCGAGTTTCTCACCTCCACATAAATGATCCTTTTTCAGTCACTCTGCAGGCTGTACTGAAAGACATGTGTAGCTCTGATACACAAACAGCAGCTCCACACACATTCAGTCACTGATTCACTCCGAGTTGACTGTGCACTCTGTTTACTTGTGAGCGCTGTGACTCATTAATCCAGCCCCGCGTTAATTTGCTTCCCAATGTGCTCTCTGGATTTGTTATCCAGCAACACATAACTTTACCTCGCATTCAACCCTGTTGATATCGGTGTAATAAAAATTTAAATGTGCACTCATCCGGTGTTACTTGGAGAGTAAGAGTGCATTAAACTTTTTTTTTTTTGCGCTTCAGTCCAAGTCAGTTGTGTTGCAGCAAACTGAGGTCCCGTCTTTCTGTTGCTTGGTCCACATTTTTCTGCTTCTTGCAGGGTTCCCTTGTTACGCCTCGGATGAGAAACAAGTGGTCGCTTGTAAATCTCAACAATCTGGCCTTACATAGGAAGGACCCTGCTGGACAATAAGTGACAGACAGCACAGCCATTTCTTCAGCAGTCTCTTGTTTTGATGTACTGCATGAAGTTGTGTGTCTGACTCTTTCAGACATTTAGGAAGAATTTAACGGCAAACGTTCATACATGTAAACAGCTTTATAGACTTTATAGTCATTTGTTTCCCCCTGGTTATTTTTTAGATGTTTTTTAGGTGAATTCCAATTTACTAAAAAAAATCCCACTGTTGTGGTCATTTTGGCTTCCAATAACTGTATGTTGCAAGTAGGCCTGTTGCGATAAACAATAAATCAATTAATCGCATGATAAACGAAAATTATCAACCTCATTTTCATTTTTCGGCTTTATCGGGGTTTTTTTTCGTGTCTCTCTTTCTACTGAAGACACTGGATGACAAAAAGCTCAACTCCGGTGCTCTTCACTGTCTTTTCACTTTAAAATCCATTTTAACCGTCCAAAATTGTGTTTTTGAATCGTTAAAAGCAGCTAAGCTGAGAAGCTACGCTACGAGCTAAGCTAACAGGCTGACCTCAGGAAAAAACGTCTGTCTTGTCAAAACTTCAAAATTCACGGTTGAAACCCGTGCCTTTGTCTAAAAAATAGTTTTTCTCTGTAAATGAAGTTGAGAACTTGTTTACGGATTTTTTTATTAAAAGCTTTGTGTGAAACATGCTATGCTAAAGAGCTCAACTCACATCAAGCGTCCGCCATTTTGAGAACCGAAGCGAGACAGTTCATGTCACATCAAGGGTCCTCCTTCCCATTTTCTTTAGAGACACGCTGCTCGCTCCCTCACTATCCATCCTTCAGTTCATACAGGCTTATACTGCCATCCAGTGGTCAAAAATGTTACTACACTCTAAAATTAACCAACATTTTTTCTTAAATTTGACAATAATTACTAATTATTGTCAAATTTCAAGCAATATTATCGTTTGTCACAATAATTTCTGAGACAATTAATCGCCCAGCAAAATTTATCGTGACAGGCCTAGTTGCAAGATATTGTACAGTAATTCAAATGTATGAACTGGGGCTAAAAAGTAACCAGTGCAATTGATTCACAGCTTCTTTGACAAGACAGTGTATATTTTTTTTCTTTAATATTCGACGTCTCGAATATCAGAGACATCAAGTGTCTCAGATTGGCAGTAAAGTTTAACCGCAATTTAGAAGCGAGCAACCTTGCAGGCTGGGAGACTGACCATAACATGACAACAGACTGGATATGTTATGTAGTTGATTTTTTCACTTACCATCTGATACTGATATATGCTGTTTAGTATCGACTGATACCGATCTGATACAGAAAAACAGTGCTGAATTATCAAAAATGTTAAATCATGTCATCTGGACCCGTTTCTGAAACAGGTCCAGATGACATGATTTAGCCATTTTTGTTGTCTACCTGGATGTTTGAGCTTACAAACCCAGTGCTGAATTAACTTAAAACATTTATTGAGTTAAACGCAGACAGGAATGTACAAATTTATTGAAAACTCTGCACCATAACAGCACACAAACACACCAAGAGCTTCACAAACTTGGTCAAACATGTAAAAACAACACAACTTTAATTTGTTCAGTCAGTACGCTAGCACGTGACGTCACTCAGAGCACAAAGCACAGAATTAGAGCAGTCATGGATCGGTCACGTTGTCACCAATACCCGATCCAGAAGGTTTTCGATATCTGCACCGATACCAATATTGGTGTCGGATCGGAGCATCTCTATTTATTTGTCATATGCAGGTTAACACAGGGTCAACTGCAATGAAATGTTGATGATGATGATGATGATGATGATGAGAAGAACTGATTTTGACTCGCTAAAAACAAACAAACAAAATACTGTAATTTCTGGACTATTGAGTGCACCTGAATATAAGCCGCACCCGCTAAATTAAAAAAGAAAATTAAAATTTTACATAAATAGGCCGCACTTGTCTATAACGTTGTAACATGAGATATTTACGCAGAAATAAAAAAATATGTTTTAATTACATACGTAACGGTAACGCACACAAATACAGTATTTATTTATTTATTTTCTGAACAGTGTCTGTAACACGGCTGATAAAGAAAATAAATACAGTAGTCTACCAGGAAGTCATTGATCGCTCCCCCCCCCCCCCTCCCCCCCAAGAGAGCCGTGTATTGGGCAGCTATGTGAGCGTCTGGGTGTGACGAAGCTAAATGTTTTGATGGCATGAAGCTCGTTAGCCCATTAAAAAAAAAATCCATAAATTAGCCGCAGCATTGTATAAGCCGCGGTGTTCGAAGCGTGTGGAAAAAAAGTAGCAGCTCATAGTCCGGAAATTACGGTACTAAAGCATGCAATAAGGGTACAAAATAAAGTGCCAAAAAGTGAAAAAAGAAATTTACAAGGTCCAAAAGAAATAGAGTAAACAACAACATGGTAGAATATAATGGTGCAAGAAGGATGAATTTGTATGAATAAGTATTTCACAGGTAGTAGTATAAGTATAAATATACCCGGTAAGTAATATAAGCTTAAATACACTATATATATTGCACAAAACTAACATATCCTACACATGATGTATGTTTTGTGTCTAACTTTGACGTCTACATTTTCCCCTAACTTCTCTTGACTGTTTAAAGAAGCCACAGCTGATACTGAACGTTGAAGCTAACTTTCACATGTTCCTCCCACAGCTGACCCCATCTCCTCCTCTGCCGGTGTCCCTGTCCCTGGAGGATTCAGAGCTGCTGTCATTTTACTCCTCTCAGAGCTTGGCTCACCTGTCCTGCCTCGCGGACGCCATCGACGTGCTCTACAGCAGCTTAAAGGGGAACCAGCCGCCTCGCATCTTCGTCGCGAGAGGCAAGAATCTCATCGTGACGGCGCACAAACTGGTGTTTATCGGAGACACGCTTTCTCGTCTTCTGACGTCTGCCGACCTCCGAGCTAAGGTACAGAGACCTTTCTGTTGACTTCTTGTTTTAAACCATATTTGATCGTCAACAATATAAGCCAGTCTTGTTCTGAGTTAGCTTTTATTTTTACTACAGATCACCTCGTCTGGAGGGCGACTCTGCCAAGCCTTGAAGGCGGTTGTCGTGGCAACAAAGGGCGCTGCACAGAACTACCCATCGGTATCGGCCTCCCAGGAGATGGTGGACCGCGTCGCTGAGCTTTCCCAGCAAGCAGCCGGCTTCTCTACTCTACTTCAGCGTTTGGCAGAAATATCGTCATGATATTTCACATCAGTTTGTCTTCATCTACGTTTTCTTCTAGAAATGCCTTATTTGTCGTGACGGTTTTTATCTTTTCACGTTCGACTGGGACGGAAGCCGAAACCTGCAGCAAGTGTTTCACCACATTGCAGCTGCTCTTAAGCTGGGCTTTTAGTTCTGTCTTCAAAGAGTGCACGTGTGGTTTTCCTTCTTCTTTTTTTTTGCCTTTGTTTATACATTGGCATTTTTGCTTTGATGGCACACGCTGTTTTTTTTTTTTTTTTTTACTGTTAACTTATTGAACATTTGAAACCCCTCTGTGGTTCAAGAGTCCATGCGGACATGTTATTTTGGGAGCTCTGTTTAAAAATGCTCGCCATATTTCCTTTCCCTGCACACGATAGCCATTTTTTTCTTCCTTCCTTTATTTATCTAGCAAGCCCCCATTCCAAAAATAAATGTAAGAGGAGGCCTCGCATCCTGGTTCTGACCTGCTCTTCTCAGTGTTAGCTGATAGGCCTTTTTGTTCTCATAGTTCTGAAGAAGACTTGGACTTGGCTGCAGCAAATTTACATTTCAAGGAGAGCGATTTAGGAAAGTTTCCCAAGTTGTATTTACGATCTGTGCCCATTTCTACTAGGAGCTCTGTTTTACTTGAAATGGCACTCTTTGGTTTACCTTGTACGCATGTTGTAATATTAAAAAAAAAGCCCTCACCAACGAGGAGAGAAAATATCCAGGAACTTATCGAGCGGGAGTGAATGACTAATAGAAGTTGGGTGAGAAATTGCCTAAGCCTGCTCGTTCCCACAGTCGAGTGAAAGCTTTCCAAAGTGATAAAAAAAAACTTGTTGGCCGTGTTCACCTGTCGCGACACGTCTTGTTTTGAAGAGTTGCAGTAAACTGCTTTTTATCTACATTTTTGGCTAAGAGATACCTGTCATTAATGCTTATTTATGTCTAAGAGGGGTGGCGGTTATTGCTTCACACATTTAGATATATAAAGTTTATACTAAACATGTTTTGTTGTAACGCTGATCTTCACCATGTTGCCCAGCCTTAGTGAAAACTACAATATGAAGCACAATTTCACTTTCTGATTGCCTGGATACATCATCAGTTGTCAGACCTGAGCCTGTTTACACTGACGTGTAATCATTATACATTGCTCTTTTAAAAAGATGTTCAATGTAAAACAATTGTGAGAGAAAAACTGAGGTGCCGTTTGTAAAGTTACACAGTCATAAATTAACAGCAATATTTTGGGTTTTTTAGCCTTTTATAAGAAAAAAAGTTGTTGATTTTTACGTTATTCATATATTTACAAATGTCATAGTTCAGTAACTAAATATTTAATTTACAAGCTAAATATTTAGTTTACAAACTAAATACTTAACTTGCAAGCTAAATATTTAGCTCCACACTAAACATTTAGTTTACAAACTAAATGTCTATGTCCAAGATAAATGTTTAATTTACAAACTAAATATTTAGGTGTAAATTAAACAATTAATTTCCAAGCTAAATATTTATTTTCAAAATGAAACATTTAATTTCCAAACTAAACATTTAATTTCAAAGCTAAACGTTTAATTCCTAATCTAAATATTTAATTTACTAACTAAATATTTAGCTTGGACCAAAATATTAATTTTTTAAACTAAACATGTAATTTTCAAAATTAAATATTTAATTTGCTAACTAAATATTAAGGTCAGACATAAATATTTAACTTTCTAAAATATGCAACTTGCAAGTTAATTATTTAGTTTGTAAATTAAACATTTAGCTTGGACCTAAACATTTAGTTTGTAAATGAAACATTTAGCTTGTACATAAACATTTAGTTTCTAAACTAACTAGTGTGGAGCTAAATTTTTAGCTTGCTAACTAAATATTTAACTTGCAAGTATTTAGTTTGTAAACTAAATATTGAGCTTGTAAATTAAATATTGAGTTAACTATGACATTTTATAAATGTATGAATAACATGGTGAAAATATGACTTTGAAAACAAATGATGATAATTTTTTCTTATGAAAGGCACCAAAACATTGCTGTTCATTTTTGACTAACTTTGCAAACGGCACCCCATAAAAAAACAGACTTAAACACAATATTTTTCTACATTTACACTACAAGTCCAAATGGTGTGAACAAAATCAGCTTCCTTTCGTAAGAGTTAACGGTGAATAGGTTTTGTACATGTTGGCATCTCGGTTCACTGAGGTGAATCTTTTCTATTTTGTGTGTGCAAGTGTGGCTCAGTTTTTCTGCTGTTACATTTTCCTTTCTTCGGAGCCATCTTGTGGAAGTTTTGAAGTATTACTGGATCAAACACTGATCCACTGTATGAAAGAGCGTATGATCCATTCTTATACAAATGTATTCTCGTGTTCTTTGCTTTCCTCTTTTGCATGGCCTAATTTGAATATTCTTTATGCACATCATTCATAAAGGAGATTTACGTAGATGACTTGCAACTGTTACAGATATATTTTACGAGTCAAATATGAGGATTTTTTTTTGTATGTTTTTACATTATGTGAAGTCTGTAAAGTCTTATATGTATTTGATAATACATTGAAATGAATCTTGGACTTATCTCTTACAGTAATACTTTGTACACTACATTTAAAGCCTGTTTTGGATTCCTGATCAGTATGCACAAATGGATTTTTTACAACAAAGCAAAGGGGTATTCATACCTAAATGTGTTTGTATAACATTTTTCATTCGGGTTCTGTAAATAATGTTATTTATTGATCCTGCTGGACATTTCTTTTACCAAATAATGTTGGTGGCCTAGTTTTTCATTAAGATAAAAATGTTCAAATAAAAACACTTTCTTTTTCCTGAATAAAGCTTGACGAATAACTGTGGCAGGGGGGGCTAAACTTGACCTTTTTAGAAGTTCCTGTACCGGCATGGGATTCGGGGCGAGCCGAGCGTTTCCGAAAACCCCCGAGTGGTGACGCCGAGCGGCGGCCGTAGCGACGTTTGTTAGACTAGTAGCGGAGGGAGCAAAATGGCGGACGAAGATATTACGCTTGATGGAAAACCTCTACAATCGCTCCGAGTTGCGGATTTGAAAGCTGCCCTTGAGCAAAGGAACCTCCCGAAAAGCGGCCAGAAAAACACACTCATTAAGCGACTGAAAGGGGTAAGTTTTTGCGCCTGGTTTGCCCGTCTGTGTCGAGTCTGGCTAAGTAAGTTCAGCAGGAGGCGAGACGGAGTGTGGACATTAGAGGCCGTAACGGTGTTTGGAAGCGGGAACACGTAAACAGTCATGCAGCCGTTGTTACAAGTCAAACACAGTTGACTTTGATTGACAATACAACACTACTTGCCTAGCGAGTTCGGACTCGACTCGTAAGCACCCGCCGAGCACCGTGTTGCACACAGTTAACTGTGCACCTGTCAAGTCGAGGCCTAAGCGGATAGTGTTCAACAGCCGCACACAGTGTACAGGACGGGATCCGCGTTCACGCGGTCTATCTGTGTGTCGGAGTCACGGGAGCGCGCCTCGCCTTGTAAACAGTTACGATCGTCACCTGCTATTTTCTGCGTGTTTCTTTATTTTTCAAAGATGTTTATTAAATGTCTGTTAAAGCTTCAACCAATAATTTGCAAGATTAAGTCCAACGGACTCCTACAGAAATGTTAACTGTTTCTATTAAATTACAAAATAAGATATTAATAACAAATTTAAACTTTGTATCATTAAAGTTCTGGGAAAGAGAAGGCTCTCAAGTGTATTTATTTGAAACTTTCCACGTGGATTGATAAAGTTTGTTTATTGGTGTGAGAGTAGTTACAGTTGTTCTTTGATACAGTCTTATTGATTGGCATTTAGTTTATTTGCTCAACTGAGTGATCTGAACTTTATACGTTTAGATTTCATTTTGTTAAGATATTTCCTATTTAGACTGGTCCTATGTTTTGATCTGCTCAGAGACGGGATTATAATGAAATTATGACCCGGTTCTGACTGGGTTAAACTGGGCCAGCAAACTCTTAAGAGAGTCTCCCTGATAATTCAATATCTGTCAAGAAATAGTTTAATCAGCTTGCCACATCACGTAGGAAAGCTTTAAAGCACCGTCTCATGTTTTCCTAACATGTCAGTACACATAAGACCACACAGTCACGCCCCCTCATACACTGATAGGCTGAGCTCCCCTTCTGCAAAAGGCGAAGTCTAGGACCCCATAAATGAGTGACGACACGGGACTTCGGGGCTCTTCCGGTCTGTGAACACGTCACGGGATTGTGTAGAGTCCAGCGCTGTAAAGCTGTAATCTTTTCCTGCCTTTTTAATATAATTGATAAAACTTAATTGACGTATTCTTGATTTATTGATAGTATGAGTTGCCACTTCTGAGGGAGGTTTGAGCCAGGGGTAAAAACGTGGGCTGGAAGGGGTTTCCGGATCTGGTGACCAACAGACAGCTCCCGTCTTTAACAGCTGGTGCCGTGACCCGGATCGCGGCGGTGAGAGCTGAATGAATTGGACTGGGTTATAATTGGATTGCACTGGAATTAACTGGATTAAATTGAATTATTTGGAAGCAGTGTAATTGGATTTTCACTTGACATATCTGCCTTTTTTGGTGGAGTGCCCTGAGGTAACTTTTATGAATTGGCTTGATATAACTAAACTAAATTGAATTCTAGTCCAAAAAATGCAATCATCAACCCCAGTAGTCACTTGATTGCTGTTGTAAAAATCAGTGTTAGCAAAAGAAATAATGTTCAATAAAGAGGCTCACTGCCAATAATTATCATTTGAATTCTTTTGGTGATTGCATGTGCTAAATTCATACATTATATCAGTTAAAGTGGTATCCCATGGGGCTGTGAATATTTAGCAAATGGTATTCATGAAGTAGTCTGCCAAATGTCCCCAGAATGTCGTGCGATTTTCACGAGGTTCTCATCTTCCTCGCTTGAGCCACAGAGGCGTGCAGTCCTGTAGCTTTAGTTTTGAACACGTTCAAAACAATTAGGGGAACAACTTTTCTCTCAAAATAGTCACAAACTCGTTGTGGGCATCTCAAAACTTTGCTGAGCTGTGTTTTGACGCCTGCATAGGAACTCTCTGACCAAAAACATCAAAGACAAATGTTCATGTCTAAAAACCATGTGGATAATATGTAATGATTATTTAAAAACTGGTTCAAATCTCCTCATCTTCATCTCAAAAGCTTCAAATGATGCATAGTTTGCTGAAATTTGCAGATTTATTACCAGAATTTATTACTAACAACATGGTAGTTTTTTATTTGAAAGTGTCAGTTTAGAAACTTGATTTTTATTGATCTAAAATGATGTCACTGGGAATTCCAGCCTGACGTTTAAAAAAAATACTTCCCCAGTAGGGCTGGGCAATATGGACCAAAATTAATATCTCAATATTTTTAATATGAATGGCAATATACGATATATATATCAATATTTTTTTATTTCCATAAAGTAATAGCAAAAATACAGTTCTATTTCTGAGTCAAAGCTTATTCCCAATTGTCACACAGGCATCTTAATTAACAAACAGCTGTAACTGAACAAAATAAATGTCTTAATTTTTTTTTTTCCTGCATAACAAAACCAAAAACACAGCTGTGCACTTAACATAATAAAGTACATTAAATGTCAGATACTTGCATGCCTATGCATAAACATAGGCAGCACAACGGCTCAGTGGTTAGCACTGTTGCCTCACAGCAAGAAGGTCCTGGGTTCAATCCCCAGTTTGACCTTGGGTCTTTCTGTGTGGAGTTTGCATGTTCTTCTCGTGCTTGCATGGGTTTTCTCACCAAAAACATGCATGTTAGGCTGTGAGTGTGAGCGAGAGAGTGAATGGTTGTTTGTCTCTATGTGTCCCTGTGACGGACTGGAGACCTATTCAGGGTATCCCCCGCCTCTCGCACAGTGATAGCTGGACATGGGCACTGTCTGACTGATAGACGGATGGATTCATTTAAACCGTTTATTTGTGAAGACAACAGTAAAAAAGAATATAGGCTATTTTAGTTGTTGGGATCTGTACATGGCACCTTTATGGATTAATTTTTATGCTAAATGTCAATCATACTGACTTGTTTTACAGCCATGGGTTACAAATGTGCCACTTTTAAACTTGGTTTATACTTCAACAAGATGTAAGGCAGATCAGATGTCTTTGTCTCACAGAGCATTCATAGTCAAAGAGAAAATGTGGGGAATAAATCATAATTCCTCCCACAGCGCTCCAACTGTAGATACATCACATGCATAGCTAAACATATAAAGATAGCAGGATAGACAGAGGTTGTTTTTCACTCATTGGAAGACAAACGTCTTCTAGAAGAGGACCATTTTCAGTGATATGACATGCAAAATAAGCATGCATTCTTCCGCACAAATAAACACGCCCACGAAGTTCTGACCAGTCACACAATGTGCGCCGCATAGCTTGCAAGACACAATTTTGACAGGGGGCAATGCACAAGACAGGCTGTCAGCAGGTGGTAACAGATGGAAGCTACGCAATTTTCATCATGCACGTGCGTAAGCAAGACATACAATGATTAACTTCGTACATTTATAGACATTAACATCCATCTTTACCTGTTTCTTCTTTTCTGGGTCACAGCAGTCTAGTGCCCATGTCCAGCAGTCTCTTCGAGAGGCGGGTTACACCCTGGACAGGTCGCAGGGCCACATACATGCAAACATGCCGAGGGACAGTTCAGAGTCACCACTTAGCCTAGCATTCATGTTTTTGGTCTGCGAGATGAAACTGGAGTACCTGGAGAAAACTGCTGGTTTATGGAAGGTTGTAAGCATAATTCTATGTTTTCCAGCCTTAGACAAATAATGAGTGACTGAGTGGAAGAGTTTGTTAAATGAGTTAATTTCTCCACATTCTTGTTTTCTGATGTCTACATGGTTTATTTTCCATCCACATTATTTCTTATAGACAGCTTTAAAGACAAACAAATGTTGTTTTTTTTAACATTCCTGTATTAATTTACTAATTTAAAAACCGACTTCTTAGAAGTTATATGAACTAATGAAATATTAAGTGGTCCATATACTATTAGTGTCATAACATTAACAGGTAATGCTTAATCAAATAATAAATAATAATTGTCTGCTTATTTTTTAAAGCTGCGACAATCCTATTCCTTCAATTGACATACATTACAAAGTTCTGGAAAATATATTTGTAGTGTTGAAACTGTGCACAATATGATCACATTAAATTCTTTGAGTGGTGTCACTTTTGTTTTGTCAGCTTAATAGTAATTTACTTATGATTTGAATATAAACAAATCATTGTTTTAAACTACAGGGAGCTCTTCTGGACTGGCAGCACTTTGAGATAGTAATACTACCTTTATGTTGAGATCTGACTGTGATATTTAGATTATTCTAATGTTCGGATGGATGGATGGATGGATGTGAACACTACAATAAAATAAAAATAAGAAACACCTATTACTCAATAAAAACACATAATTCAATAAAAACACATAATTCAGTAAAAACACATAATTCAATAAAAACACATTGCACATTCCCACGTACATTCCAGCAAGTAAACAATACAACAATCTGACCAGAGCATCAGCAGCATGACAAAGACTATATGCCTACTTTATTTAACAGTCAAATTGATGTAGGGACAAATTCATTTTTAAATCTGTTAATTCTACAAGCAGGGATTCTATTTCTTTGTTGTTTCACAAACTACACAAAACATTGCTTTTCATTGGGTCATCATGCTCCATCTTTATACATTAAGAAAAGGTTTATGGAAGGTTGTAAGCAGTATACAGTTAGCTAAATCTACAGTGTTGGTAGCTTATGAGCAATGTTCTTAAATGTAACTATGCTTTTTTTGTTGAAAATATCTCTTAAAGAAAAAAATAAAGATTGTTTTATCTTTGCTAGATTCTAGGTGTGTAGCAATTAGGCCTGTCGCCATAGGCGTCGCAACCATTATATGTGAAGGGGACATGTCCCCTCCACATTAAAAAAAACGTTCATTTGGACCCCCCACACACACACACACACACACACACACACACACTTTTACTATAAAACATTAAGTCGGCGCAGCGCAGTTTCTCTTTCTTCGTGAACGAGTCCATTCCACTTGATTAATAGGAGAATACTCAAACCACTAAAACTCCACTCCAGGTTTTCCTGGTTACCTCCAACTCTCCACCAGCATACAACCTGCAGTCTTTCTCATTTACGTCTCCTCCTGCCTCGGCTGAGATCGCCCACAGGTGGAGGAGATGGAGACACCTGTGTGTTTCTCGCTCGCCAGCTTAGCGAGCTTAGTGCGAGCAGTTGTTGACCGGGGGGTTGATCATAAACATATAGGAGGATGTTTGAGAGAAGTCGAGCTACGAGATACGAGCTACGTCTGTAGCATGTTAGCTTAGCAGTAACTGACGCTGTAAGACGCTGCAGGTGTAAGAGACGCTGTGTGTTCAGGTGCATTAAAGTTGAAATGTCGTTAAAACCCCACACCTTATTGTCCTCAATCTTCATGAGAAACATCATTTAGATGAGTAGCGTTGAACACAAGTTAAAAAGTCCAGTGGTGATGTTTTTTTATTTCTCTATAAACACAAATGGTGCCGACCTGAATTGCATTAAAGTTGAAATGTCTTTAAAACAGCTGCATTTACACAAACTTGGTGAGAAACATGCTTTAAATGGAATTAAAGTAAGGACATCTAGGTGAAATTTTGCTTTTTTTGTACACTGTACAATTTTTTGCACACTGGTGTGTGTGCACGCGCACACACATGCGTGCGTGCACACACACAAACTATAGTGTCCCCCCACATTACCGATGCTTCAGACGCCAATGCCTTTCGCAATAAACAATAAATCAATTTATGATGAATGAAATCATGATGAGGCAGCACGGTGGCGCAACTGCTAGAGCTGCTGCCTCTCAGCGAGCAGGTCCCTGGTTCAAACCCCGGTCCAGGGGTCTTTCTGGTTGGAGTTTGCATGTTCTCTCCGTGCATGCGTGGGTTTTCTCCAGGTACTCCGGTTTCCTCCCACAGACCAAAAACATGCATGTTAGACTGATTGGTAGCTCTAAATTGTCCCTAGGTGTGAGTGAGAGAGTGAATGGTTGTTTGTCTCTATGTGTCCCTGTGATGGACTTGCGACCTGTCCAGGGTGTACCCCGCCCCTCGCACAGTGATTGCTGGACATGGGCACCGGCGACCCCCGTGACCCAAAATGGAATAAGCGGGTAAAGAAAATGGATGGATGGATGGATGAAATCATAATGAATGAAAATTATCGACCTCATTTTCATTTATTGGCTTTATTTTTTCTTTGTGTCTCTGGACTGATACTGGACGACAAAAGACTCAACCCTGGTGCTCTTCACTGACCCCTCCCTTTCTCTTTTCTCTTTAAAATCTGTTTTAACCATCCAAAATCACGTTTTTGAATCATTAAAAGCAGCTAAGCTGAGAAGCTAAGCTACGAGCTAAGCTAACAGGCCGACCTCGGGGTAAAAACTTGCGTCTCGTCGAAGCTTCAAAATTCACGGTTGAAACCGGTCGGTGCCTTCATGTAAGAAGTTGTTTTTCTCTGCAAAAAGAAGCTGAGAACTTGTTTACTGATTTTTTTTAATTAAAAACTTTGTGTGAAAAATGTTATGCAAAAGAGCTCAATCAAACCGAGCGTCCGCCATTTTGAGAGTCGAAAAAAGGTACGAGAGACAACCCATGTCACGTCAAGGGGGCTCCCTCCTATGTTTCTTAAAGAGACACGCTGCTCGCTCCCTCATTATCCATCCTTCAGTTCACACAGTCTTAATCTGCCATCTGGTGGTCTAATAAACATACTACACTCAAAACAAATAAAAAACATTTCTTCTTAAATTTGACAATAATTACTAATTATTGTCAAATTTCAAACAATATTATCGTTTATCGCAATAATTTCTGAGACAATTAATAGCCCAGCAAAATTTGTTATTGTGACAGGCCTAGTAGCAATAAATAATCATTTTTGCCTGTTTAAATTTTTTAAATAAAAAGTTTCAACCTATGTGTTTACATATTTTGACATAACTAATAGATTTAAAACTGCTATCTTGCTCACAAACGTCATGAACTTACTTTTGATGTGTAAATAAATGCATTCAGTTCAGACTCACAGTAACGAAAAAGCTGCTCTTTAATTCAAGGCAAGTTTTAAAATGTAGTCACTCACTGTGGTTTTGGTGGTGTCAGGAACAAAAAAACTAATTCACAGCTAAAGCATTCTTACTGTGTCATCATGACATAATGTTTCATTTATTATTTCTATTAACGTTCCTATTTTTGATTCTTGTAGGCTCTAATGCTGGAAAACCTACAGAGGTCATCCTCTACTCAAAGTGTTCTGCAGCCAAACTCTCAGGTTGGATTATTGCCATTTAATTTGGTCATTTTTTTAGGAGCCTTCCAGGCCATTTCACGGATGTTTTTGTACTGTACTGTTTTTAGATCGGTGAAGAGATGTGTCAGAACAGCTTCATAAAGCAGTACCTGGCCAAGCAGCAGGAGCTGCTTCGTCAGAGACTCGAAAGAGAGGCCCAGAAAGAAGATGACGATGATGATGGTATATCACTCCTAGCAGCATCGCATAGAAAGAAACTTTAAACGGAGAAAAATTGTAACCGTTGTACATTTTAGAAAATCCTGCTTCATGTTTCTGTGTTGCAGAAAGCCCAGCCGGACCGGAGGAGGAGGATGATGAAGATAACGACAGCTCATCAGATAAAGTCAGTAACTTCAACATTCTGATTGATAAAATCATAAAAACAATAAACTTCTCGATGTAAAGGCACATTTATTTAAAATGTAAACTGTATTTCTGTTTATTTTAAATAAACTGAAGTTAGTAAAGTCACTTCTTAAATTAAAAACTTAGTAACGATCTAAATAGGATTATTTTCTGTGCCTGGCAGCATCAGCCTTCACTGGCTCAGTCTGCAGTACCTGACCTTAGAGGAGGAGATTCTTCTTTCCACCACCAGGAGGCTCTTGAAACTCCACGTGTCAGAGTACAGCAGGCTACCTTTCAGCAGGGGGAGCCCCCAGCCCCCTCCCCTCCCCGTGCTGTTGCCTCCCTGTCAGTGCGTGTGGTGGGACAGCCCGACTGCCAGGGATTTCCACTCGCTTCTCCTCGTCCCCAGGAGAAGGAGCCTGCAGGACTCAGTCAACCTGGATCGGCTCACCCTGTCCTGAACCTCGGTCGTTCTGCCAAGAGTTCGGCAGGAAATCACGTCCGGGATGACAGCGACGAAGACGACAATGATAGTGACAATGAAGACGAGGACTGGGGACCAGACCCGGGCAGATCAGGACGCCAAAAGAGAATGCCTCCCTCGCTGCCACAGCTGGCCCCCAACATGTCATCAGCTGCTTCGAGGTCTAAACGCAAGCTTCAGCCTCCGCAGCACATCCTGCCTCCACAGGTAGATCCCATCCCCATGCAGCTGCGCCACCCCACACCTCCACCCTCTCCACCCCCTAACTTGTTCCCCTTACCTGACACGCCCAAGCAAAGCCCGCCAGACGATCAGGAACGCCACGGCCTCCGAGAGGCGCAGGCGGCATCTTTCCACCCCCCCTCGATGCAGAGACAAGATTCAGATTCAAGCTCACGGTCAAGCAGCCCTGAACCACATGTGGTGCGCCGACCCGGACCCCTGTCTCTGCTCGTACACAAGATGGAGACAGAGGAGGCTTCTTCAGCCCGTGGCTTGTCAGAAGAGAAGGCGCACTCAACATCTGGGCGCTCCGGTGAATCTCTGCCACAGCACGGATCAGAAAAGGAGAGAAAGATGAAAGAGGAGAAGGAGAGAGAACAACAGCAGGGGCTGGAGAAGGAAAGAAGGAAAACCCAAGAACAGGAACGAGAGAAGAAGCGCTCAGGGGAGAAGAAGGAAGAGAAAACTCGACTGGAAGAGGAGAGGAAGCGGCGTCAGAGAGAGGAACAGGAAAAAGAGAGAAAACGTCGAGAGCAGGAAAATGACCGGAAACGTAAGGAAGAGGAAAAGAAAAGAGAGGAGCGACGGGTGAAGGAGGAAAAGGAAAAGAAACGGAAGAAAGCCAGTGAAGACAGGATGGTGGCAGAGACTCAAGGTTCAGGTTCCTCTTCAGATTCTGATTCCAAGTCAGACTCTTCATCACATTCGTCATCTTCCTCCTCGTCCTCTTCCAGAGATAAAACCCAAACTGCAAACCAGCTGAAGGTTAGTGAGGACACTGTTCTGGCTGTCAGTCACTGTCAGATGATGATGTGGTGCATTCAGAATACCATGTAGGATCAAAGCTCGTTACAGTACTGACATTTTAAACTTGATACCAACACTTTATTCCCTTGTTACTTTTGTAGGGAAAAATCTATTAGGAGGGATGGCTTGGAGTAGTACAATTTAGTCTACAAAATATATCATACAGTGAATTAAATGGGTTAAATAGTTGAAGTCTGGAGCACTTTGAGAAGTTATATCGATAAAATACTTTCACCTTGGTTTAGTTTAGTGACAGCAGCAGCTCAGAAGTGCAGACATTTCATCTGGAGGAGATGAGGATGCCTCCTGTGGTACTGATACTGTCAAACAGGCGTCTGATTAAATATAGCACATTTCTTTTGACCTTGAGGTGTGTTTAAAGCAAAAATTGACCTTTTATGAGTTAATGCTGACATGCATTTTAAAGTTCAATTGTTTGTCGTTCGCCTCTCCTTTGCCTTACTTTCACTTCCACAGAAGGCAGACCAAAAGCAAGACGGAGAAGACGAGAAGAAGGCTAACTTGGGTAAAGCGTTGGAGAAACAAAACCTTTCAAAAAGGTCAGTAATCATTTTTCAAATGCAGCATGTACATCTACTGGCTACTACCGTTACATTTTAAACTCAGGTTTTAAGAGCAAAGAAATCATGAGCATGTTAGCAACCTTTTATCTAAGGTAACGCTAACCAGAAACATAGATCAAATGAGCATTTCAATAAACGGCATGCACCCAGTTTTAAGTTTGATGCACACATGATAAGGGCATGGTGAGCCAGTCAGAGGAATACAGTGACTCGTCAAGACAAAGTAAGTGTAAATAGGCTAAAATGATTCATATTTGCCCTAAATGTGTCAACGCTACAAACTAAGTTTTTGAATATTTTTGTCCTCGTGGAGAGGCTCAGTGACGCGGTTGGTAATGCTGTTGCCTCCCACCTAGAAGGTTGCTGGATTGAATCGTGGCCTCAGACATTTCTAAGTGGAGTTTGCATGTTCTCTCCGTGCATGCGTAGGTTTTCTCCGGTTTCCTCCCACAGTCCAAACACATGCATGTTAGGCTGATTCTCTCTGTGATGGACTGGAGACCTGTCCAGGGTGTTGTCCCCCGCCTCTTGCACAGTGACTGCTAGAGACGGGCACCAGCCACGCCTACAACCCTGAAAGGACGAAGGTGGTAAAGAGAATGGATGGGTGGAGTTCCAAGCCCTGTCCACATGGGGATGGCATTTTGTGAATACACAAATGTTTTTTTGTTTGTTTGTTTTGTTTCAGTCTTGCATTCACATGAAAACAGTGATTTAGGACCCCCCAAAAATTATATTTTTGGAAACCAAGTTCTAAAGTGAAAAATTACAAAAATATCACCCTTGCATTTACAGTACGTGGTAATAGCCGAACCTTAATTAAACCTTTGAAAACCATGAAAATCAAACCTACAACCCCAAGCATGACAGGCATGCTATGATAAATTACATGCTTTCAGATGCCAGTTGCTCCACTACAATTCTTTAATTTATTTATACAGGTGCTAAATAATTTTAACAACTTTTTTATTTTAAATAAAAAAATCCATGCCAGTCTTGAGGCTCATATCAATCAGCTAATTGTGTGTCATGTTCAATCTTACTTTGAAAAACCGCAAAAGAGCGAGTCCATGAAAGTCCAACCACAAAGTAGCGACTACTGTATACTTAATGTTGAAGAAAACCCTACAGTATACATTAAGTGTGCATTTAAAAAAATACCAGTGTTAGTAGTTTTAAAAGACCAGTGCTGTTGTAAAAAATAAAAAAAAATCCTAATATTATGCCCCTTAGAACACCGTGAAGAAATTCTTGCCCTCCTGCTGTCCCTCGATGGATACTGTGCTGGAAAATCATCCATTAGGTGCACGTTTGGACTCTGACATGACTCCCAGTCAATAGTTTAACGTGACACAAAGTAGAAGTTCAACTCTGCCATCGGTCTACAAAAGGATCTGTTTCCAGTTTCCACTCTTGTTTACAGTTTTTAGCGTCTGCTCCAAATTCAACTTCTTATCTACTGTTTCTAGGTAAGGTGCTGAGTTGTTGAGAATATTTTTTTAGGAACAACTAAATTAAATTATTGTTTTGATTAGACATTTCCATGTGCACAAGGCCTTAGAGAAGTCTTTGGTTTTCATTGACCTAAAGCTTGAACAAGACGTGTGCATGTTGTCCTAAACACAACCGAATTGGAAAAAAGCTACACCAACAAAAATGAGTTTGCCCTCAACATTTCTTTTTGTTTTGTGTTTTGCATTTGATTTTTTAATGTTTGTTGTTTTCTACTGTGTTAAAAATGTCCAATTTCAGTGTGTAACAGTATTTACTTCAACTCAATGTAGTCTGGTTTGAATATGATCACTAAACATCAACTGGTTTGCATGACACTGAAGAGTATTCCTATAAAACAAATACCCCGTTTAGCAGTTGTATCACTTGTGGAACAATTTGAATCACTTAAAGAACTCAACTTTTCAACAGTTTGCAGAACAAAACAGCGTGAACCTGCTCTATGAATGTTATCACTTGAAACTTAAATCATCATTACTATCGGTAGTTATTTATAAATGTCCTCCACTGCCCTGTTTTCCAAAATAATGACTCATGTAGTCATGGTTTTTATGATTGCTTTGCCTTTGTGCATGAGGGTGATTATACCCGTCACCTTTAAGGACAAGCTTCTTGTGATAAAATCGCAGGAGCGTTTGCTCGCTGTTAATGTCTTTATTTTTCAGAGTATTTTTCAATTTGAATAAATGTGTTTTTGTCTCCACTTGGATGTACGTCAACTACGTAGGCTACACTGAAAACCTCTGCATAAACAAACATTTTTTTTGTCCTGTTGCAGGCTTTTAAAATGTTACTCCTTGAAGGAAAAGGCTAACGTGAGCTTGAAAGTGGTTTAAAAAATGATCTTGCAGTAATGAGTTGTTTTACAGGATGCATGTACTTGTTGTTTAAACTAAACTGCTTGACAGTATTAGCAAGAACATATTTATAATCTCTCTTTGTATATTATCTGTCAACACAAAGCGTTTATCATAAATCTCAACACTCTTGATTGTTTCATCCTGCACTTCTGTTTTTTTCATTCAACCTTTATTTAGACAGGTTAATCCCATAGACCTGATTTCTTAACAAAGATTGATGACAACGATGGATATCGACGATAGCAACAGACAGTCATAAAATATAAAATAGGCATACAAATTTAAAATTCTCTCTTTTTTTTAATACAAATCAAAACAAAATAGCAACCAAAAGGACAATCAAGAGGAATAATAGCAACAACAAAAAAAAGTTTAACATCTAATGCAACAAATGCTACAGTGCTATGTTTTGTTGCAAGGTTCTAGCGCCACATTTGTTTGTTGTTTATCCCCTTTTCTTGTATGTGGTTATTTTTTTGTCTGAAAGAAGCAAAGTGATTCCAACTTTTGTTACATTTTGACGAGCGTCCAGCCGAAGCTTTTATTTTGAAAATCCCAGACCGGAAGATAGTTGGGCATTCTGTTCGACTTGTCCGCGCTAGCCAACATGGCCGTCATGCATGCATTGCTTCCCTGAAACCGACGCAGTACACACGGCCAGCGAGAAACAGAAAAGGACGACGACAGGTTTTAGGCTCAGTGTGTCGCGTTTCGACCCGGACCAGATCGAAGTAACAGCCAGCCGCGGAGTGTCGTGTGTATCGCCGGGAGATTTTCTTTCAAGGCCGGTCATGATGCTGTCCGAAGGCAACAAAAACGGGTAAGAGAGCGCCATGGTGCTGGTTGCTCTGTTAACGCCGGTTATCTAGAAATCGAAAGAGATGTGCGTGTTTTTTTAACCTTGTGGTTCAGTGTGTTGCTGATTATCCGGCAGCACCAGCCTGGTTCTATGAAATATCACGTCAGTTCACGTTCGGCCTGGTTCTGATCGCGGTTCGTCCATGTGTGGAGAGAAAGACCGGGGGTGGGGACGCCTTTTGTTGGGTGAAGAAGCGGGGAAGATTCTGCTGGAGGGGGGAAGGGGGGGGATCTCCTTTTCTTTGATCAATGCCGCAAATAGATGCTCATTGAAGGACACCGATGAATAAGTAATCTCAAAATATCCTGTCGTGATGACGAGAATTGATTTATCTGCTCTCATTTAGCGTTTTTGTCCTTCATCCATAACGTGTTTGCGTTTTGACATTTGTCTTACATGTTATTTGTGTTGGACGTTGTTGGTTTTAGCTGTTGATGATCTCACCGTTAAGGGAGATCTTTAAAACACATCTGTTCGCTGTACGGTGTGTTACAATTCTCCAGCTGTCACCTGTGGGAGGTGACTTCATGTCTCATTTGATGGGTGACAAATGGCCTGGTCAGTCATGGTCACTCTGGTAATTTGCAATAATCTAAAGAAAAAGCATAAGAGTGGTTGCTTTTAATCTGCGTTTTAAGTAGTTTTCAAGGTGCAATCTTGCTTTTCAGGTTGCAGTTGGACTTGCTCATTCCTGCCCAAGCCATGTGTTTGAAAAAAATACTATTCACCAACTAGTATCTTCACTTCCTTTACGCTGTTACTTCATAGGCGCGTGTAAGAAATTCATAGTCAAGTCTCTGTGATCGAGTCATCCGGGTGTCCTCTTGATCACAGAGGCGTACATTTAGTGGGGAATTTGTTGTGTCTTTCCTCAAGCTACAAAATGTTTGATGCCCAAACCCGAGGGAGGTGTTGAGAAAAATGTGGGCTGTGTGCGGGAGGAGGGGTGGTGGTTGTGGTGTTCTTTTTGCTGAACCTAACCAGTGACTAGTCTTTTGTACTGGAGATTGAACAGGCTCTCCTGGGGCGCAAGCTTCAGTTCATTACTTCAAACTAACATTTCAAGTTCTCCTTTGAAAGAGACTTTACAACTTTGCCAGCAGCCATCTTGAATAACAGGGTAAAGGAAAAGGTACATAATCGGAGAGAGCCTGAGCAATTTGATAATTTGACTCTGTTTTTGCACACAAAAAAAATCTTAAAAGTGAAACTAGTTGTGTACTTAAATAATAAACTGTCATTTGATTTTAATTAACTAGTCACTAAACTAAAGTCTGTGTGAATCTTTATGAAATTCTGGGGGTTGTAGTTTTAAGATTGAAGCAGTCCAGCCTTGACCTTACACTGGCCATTAGCTCATCACTTCAGTCTGAATTAAACTAGGGGTGCACCGATCGGCCCCAATTTTTCTTAATTTTGTGCGATTGGCCGATACTAACGTGAGAAACCGATTTAACTTTTTTTTTTTTGTAGTTTTAACAATTGTCTAAACTTGTTTATATTTCAGAGCACTACCTCATGGCCAGTTAAAACAAGTTTGTGTTGTTTCTAGGATATTGTTTGGGTCTGTTTTTCAATGGCAGCACGGTGGCGCAACTGGTAGAGCTGCTGCCTCTCAGCGAGCAGGTCCCTGGTTCAAATCCTGGTCCAGAGGCCTTTCTGGGTGGAGTTTGCATGTTCTCTCCGTGCATGCGTGGGTTTTCTCCGGGTACTCCGGTTTCCTCCCACAGACCAAAATCATGCATGTTAGACTGATTGGTAACTCTAAATTGTCCCTAGGTGTGAGTGAGACAGTGAATGTTTGTCTCTATGTGTCCCTGTGATGGACTTGCGACCTGTCCAGGGTGTACCCCGCCCCTCGCACAGTGAATGCTGGACATGGGCGCCGGCGACCCCCCGTGACCCAAAATGGAAGAAGTGGGTAAAAAATAATGGATGGATGAATGTTTTTCAATGAAATAAGATTGGAACATTGAAGGTCATTGAAGGACAGTGTTGCTTATAAAACAAAATCGGTATCGGCCAAAATCGGAATCGGCCAAAATCGGTATCGGCCAAAATCGGAATCGGCAAGTAAGACTTTTTAGAGATCAGTGATCGGCCAGAAAACTGCAATCGTTGCACCCCTAAATTAAACTAAAGGTTCTTTTACATAATCGTTTCGCAACACCTCCACAAAGACCGGTCCACCTTTATGCCGCCTCTGATCGTTCATAAATCACAGACAATGGCCACGTCCCGCAGAGCGGTAAGCTTTCTTAATGAAGTGAGCGTCAGGGAACCGAAAGAGGCACGAAGCAGAACTCGGCTGGTTTGACATGGAGCTCATCGTATTAAATGTGTGGTATAATTTTCAAAAGTTTATGAATTAACTCACTGATTCTCTTTGTGGTTAACCAGTTTTATTTTATTTTTTACTAAATACAAAGTTGCTGTTCATCATCATCAATCTTCCTCTGTTATAAATCTGTTTGTTGTTGTTGTTTAAACCCACAGATGGGTGGGCTGCATAGACCTTATGTCATCACATATTTACTCCAAAGCAGGATTATCTTTTCTCTTGTCGACCGTTTCGGTTCTGTTTCTATTTCACTTCACGGCACAAAACCCCCTCGCCACCTCGGTCCATTCAAAAGTCCCACCGAGGCGACCAGAAGGCATCTACAGCGAACGAGCCTTAATTCTGCAAACGGAGGTCATTTGCAGAGCTATCTACAGCAGGAAATATACTTACTCACAACTTTTCCCTCAGAACCACATCCAAAATGAGGTTCCCTTGAAGTTTGAGTCAAACATTATTCAAACATTTAGAAATGTTTTTTTTTCTTTTTTTGTCTGTTGTTTTTAACATAATAATAAAAAGATGATCGTTTTACAGTTAATGTGTAAATGTTAAAACAAATATAACCGCAGTGTTCAACACAGTGATTTTTATTTTTTATGGCTACCTGTTTCTTGATTAAGTTTAATTTCCAGCAATTTTAGAAAAGAGAAACTGTCCCAGCACACTATAAAGATCCAGTAGAACTGACTGATAAAGAATTAGCTCTGAGATCTTCTCCCTCCTCCAGGGTGCTGCGTCTCTTACTTTTTTCAGAACATGGAGGCTGAGGCTTTTGATGACACTGGCAGGGTACGTTAAGGGTTAGCTGAAAACAAAATGTTTACCGTTTTTATTCCTTCCATCTCTGATTTAAACCAGTAAAGGCAGTTGAGCAACGTAACAGTAAGGCCATCGTAAGCACAATGCTTAGTTGGGTAACCCAGCATGGATCGGATGAAGACCACACGCAGAGTCATCTGTCAGTTTACGTCTAAAGGTATGAGTTAGTTTGTAACCCTGGGTGTCAGCTAGCTGATGAGGTATTTATAGCAGCGGCGACCCAGATCACCAGCCTCCAGCACCCTTATTCTTACTCTTCCTGTGTTCTCTTCTGTCTTGACCTACTCATTTTTGTCTCCTGTAACACAAACCCGCTGAGGCTGATGGGAGACGTGGTCATTCTGTGTGTAGTTTCTCTGATTAGGTTGACAGCTGGTTGTATTTTCTTCACGTAGACGGTAGAAGCAGGGAAACCTACTGATTGATGAACAGTCGCTCCTGAGCCGCAGCTATCCAAATGTTTTCTTTTCTTATTGAACTAATTGACATTTTGTGCTTCATGATGACAAGTGGCTGTCTGACAAACACTTCACAACCACAGGATTTGCACGTCATATTTAAACAAGTAGTGTTGTTACAAGCAACATCTAAAGGACGTTGACCGTGCATTAAGTCACTTCAGATGATCGTAGTAGTGATGACAAATTAACGTCCTCTTTGCTGTTTTCAGTGTTGAATTGTGTGAATGTTTGTTATGCAGCATTCACACTATTGTCGTCCATTTTTCTTCTGTATGCTTTTTGATGCGATTCTCATCCTGCAGTTTTCAAGCTATTTCAACACATCTTATCAAAACGTTCGGCTCTTTCAGGACAATCCTACTTTGACTTTTGGTATTGATGCAACTTTAGCTTTTTGAAATATTTAGCCTTTTCTGCCACTCTTAGAAAATGAATTGAGCTCATTTTTCATCCTTCAAATCTTTAGATCTGTTTACAACATTTGACTGCTCCTTTCACATTTTGTTCTGCTTCAGCTTCTTTCAGCTTCCTTGTGCAAATTTTAACATTTTTTCAGCTACTTTCAGCTAATTTTAGTTGTTTTTCTGCTGTTTTGTGCTCCTTACATATTCTTTCTGCCAACTACATTTTTGTGCTTTTTCTAACTTTTTTCTGCTAATTTCAGTTTGTTCTGTTCGGCTTATTTCTGCAAGTTTCAGCTTTTTCTTCTATTTCAGCTACTATTTAGCTGTTTTATGCTAATTTCAGCTTTTTTCAGACAATTTGAACATTTTTGTTCTCATTTCTGCGTATTTCAACTTTATTGGACAAACGTGTTCTTTCTTCTGCTAATTTAAGCTTGTTCTACCTTTTCAGCTACGCTTTCATTCTTAGCTAATTTCAGCTGTTTTCAGAGAAATTCAAGTTTTTTTTAGGTAATTTCTGCTACTTTCAGCTTTGTTCTGCTAATTTCAGCTTATGCTCTTTTCAGCCTATATCTGCTAATTTAAGCTTTTTCTCCTATTTCAGCTACAGTTTATCTGCGTTTGTTGCTAAATTTAGCTTTTTCAGCTAATTCCACATTTTGTTAGCTTATTTCATCTCCTTCCACTTCTTTCTGGTAATTTAAGCTTCTTTTTGCCTTTTCAGCTACTTTTCAACTTGTTTTGTTGCTAATTTCAGCTTTTAGAACTAATCTCTAATTTTTCTGCTAAATTTCTGCTTATTTAAACCCCAATTCTGTAAATATGTGTTCTTTCTGCTTTCTTTTAACTTAGGATTGTTCTTCCATTTCAGCTACATTTCAGCACGTTTTTAGCAAATTTCAGCTGTTTTTCAGCAAGTTCTTCAGCGTTCACACTGCATTTTTGCAGGAAATGCAATTTCTCTAGTTAGTATTGCTATAGCTCTTTTGAACTCAGTAAGTTGAACTTTGAATCATACTTTGTTGTCATTGATTCAGTAGCTAAACTTGTTCTACTGATTGTCTTGAGTCAGTTGTTTAGCAATAGCTAAAACAAACTGAAATGCACAAGGAGGAAAATATCCTGCATTAAAGACAAAAAGACCAGAAATAATTGCCAATATATTGTTCTTTGTTGTTGTTTTTGTCACTGCGTCCAAGTGTTTAGCAGGTATTGTGCGATGCATTCAAGGTACAAATGTTTCCTGTCACCGTAGATACTTTGCTTGTGATATTTTTTTTCTAAACATACTACGGTATCCATTTTTCATCAGCTTGACTCTGATCTTGCAGGGAGGTTTCGGAGCCCAGCACTGCAGAGGTGGAACCAGACTCTGAGAGCTCTGTGGCCCAGCAGCCAGCTTCTGGGTCAGAGCCAGAGAGCAGCGAGAGCCGGATGGAGGAGGTAAGGTCACTGGGAAGGTGTCAGTCTTTTAAGTCTTGGCTCTGTCTCCCACTAACCTGCATCCTCATTCATGTAAAGCATGTTTAGGTAGCATTCAAGTTCAGGGGCAGCCACTCAAACCCAACCCAGCTCCTCAGGTTCTGAGTCAAAAATTGCTTTGGCAACTCCTCAGACTTGAATTTTAATCCTTTTCTTGTTGTCCAGTTTCAATTATTTTCTTCATGTAAACACACAAAACGTTTAATAAATTACTGAATTGAATCTTTAAACACCAAAGACTGGGTTGGATTTGGGTCATGGGGGGTTACTGGGAATGAACTCACCCTCTCCATGTGCTTCTAAAGCAACTTAAATTTCATAACAAGCTCCTTCCTTAGATGATCTCATACACACGTTTAATTGTCTGTCTGGGCCATGCAGAGCTGGAATGAATGCAGAGATGTTATTAATGCTTTAAATTAGATTTTCATTTTGCAGAGTGCATGCTTCGTGCATCACTCGCTTTTGATGTGCTGAGGAGAGAAAGCTAGATGATTACTTCAAGCCCTCACACAGTATGGTGGTAGCTACTGCGTATTGTTCACCCTAAAACGTGTTTTTATGGTTTATACAATAAATTAGCTTCAACTTATTAGAAATGGTTCAAATGTTCTGGTGGCAGAGAAGGTCACTTGAGACAGCTTGGTTTGTTTTTAGTGATTTACCCACTTTAGTTTAAATCTTTTGTAATCTTGAACAATCAGCTTTTATGGTTGCGGTGTTTCTAGGTGAACTTGTATCTACTTTTGTCAGATGAAAACATCTTTGGATTTTTTTAAGAGCACAATCTTAAACTTTGAGCACCTTCTTTGAAATGAAGGGTTTTTGACTGGTTCTGTAGATTATCACTTGAGAGCGTTATTTATGTTGTATAGACCTTTTTTCTTGTGACGTTCACATTTAGCACACAAATCAGTAGAGCAGCCGCAGCGCCTGTGATTATTTTAAATCAAGCGCAGGACTTTGTTTTGAGGTGAGATGATGCTAAAGCAGTTTCTAGCATGTCTGTTTTTTCCCTCACTCCATGTGTTTTTGTAGGTTTTGCATCTGGTTTGGGTTTGCATGGATAACAGATTCTGACAGTGTGTGTGTGGGAAGAGATGCATCAGTTCTTTTTGTGTTATTCTTTACTGTTTTTGCTTTCTCACATATTGCCCCTCTCTCTCACTCTTATTTACCTTCCTGCAAAAATTCTGACTCTTCTTTTATTCCTGTTACTTTCCATTTTTGTTGCCTTTTGTGTTCCATCATGATCGCTTCTCTCTCACTATATATTTATGGTGTGACTGCTGTTTAAAACCCAATTGATTGCTTTGTTATGAAGGTGCCCATGCCTCTTCCATTGCCCATATTGGTACCTGCTGCGTACTACTACCACCAACATCACCAACAACACCTCTTCCGCTCCTACTCCTTCTACAACTCCTGTCCCGCTAAGCGAAAGTGCGGCGCTGGTACCTGAGTTAGGCCCAGAGTCTGCGACCCCCATGGCACTGAGTAAAAGCTGAGCCCGAGCCTGCGGTGTTTGGGGGGGGGGCTTCTGTTTTGCCCTCCATTGACAAGCTGAGCCAGCAGGAACTGGGAGCCTGCATCAGGGCTCTGCCGACAGCAGTGGCAGCCATGGTAACAGCAGCAGCAGTTCACAGTTGTCATGGCAACCTGGCCACAGGGGTTGGGAGCCCGCTTGCTGTTTGGAATAAAACTGGACTGTACTGCACCACGTGGCAATGCCTCCTCCGCCTCCTCTCCCATCCACCATCTTGAGGAGCAGCAGTCTGAAGGTGGCATGCTCCAAAAATAAAGGCATCCCAGAGAAAAGTGAGCAATTTTCAACCCCATTTTGGACATTAACGCTGCCTGTGAGCACATGCTGCCCTCTACCTGTGCACTGGCATATTGACTTTGGACTGAGAACTGCATCTTGCAGTGATCACATCTTGAAGAGTCATTAAACACTACAACGGAACTAGAGAAATATTCTCAAAATGATGGACTATTTTTATATTTATTTGTGGACAATTTTGTGATTCAGATGTGTGTCTGTGGATGTCACAGTAAAATGGACCTTTACTCACGCTTAAAAAAGATGCAACAAGGAGCTCACGAGGCTGACAATCATCTTTCTGCCTGGACAAGCTGGCCAGTTGTTTTAAAAAGGACAACTAATGAAAGACTGTTCTCGTGATTTCAGCACAATCTCCAGTTTCAATAGACTTCGAAAGGAAACGCAGTCAACGTGAACTGAAACAGACTGTGCACAAATATTAATCATCCACATTTACCTGCAAAGCTGAATGCACTCTACAAGTACCTCCCTTTTCTCTGCAGCCACACTGTTTGTGGACTTGGCAAACAAGGATTATCCACATGAAGGCTGTGATATTCTGCGTCCTTTCAGATCCATGGCTGCACCACCTTGGTCCTTGCATCCTGTATTGGTTTGGTGCGAGTCCAGAGCCATTCAACGTCATCGTGGCTACAAGGCTCGTTTTTATTTTCATTTGTTTGAATGGCCATTTTACAAAGACTTGGATTTATTTTCACCCCTCAGAGACTGAAAGACGATAGACTGTTTTGAAATTACTCAACCTTCATTTTGTCTTGAGGATCTAAAAACAAGAACTCGAAATTGTTGGAACCACAAACACTCGGGTGTTTGCTGCTGGTGTCGTTTTCACATCTGGTCCAGAGGTCCAATGCACATCAACGTTATCCCCTCACCTCCATCAGAAAACATCAGATGATGCGTTGAGAACTCTGGTTCCCCAAAGACTGAACGAAACGCAACTACGTGACCAGCTGAGAAAAGTCTTCCCAAGCCCCGTTCGAGACCAAAAAAAAGTCCAGTCCAGTGATCAGTTCCTGCCTGGTGGTTAATCTGCACTGTCAAATCGAGCCCTGCCCTCACTCCTCTGCTTCTCTGATTGGATCCTTGTTGCCTAGATACAGTACACACTGTCGTGCGGTTGGGCCATAGTCGAGTAAGGAATCAGGTCTTAAATGGTACCAGGAAATGAATAGATTGTCATTATTCCTCTACGTAAAATGCAGTTTTAAAGGAATAACATAGTTATATAAACGCACTTTTTCTATTATGTAGTAAATATGAGGAGGGATTTTTTAAAAGTGATTTAGAATTGTAAACTGTTACGCAGTTTTAAGTTTTTTTTTTTATATATTTTATCGTACTTTAGAGATGTAGAGTGGTTTTATTTAAATTTAAAGCATATTTAAAACTGCTTAATTGATAATTTTGTTAAACAAGAACTGAGAGATTTAAACTCTGTTCTCCACCTCTGCTCAACAGCACTCATACTATTTAATGCCGCCATAAACACGTAGAACGCTTTACAAAACTCCAGGTCCACACTCACCATCCTGTGCTGATATTAAAAAAAAATTCATGTTTCTCAATTAACACGCATTTTGTACTTCTAGTTGGCCGTTTGAAGCCGTCTCACTCCCACACATGTTAAGATTTATTTCAGCCTCTTGAGCAAAGGTGGATGACTCAGACGTGTCAGTCTGTAAACACCACTGTCTTAAAGTGGTGTGCAGGCCTCTCGGTCTCCATCCCTCCTCCACCTTTCTTGTTTTACCTCCTGAGTGATGTTGCCTGTTTGGGTCTGGACTCTTGGTTCTCATCTTGCCCCGCACCCCTGGGGTTTCTGTATGTTCTTTCTGTCTCCTTCTGTTTCCAGAGCACCACTCCTAAGGCTTTTGCCGCTCGCAAGATTTCCTTAAGCAGTAAGTATCACACTTATATATTTTATTGAATCCTGGAGCATCATCAAGAGTTAAAATACGCCCCAATTGCATTTTGTGGAACATTTATATATATATATATATATATATATATATATATATATATATATATTATATCTTTTTAAGTCCTTTTGTTTTTGATGCTTTTTTAGAGTTCAAGTACTTTATGTCCCACAGTTTTATGTTTTCCCCAGTGTTGTACTTTGTAAGCTACGCCTGTGCACTCGTCTTGCTGTAAAGGCGACTGGTGCAATTTACATAACTTAAAATTAATTTAAATTTAAAAAAGAAGTCATTGACATAGCCCTTTTCATGGTTTTTAAGGACCATAAATTGTGTTTCAATGTTTTGCTTATTTTTATTTACCTGGGAACTTTAAGATGCATTTGATTCTTTATGGAGGTAAGCTGCTTATTTATTTTCTGGCACTTAAGGAAACTAAATACTTAAAAAATGTGCAAACTTTATATGCTGTGAAATTAAGTAGTTTTGAACCACGTCTCATAGTTTGAAAGTAATTATCGCAAACTATACTATTAACCATAAAAGGTTATTCTGAACAATATCACATTATCACAGTTTGAAAAGATATACCGGTACTGTATTGATTTTTGAAACGAGGGTCCACAGTCAATGTAAACAAATATTAGCCTGAATCTGTCGTGGGAGTTTGACGTAACTGACCTACGTAGTCTCTGTAAATCTCTTGGTAAATAAATATTGCAGTAGGAGTAAACGTTTAGGCGGAAATAAAAGAGTTAGTCCGCTGCTAAGCTCAGAAGAGGAGATGGTTAAGAATAAAGATCGAGGCTTAAACGTGGAGGTGGTGCGCCATAAAACCAGCTCAGCATTCAAACACATGCAGCTTCTGCAAAGCTTCATTTTTCAACTCGGTCCCAGACCGCTTCTCCATGGACATCACCTTTTGTTAACTTATTTTCAGTCACTTCAACTGTTTCCGAAGGTAAACAAAAAATAATAATAAATTTATGGATGTTGGCAGCTGCTAAAACGTTTTCCTTATTATTATTATTATTTTTATTTATTTAGGACACATTCACCGTTGATATGAGGAACAACTATGCAGATTTACTTCTTATTTATTTATCCATCCATCCAACCAACTACATGTACTCATGACATTGCATTTAAATTATTCTATTTTAGGAAGTTAGACTGTTTTGTACTAGTCCTGATCAGACTTTAGGCTGGTTGAAGTTTTTTTTATGTCATATTTTTATAATGTATTTCTTATTTTATCTACTTTAAAAAATATAAAGGTGATCAAGAGGAATAAAAAAACTATTTTCAGCAGATGAGCAGATTTTTAGAGATGTTCGTAAACAAAAGATAAACATCTGGCCGTGTCTGGGAGATGTGCATCGCTGAGAAATTCTGTTTTTATACGTCTAAAACTGGGATGTTGACAGGAATCATAGATAGAGGGGACATGTTGGTAACAATTTGTCTTTTCATCATGGTGCTACTAGCAAAGTGCTTCAAAATTTATTTTAAAGTTAACGATATGGACCTTTGATGAGAGTTTCTGGAGCGAAGGATGTCGGAGTTTCCTGCCTGAACATGTTGCCTGAGACCCAACCACAAAGATGGATGGATGGCGGATGGATGGTTGGATAATTTAATTCAATCCAGTTTCAATTCAGTTTATTTATATAGCACCAAATCAGAACAAAGTTGTCTCAGGGCACTTTACAGGAACATTCACATACTTAGAAAAGCCACTTAATAAAGTTCTTTATTAACTGGACAAATGGATGGATGGTTGGACAGATTGATGCATGATGGTTGGACAGATAGATGGATGGATGGTTGAACATATAAATAGATGGATAGTTGGACAGATGGATGGGTGGTTGGATGAATGAATGGGTGGATGGATAGTTGGACAGATGGATGGATAGAGAGATGGTTGGACAGATAGATGGATGGTTGGCCGAATGGATGGTGGTTGGACAGATGGATATTTGGACAGATGGATGGATGGAGGGTTGGACAGATGGATGATTGGACAAATGAATAGATGGATGGTTGGACAGATGGATGAATGGTTGGACAGAGTATGGACAGTTGGACAGTGGATGGATGGATGGATGGATGGATGGATGGATGGATGGATGGTTGGACAAATGAATAGATGGATGGTTGG